TGATAATACAAATTGGTTGTTTCAGGTAGATGAACAGTATTGTAAAGAATAGCTTCAGGTGCTTTAGTAATTCTGGCTGCTCTATCTGCTAATTCAGCATACAAATTACCAGGGATAGGTAATTTACTGATTTAACTAATAGTATCAGCAGGTATACCATGAGTACTCATAGCAAAGATCCAATCATCAATACTTAATTAATTATTCTTTTATTTTAATAACTTTTCTAATTTAACCTTCTTATCATCATCAGTTTTAGCCCATCTTTCATATTCTTATTTAATGATTTGATCAAAACTCTTATATTCTCCAAATGGTCCATAGAGTTTAGCCAAATCATTTTTATGTTCTTAAAATAATTATAATAATCCATCCATTCCTAATTTATCCCACCAATTATTTTTTTTTAAGACAGCAAAGACTCTTCTGATAATATTTCTAATATTAGAACCTCCACCAACATTAGATGGTAATGATCCATCAGTAACAACCATCATAACAGTACGTGTATGATCGAGAATAATATACATATCTTTTAATTATTCAATTTCTCTCTTAATAGTTTAAACATCATATCCAATTTAAGATGAAATGAATTCCCATGTTTTATCAACATTTTCAACTTCATCAACATTCAATAAACAACTATATGGTCCAAATGCTTTCCAAACTTCATTTGAATATTCAACTTATAATTTTTATGCTAAGAATGCAAATGCTCCAGCAAATACATCAAAATAACTAGTAGGTGAACCATTCACTAACCAAGGAATACGTTCTAATCCAATTCCTGTATCTATGATTTTAATAGGTAATTCTTCATATGATCCATCATGAAAATATTTATATTACATAAAAACCATATTTCCAACTTCTAATCCATTAACAAAATATTCAACTGATGGTCCTAAATTACCACCTCCTGCCCAAACATCTTCAATAAATGTAATATCATCTGGATTGATTTCTAATTCTTCAGTTAACCATCTATAATTAAATTCAACACATTCCTCTTTAAAGAATACATATTTATCAGGATAGTTGAATGTCTATATACCAAGCATAATAAATCCTGAATAATGTCTACCTGTTAAACCAATATTATCCAAATCATTAAATCTAACACAAAACTAAGGACATATTAATGGATTAGCTGGTGGATCCATCTCACCTGTAACACAAAATGGTTAAAAACAATATATTCCTGCTGCTACATAATCTACATCATTTCTCCATCTTGCTACAACTGGATATCTGTCTATTGCTGTACATGGTACTCTTGTACTAGTTAAAGATTTCTTGAATCCATTCCATGCATCAGCATATGTTATTTTATTACCTTTTGCACCTTTCCCTGTACCAACACCTATAAATGAGTATTTCCCTTCACAACTAAAAATTATTCATTATCATCTATTACTTTGAATCACCACATGTTGTCTTCTTTTCTGTATGTCTCCAAAAATATGCACCACATTTTGGACATTTACATCTACTAAACCCATACTTATCAAAAACTTTTGTTGGATAAAACAACTCTGGATTTGCTTCAAATTAAGGTCGTACTATCTTTTTTATTTCCTAATTAAAATTACACACTTTCACTCTACCTTTGGGGTGATTGCCTTTATTGTTTTAACTTCCTCTATTGTCTCCTCAAATTCCTTTTATTACATCACTTTCGATATTTAATATAAATGATTTGTTTACAAGAAACGTGTTTTAAATAGTCTAATAATTATCATTTAATATCATTCCATCATACATCTCCCTATATTATTATTTCCTCTTATTATTCCTCTATACATTACAGAAATACATAACTCATTTCCACATACATTCTATTTTTATTCATATAAATAAATGGATTAATTGATATAAATCAAAGTAATATGCTCCTCTATTTCCCTTTTCAGTAGTATCACTGTTGCTTTATTATTTTTATCAAACCCAAGTAATCAATTAATTAAATATAAGAATTAAGAACACCAACCTTTCGTTTAGTCCTTTAACTTCAGATTGCTGATGCTCTTTTTGCCTTAGCAAGTATTATAAATAGTAATGATGAAAATAATGGTCTATGGTATTAAATGTCATAAATAGTTAATTCCAGGCATTTTTGGTGAATTATAGTCGTGAATCTAGCATAATATGGATTGGAATATTTGCTTATAATATGTCTGCCACAATAGTTGATAATGAAGAATTACCAGGTCTGTTAAAGTTTTATGTAATTGCAATAGGTATATATGAATTTAATTATTTTTAAGGTATTCCATTTATATTGAGTGCATATCCATTTGCTTGGGATGCTTATGGATTAAATTATTCAATGTGTTGGTTCTTACCTTATAGCATTGTATTAATGATTGTGGATTATTTTATTCTTTGTATTGGCATACTATTCTACATCATATATTTTTATATAAAAATATATAACTTCTTGTATAAGGTTACAGAAGTAAGAAATAAATTAATTATTGATAGATAAAATCAAATAAGTTGTTTCTCTATCCTTTAAGTTTTCTCCTTACTCAGATTTGGACAATGATTGATATATTTTAAAAATATGATGAGAACAGTGTACGAAATTTCGAGCTATTTAGAAGAATTACTCATTCAAGGAAGTAGCAGTTGCTTTTGTGAGTTTACAAGGTTTTATAAATTCACTTGTATATGGTTTGACTCCATAAGTACTTGAAATTATAAAATCCTTCTTTTTTTCAAGTAATTCAAAAAATGAGTAATAACTATAAAATGAGAGTCAATGTATTATTATTTAAATTAGTAATAGATATTGATTCATCTAGATAATAATCCTTTATGATGCCAATGGGTTTAGATTCTCGGTCATCTAGTAACAATAGTTAATAGATAAGTAGATTCAATCAATAATTGGTTTTTGCAATAAAATAATAATAAAAATTATGATAATTATAAACTGTATAATTTAGATCAATGTTATTTATTGATGTAAACATTTCTTTAGAGAGTTCTTAACAAGATATTAGATACCAATTATCTACAATAGATGAATTTAGAAGATTTATCTATATTCTTTCAGTTCTATATTCTATAAAAATTCCATTCTTTTTTTATATAATCTTATTATATTTTTATATAATCTTTTTAATAAGGATAAAATTTATATAGTGATTTGAATTTGCCATATTCTGTATATCTATTGAATAGAATAACATCATAATAGAATCGGCTACTTCTATCTCTAAATTGTAAGTAGTTGAAATGGATTAGATAGTATTGAGAGTCTGATTAATTATAAAATAATTAAATGATTCATATCATAATTATCATTGAGATGAAGGCTATCATTAATTATTGAGCTAAACTACTCTTAATTTCAATTTGCTTTCTCTCATCTGATTCATTCAATCTACTCTTAATTTCTTCTTCAATCAAATATTAAAATCCAGTGTATGTATCATTAAAATTAGTGGAATCTGTATAATCACCATTCGAATCAATTGTTGAGTTTGTTGAATTAGTTGAATTGTTATTTATAGGTTCTATTCTAAGTATTAATACTTACATTATGGATCATTCCAAGGTTCATTATTAACTATAGGGTTATCATTTATTTCATCGGAATCATCATATTCTTCTGGATTATCACTTGTATCATGCTCATCTTCTTCTTCTTCTGATTAATTTATATCTAAACTATTAATACTCTATATTATAAACAATTTACTCATCATTTTAAGAAGTTTAATTATGTTATTGAGGTGGCATTGAAGTTGATGATTATGTAGAACTATCTGGTCCTTAATCTGAAGGTAATGGTCCACCTTCTGTATGATATGATTCTTATATAGGAGTTCCTGAAATAGAACCATCTTAATGATTATGTTAATCTCCTCTATTTCCTACTTCATTTAAAAGTCTAGTGAATGGTTATGACTAATATTACTCATATAAATACCAAACATTTATTAAATCGTTTACTGTAATAACATTCACTTGTTTTACAATTTTATGGGTAAGTAGCATCTATTTCTGTACATTTTACAGGTCTTGGTCTGCATTCTCCTTATGATAATTAACAACTCTCTTAATATTCTACATTTAAAGATAAGCATTCCTCAAAATTTCTAGTAACACAAGATGAATTAACAAATCCTAACAATATGAGAGTAAATAACATTAAATTAATTATTATTATATTTACTAATCTAACTAATTATACCGTACTATTTTTCTATTTTTAGAAAATCATACATATTCCCATCAAAATTATATATTGATATGTAAAATTACTAGAAAGTTAATTAATTAACATTTAAAATAGATTTATCTCTATTAATCAATATCAATTAATCATATAAAAATCATAAGATTCAAAATCATTCATTTTCTAAGAACTTGAGATTTAATCATACCATTATAAGTTGACTATCTCTTCATTTGTGATGGTCTTGTATTATTATCCTTTTATTATTATTAAGCTGTATTTTTCTATGAAACTCTTCTTATTTGAGTTTACATCTTTGAAATCATTTATTTATGTTTATAAAATAAACTAGGATACATTAAAGATAAATGACGTATTTGATCAAAATAATCATTTTTCTATTGAATATTCAATTCACCTTAATTCAAATATATTTTAAGTTATAAAAAATAATCCAACTTATTATGATCAAATTCATCTGAATCAATTTTAAAATGAAATTTCCATCTATTCCATTATTTATTTTCTGTCTATTACATAAACTAAGCCAATAAATTTAATAAACTTAATATTGTTATTGAATCCAATTTATGATGTTTTATAATTTCCATAAATTCTTCTGGCAATATCAAATCTAAAATATAATTAGAGTCTTTTAGATATATTGCCTCATTCAATTATTAATGTAATTCCTATCTTAACTGTTTAAAATAACAGATTAGATTACTGATAGAAATCCAAGAGATTTATTAATTATTCTTCAATCCAAATAGTATACAATAAAAATGATGTAAAGAATGTTATGTATAATCTCTTTAAGTTAATAGATGATTTAAAATTCGATTAAGACGATCACTATCATTGACCCATTCTCTAAAGATTAAACAAACATTCTACATTAAATCATCATAATTAGTTAAATACTCTAAAAACTATATTAGTTAAGTATCATAATCATTTTCATCATCTTGTTCATGTAATTCTATTTTTTTAAAATGCAAACAGAAAGGATGCATATTAGTAAATAGTTCATAAAGTGTCTTATTCTCCACATACTAATGTATATGAAGAATTGATTAAGCCTATTAATGAGGTTACTTCAAATCTTCTTACAATTTCTTTTATTGTACCAATATTGATCCTAATTATTTAAAATCTTTTTAAAAATCACTCTTATAATCAAATAATTATCGATCATATTATTTGAAAAGGTTTTCCAATTCTAATGATTTTAATCCAACTGCATTCATTCTTTTCTCTGCCTATTTTAAATCACTCATTTATAACATTGCTTATTTGTATTCATTAAATTCAGATTAAATAGACAATATTTAAGTTTCCAAAGAATCACATTTTCTTTAATATTATTACTCCTACAATTTAAATTCTTTTTCTGCTCTTATTAATTTATCCTCTGTTATATTCTTTTAATGTATTGCCTCTTCAAACTACTATTTAAACTATGAAATCTAATATTCTATATAATCTGTGCAACTTTTATCCATCCATTACATAGCTACATCAATTAAAACAACCCAAAATTTCCAAAAATACTCTACAAATGTTGCCAATTTAATATCCATTCTAGAAATATACTTTATTAAAAGTGTAACCATCTCTGATACCATTTCCATTGTATCAGATAAGTTTTTTAATTTAAAATTTTCAGCTGGAGTCTACTATTTATTAAATATTGATCCAATTATTTTTTTATCTAATTACTGCATTGTATTATATAAAATAAATAACAATTTACTATCTAGATTGCTTTAAATCTTTTCCTCTTTCCATCTCTATATTTCATACTAATTGCTTAATAATTAAACTTTAACAGATTCTGATAATTCTGTTATACTATCTATTAATAACTCATGATTCCTTGCTAAAAAACTATTTTATTCAAAAAGTAACTATATTGGAACTATATCTTATTCTGTTTAACTTTTCTTTATTTCCAAATATTCCTTACTAACATTATTACTTTTTGTTTTTGGTTCTCTTTCTTATAATCTTCTCTAAGATTTTGTTAAAGAAGGACAACGAGATAAAGATAATTAAGAACTTATTAACAATTATCCATTTTATCTAAATTTATACAAAGTTGTATTAGGTGTCTTTGTATAAAATAATTCAGTTTTTGTTTTTTTATGTGTTGTTCTAACTGTTTTTGCTTATCTTAAATTATCAACTAAATTAGAACAAAAATCTGCATCATTAAAGATAATATCTGTATCAGTACCCACTGTTAATTTATTTGGTAACTTAATTTTAGATTTCATATAAATATATATATATATACTTAATTATCTATTTATATAAAATTATAATAGTAATTTTATAAAATATAATCTATGTTTAATCAATTTTTTTGTTAAAGTGGTACTTTTTTAGTTAATTGTATTAATCTACGAGGAGAACTAACTTAACTTAATTTTTCTGAACCTTCTGTGCTTTATTAAGAACTTTGATAATTGAGTTTTCCCAACTTCCGTTTTTTTTCAGTTAAACTTGACAATTCATCAAATAATTATTATTCAGCAGCATTCTCATCCTCATTTAAAGTATAAATCTTTATTTAATCATAAATCGCTGATTTTTTTGGATCAATTATATAGCATAAATTTTATGATTTATCCTCAATAGGCTCTATTAAATGCTCAAATTTAAATTGAGAATTCTATATAATCAACACATTTTCTAAATTTGGTTCATCATATGGAATAAACTATATATTCCTAGTATTTCCATGTTATAAGTTTTTTTAATAGTGACCATTAGATGTTAGAAAGATTTCATAAAATTTATAAAAAATTTCGAATTTTCTTTTTTTTTAGATTTCCTACTATATTAGATATCTATTTAAATCTTCATTTACCTCTTTTCCATCTATATAGTACCTTCTCTGTCCACAATTGTCTATAGATATTATGGATTATTCAGAATTGTTATGAGTTTTATCCCATATTTTTTACTAATCTAAATCTATTAAATGTGTTCCAGGATATTTACTATATGGATACTTAATTTTAAAATTTTAATTTATTCCAGTACTTTAAAACTTTTTATACATCTAACAAATTTTCTTATTAATTTCATATTCATCATAATCTTCATAATGATCTTATTCAAACCATTACCATTATTAAGTAATAGGTTTTTAATATATATCTTTGGATAAAAGCCTTTATAATTCTCCTATTATTTTTCTGCATCTTAAATCATTATCTTCAAGTATGTAAATCTATTCGATCTAACAACTTTCCTAAAACAAATTATTAATAATCTCCATCAATAAAGTTTAACTAGCCATTGTAAAATAAAATCCAAAAATCTCAGTGCTAATAACTGGAAAAGCTATTTATTTAATTTATTTTTCTCTTGCCAGTTAAAAAATAGTTTTAATTAATTATCTTATAATATTTAACTCTCTAGATAAATACTTAGATTGCCTATAAGTAGGAGGGTATATATTAAAAATATGATCTATATGACATTTTTATGTTACTTTTTAATAAAACAAATCTCCAGGTTATAAAGTATTTTTCTCTTATATTATTTTTTTAAAGAATTCTTGCATCTCATTATTTGTAATTTTTAATAAATTTTTAACTTATTAATTTTGCATTTCTACATCACCTAATTCACATTTATCATTCAAAATTTAATTTACAATAGCTTAACATTCAATTTGTGTTATGTCACCCTTTACGATGCATAATTCTTTTCCTTCAAAAGTAAGCTTTGATAAAATTGCTTTTTAAGGTTTAAAACTAGTTGTCTTTTTTATTTCAAAATATGTACTAGTAATTTTTTCGATATCTGACAATTTTTATGACATTTCAGATAATTGTTTAATTTAATGATGATTGAAATTTGTACTTTTTATTTAAACAGACTACATTATTTTTATTTCTAATGATTATAATTGTTTTAATAGATCTATTACTTAATTTTAAAATCCTTTTATAAGAATCTTATAAGGATGGGTTGTATTTTTTAAAAATTCAATTGTTGTTCCTTACTTCAATATTAACTCTTTCATTTAATATTTTGATTCCAAGCATTAAAATAATAATTTATTATCAACATCGATTACTTATTCAACCCAATTCTTTTAAAATCTCTAACCAATATCTTTTAAATGTTAATCTAATTATTATAAATCTTCTTTTAACCCTAAAAATATTGTGTTTGGTTCATTTTCAATAATAGTTTAATGTACATATATATTATTTTTGTTTATTAATTCTGGAATTTAAATTTCAAAATAGTAGAGACATTCATAGTAAGGAAATTTTCTCTGAATATCCTTTAAATTATTAATAAATTAATTCACTAAAATATTCTTAATTTCTTGTTCTCTAATTTTTTTTTTATCATAAACTACCTAAAAATGAAAGTTCTATTCAAATTAATCCCATAAGGTAACAGATATGTTATCTTCGAATTCACTAAAAATTTTTCTGAAAATTTATTTAAATAATTTTTTTTTCTACTAAAAGTCTTTAAAATTCTAATTTAAAACAAATCTGCATGGGATTTTAATAATTTAGCAAATAAATCTATTCAATTTATCTTGAATTTATTTTTCAAATTCTCTCCACTTCTCCTAATTTGTCTTAATAAGAATTTCTATAGCATCACCTTTGTTGAATGCTGTAAAACAAGAACTGTATTTCTCAAAGATTTCTTGTAGATAGTTTTCCCAAACATCCTTTTGTTTTGAATTGATTGTAATAGTTTTAAAGGGCAAACAGATTTTTTCAATTTAAGTTTTAATTTCTTTTACATATTTTTAAAATTCCTGATTTCTCTCATCTTTTTATAACCAAGTTGTAAAAGTAATTTAAAAAGCTGGTTTTGAATCTTCCATTTAGCCTTATGATATTTCAATATCAATATTTTGATATTAATTTTTTAACTTATCAATTTCTGTTTGAATTTCATTTATATCTGAAGGTAAATCATAAAAAGGAATTTTTTCAATTTAAGTCTCCTTTCTAAAATACTCTTTTGTTTTTAATAAATCATTCAATTTAATTTATAATTCTTCAATACTATTTTGTGTTCTTTGAATCAATAAATAAACTTGACTATTTTTTAATAACATATTTAATTATTCAACTTAATTTTAAAATATATGCTTTAATTCTTCAAATTTTAAAATTACAATAGACTGTATCTAACAGTTTAATTTTGTCCCTAGCATCGTTTTAATATATTCCTTTTTCAAAAGATTATATTTTGAATTTGCTTCTGCATTTGAAAAGCATTCTATTTATAGTATTATTTAGTTATCCAAATAATAACAAACAGTATTCGAGAAAAATTAATGTAATTCATTATCATCAGTTCTGTTATAACCTCCTGGAGGTATTTGTAAATAATAACCTTAATAATTCATTTGAATTTCACCACCAATCTCTTTAATTTCTTTTCTAAAATATGGAATATAATTATAGGTATAGATAATCATTTCTATTAAAGGCTAGATATTATTTTCAGGTTATCCTTTAAATAAATATATTCTCTATTGAAAAAGTTTTTCATCTTCACTAATTGATATTTAATTAACGGAATATTTCAATAAATTAAAATTTTCTTTATCTTGTTTTTATTATCTTTCTCCAAGTGTAGCAGGACATTTTACAATAATTTTCATGTTTCCTTGAGTATAATAAGTTTCTATAAACTTATCAAGTTAAGTTTTAAATTTTTTATTTCGTTAATCTTTTTGACTTATTTCAATTATTACTTCACTTCCGATTGATGTTTAGGATTAGAAAAATACTAAATCAGTCTATTGTTAATTAACTAAATATCATATAAAAGTTAATACATTATGCCAAATCCAACTTACGAACATCATTTTAGTACTGGGATTAAGCCATTTAACTAACTGTAGATTAATTAAAGTTAATAGATTAGAATTAGAGTTATCTTGGGCTTAAATGAAGATTCGGTAAAAATGATTGATTGCTCTTCTAAAACTAATTCATTATTTTAACGAATATTTTTAATTTTATTAACAAATTGATTATTAACAATAAATTAATATGAAATGATTCTTATTAAAATTAATTCTATTTTAATAATACAGATCAGAATTTTTTTTAAATAGGTTCAAACTAAATTGAAAATATAAATAAATATTTCACAATAATTCACTTATCAATAAAATCCCTTTATAATGAGAAATTATAATAATGTATTGAAATTATTTCATTTTAATAAAATTTTCATTCTGTTTAATATTTTGAAGAAATTGTATTAGATTGAACTCCAATGTTAATTTAAAAATAAATTAAGAATTATTTAAAGAAATATAATACATAATTTATCATTTAAACATGTAGTAAAGTGTTGCTATAAAAATGAACAATAAAATAGTTAAAAATACAATAATACGTCTATCTTATTAATCTCTGGATCCTATAAGTTTAATAATTCCTTATGATAATCCCAAATCCCCAATTGTATAATTAACTTTTGATTATATTCTCTATTTTAATAGGAAAAAATATACTTTTAGACTATCATTTTATCTTTAAAATGATTCCAAAACATCTTCTCCAATTTGTAAACTTTCTTCAGCTAATCTATGAGAATAATTTAAGGAATTTTATTAATCAATCATTAAGCCAACATTACTATTAGTTGGATTCTATCGAGATCCATTATTGAATGTTTTATTATTAGGGTTAGGCTTCATAATAAATATATTATTTTAATTTATAGAATTTCTCTTTCAAAAAAAACAATAAACATAAAAATTGAAATTATGAAATATAAAGTCTAATCTATAAGTAATGTAAGCATAGCATTTTTAGAAATTAATTTCACAGAGTACAAGAATAAAGTATATTTTATATATATATATATAAATTATATTAATAAATGAGACCAACTTCTCGGTAAAGACCGGGATCTTTAACAAATCGATATTAAACACCTTAAAGAACACCATAAAGATTTTGTAAGGAGGTATATTTTTAAAGAAAATTAAAACATTTTACTTTTGATTTAAGTACATCTTTAGTAAATGATTGTATTCCTATAAAAAAATAGTTGAAACCTGCAATTCATATTTAACAACTTGGAAATCGGATAAAAAAATTTGCTTATTTACCTTTACATTTATTTGAAGATAGTTCTTTTGATAGATTTACTAATCAAGATTTATTTTTGAAAATTTAAAGATCAGGATCAATATCTGCTTTTATTTTGAATTTTCAAAATGAATTTGTAGAAGGTAAGATTATTGATTACAATAATGAAACCTAAATGTTCAATTATTAGAGTGGAGATGTAATAGGTGAAATTTAAAGACTTTATTTTGTTTGTGATTTTGAAAATGTTAAACTTTATGTATAAAAGTTTGAAAAGGCTTTGAATGATAGAGAAACAATGGATAGTGTACTAAGATATAATTATTATCTTGATAATATGTAGACTTAAGATATTCCAGAATTACCATAAGATAAGATTAAGAGAATATAAAAATTGATAGGAAAAGTTGAATAGAATCATGTAATATAAATAAATGCTCATTATAAGAGAGTTTAGAATGAAATGCAATTAAATTAATATTTAAAATAAAATAAAGATGTGATGAATTTAAAAATAGCATTAAAAGAATAAATAAATAAAACACCAAAGTTTGGTAAGATTTAATTAAAATTGGATGAAACAATGATAATTCATAAAGATTTTATTGATTATCAACCATTTTCATTTGAATTGGCAAAAAAGTAATTCTAAGAATCTTCTCTTTTCGTTTTACCTGAATTGATTAAATCATTTTTCCATACAAATGAATTGAACAAATCCATAAGTTCACTTGAATTACTTTATTGGAATAAGAAACCTTACTCAATTTTATAATTAAAAGAAAAGTAGGATCAATTAGTAAGTCGTTAATTTAAAGTAATATCAAAATGGAGTGAAAGAACTAAAAATATAATGAAAGACGGTATTTAAGAATTAGAATTAAAAGGTATAATTTTATAAGAGAATCGATTGAAAAGAATAATATAAGTGATTAGAATAAAACAATAATAATCTTTGTCTAAACTTATTTTTGATAATATCATAAACTTTAGATAAAATTTTACTCAAAATAATTCAAGTTTGTTTTAAATATCAGTTGGATATTTTGGTGGATTTTAATATTCTTTTGATGTATTAGAGATTACAAATATTTATTGCAATAGTTTAGCAAATTAATTATTAGAATTAAGTAAAATAAGAGATCCAGAATGCATTTTAAATATATCAGATCTTATGTATTTATAATGTATTTCTTACACAGACTAAAAGATATAAGATTTTGTTGAGGAATTAAGAATTGCAATATAAGGAATTAATTACAAATTAATTGAACATTTGAAAAAATATTTGAAATATTAATATATTTTTGAATGGAAATTGGAAGATTTTATAAAAGATTGTAGTTCAAATGAAAATACTTTAGATTTAAAATAATTTAAGGAATAAATATTAAAATTATAATTGTTATAAATATAATTAACAAAGGAAATTGCTCCAACAGATTGGGTAACCATTTTTATAATAGATAATACACATCTATTATTTTAAATTAATTAACTTTTAGAAAAAAATATATATTAAATGATGGAATATATTGCAACATTGGCAAATAATTAATTAAAAGAGACTACATTATAGTTTTAGAAACTATTGTTATTAATAAAGAAATAAAATAATGAAATTATTGGTTTAGAGAATCAGAGAAACTTTTTAAATCATGGAGTTGTTGATCATATTAATCAATTAAATGAAAATATAGGATTAACACTTAAGATTTATGAAACTTTAGATGAATTATCATTTATAAGTAGTTCTGAGTAGATGAAAGAAAGATGGAATCTATTATCATATGTCAATATATGTAAATAATAGATAAGTGAGAGTTTAGAAGAGATAATGGAGAAGAGAATTTAATAAAAATATGATTTTTAGTAAGAGTTATTACATTTTAAATATACAATTGATGATTAAGAAAGGAAAATAAATAATTTTATAAAGAATTTTAGTGTGAATTAAACAAATGATTCTACATTTATGAAAGAATTACAAGATTTAAAATAATAATCAATTTTAATGAATTAATATGAAACTATATTTAATTTATAATAGAGTAATTTTGGAAAGATTGATTTTATTATTCAATAATTGTAACCTTTAGAGAATTTATAAAGATTGATGAAGAAATGGAAAGATAATACTTGGTTACAAATGAAATTAAATGAATTGAATACTAAAGAAATATAGGAATTCACATAAAATAGTTTAATTGATTTAAAAGAGATATTAACATTTTCAACTGAAAAGTAGATGACATAAATTACTTAATTAACTTACGATTTATTAAATGAGATAAGAGAATTTAGTCCTCATTTACCATTAATATTAGCATTAACTGAAATTGGAATGAGACAAAGACATTGGGATCAATTAAATATATTGATTTCTTAGTAAGTAGATTATGCAAATAAAACTTTATAAGAATTATTAAATCTTTTTGGATAAGAATTAAGATAATAAGTTATAGAAATTAGTATTATTGCTAAATAAGAATTAATTGTAGAATAGACATATCTATAATTATGTAATGATTTCCACAATTTAACTGCTTAAATTATTAAACCAAGAATTTAAATGTAGAATGTTTATTTTAATAAATTAATTAATCTAAATTATTTATTATAGATATTAGATGACTCTTTATGTTCATTAAGTATACTTTTGTAATCCAAATATCATTAACCTTGGAAATAACAATTACTCTAATTAGAGAATCAAATGATATATACGTAAACTTTGGTGTAATAATTTGATTAAATGTAATAATTATTTTATTACATTCATCCAGTGTTTATGCAAAATGATTTATAAAAGTAATTACCTATTGAGGTTACCAGATTTAAAAGTGTTGAAAAGTTTTGGAAAATATCCACCAATGAATTTTCAGGATAATAGATATACAAATATAAAAATAATTAAATTGAAGAGTAAATACACAAATTATAAATGATTGAAAAATCATTAACTAATTATATTGATAAAAAAAGAGAAATTTTTTAAAGATTTCATTTCTTATCTAATTAATAAATTTTACTTATTCAAAGCAAAGCTACATAACCTAATGATTTTATAGATTAAATATTCTTATTTAATAAGGTTGAATTAAGTGAAGATGGGATTACTTAATTATAAATACAAAATAAATTTGGAAAAATTATTGAAAAATTAAATATAGACACTATTAATATTTATTCCAAAAATGTAGAAGATTGGTTACATGATTTAATTCTTGTTATGAAAAAAACATTAAAAAATTAAACTATTAAAACATCCTAAACCAAGTAAATCAAAATTCTTATGGAAAAAATAGAATGGACATATCATTTAGATAATTAATTTAAAGATTACTAAAAGGAATAAAATTATAAATATTAAAAATTATCACTAATAAGTCCTGATAGTTTTGAATATTAGGTTCAATTAAAATATTATTTGAATGAATATCAATAGATTATAATTAGATTCTTACATTATAATTTTGAATATGATTATGAATTCTTGTAAGAAAGTGAAATATTCATTGAAACTCCTCAAACTGATCGATGTTTTGCTAATATGGCATTTGCTATTAGTTCTTAATATGGATCTTTTTTGTATGGAAATAGTGGTAAAATTGAGACAATAAAATAATTTAGTAATTGCTTAGGAAAGTATTTTATTGTAATGAATGCAGAATTGAGCAATTATTAAATACTTACCAATCTTTGTAAAGGAGTAAGTGCAACTGGGTCCTTCTTTGCTTTAACTAAATGTTCTGAAGTATGTGTTTAAATTAGTAAATTAGATGAAATAAGATTTATTATCCATTTTTGTTCAGTTAGTTAAAGTATTATACTTTGCGATTCGAAATTCTCTGCAATAAATAGAATTGGAAGGTTCCACGATTAAAGTTGATCCAACTTTCTCTTTCTTCTTGATAGGAAGTACAAAAAATACAGTAAATTGTGAAATAAGATATTATTTCAGACCAATATATTTCTAAAAAATAGATATGACAGTTTATATTGATTGCTTATGTTAACATTATGAGTTTAATGACTCTGTGACATAATTAAAATAGTTTATTTATCTTTATCAATCTATAAAGAAGTGCGATATATCAATGCTTAAGATTTAATAAATCATTCAATAAGCTAAATAAGATGGAATGTATTTAAGTTTATAGAGAAACTTCCAAGAACCAGAGTTTTAAGAAATTATTCATTCTATCTGGCCAAAATAAGAATAAAGCAAACCTTAATTGAAAGAATTGCTTTAAAATAATAGTTATGTTTTATTGTTTGGAGAATCTTTAACAGGTAAATCATTTTAAATAAGTTAATTGTCTAATTATTATAAGATTTATTTGTCTTCTTATCCAATTACACATTTCTTTGGATCTTTTGAAAATGAAGGTATAATTGCATAAATATTAAATAATATTGGAAATAAAATTCTTGTGATTGATAGTGAATTAGATGATAAATTGATTGAATTCTTTCTCCCATTAATTTTGTTTTAATAAATTAGATTTCCTAATGGGAAGTCTTTGTAATTAAATAATTAAATTATTTTTGAAACTCCAACAATTTCTAATATTTCACCAAATGTTGTATCTAAACTTGCAACATTATATTTAAATGAAAATGCTATTGAAATTCCAAAATATGCTTAACATTTTTGTAGTTTAGCTGGTATGTATAAAAGTCCAATAAATAAAAAATAATAGATATATATTTATTAATAAATCTTAAAAAAGATTGAAGGATAAAGTACATCTGAATTTGAGTCTGTTTTTGCAGCAACATGGGCATTTGGATCTGCATTATCAGATGAAAAAAGAATATTACTTAATAGACACATAAAAGAAATTTGGATGTAATAAGATAATAAGAGTGTAGATCCATTAATATATGAAAATTTATTTGATTACATTCTTGAAGGAGGTGAATTAGTTTTAAATGAAAAATAAAATCAATTAATAAAATTATTAGAATTAATTCCCCATTTAATTTTATATGGTAAATCTGGATCTGGAAAAAGTTTTTAATTATAAAACCCATTTAAAGTTAATTTAAATGTGAAAAGTTATGATATTTAAAACTTTTTATAAAGTAAATTGATTAAAAAAAGAAATGGCGTATATTCTATAGGGAGAGTATATATAGATGATATTCATTTATTAAATAACAATTCAATTGAATTTTTAAGAGAATTAAGTGATAATTAAGGTTATTAGAATGTAAAATTAATGGATTTATAATTAATTTTGACATCCTCTAATATTTAAGAACATAGAATCCTTAAATATTTTGTAACATATTTTTGTGAACCTTTATCAAATTAAACTATATTTTAAATACTTTAATAATAGTCAATAATAAATAGTGAAGAATTAATGTCTATTTATAAACATGCACATTAATTTTTTATAAAATAATCAAGACGATTATAAATAACTTGTTGGGATATTTGGAGATCTATATAAAACATTGAGAATAATCCCACTTAAATTTTAATGTAGTCTATATATAATAGAATAGATGATGATAATATTAAAATAACTTGGGTTAATTAATAAAAAATGTTTAAAATAAAAGAATTGCAAGATCATAATAAATATGAAATGAATGGATTAATTTCATATTAAGAAAATAGTGATATTCTAAAATATTTAATAAAATTGATAAGCAATTTTCCAATAAATAATAAATTAATAATTTATGGTCCTTTAGGAGTAGGTAAGAAAACTCTTTGTAAATTGGCTTGTTAGATTACAAAATACAATTATGTAAATGAATTGAATAATGATTGTTAAGAGAATTCAATATTAATATTGGATAATCCTCATATAAAAGAAATAAGTTAATTAGTAAATTAAAAGAATAATATGATTTTAATTATGAGTACAGAATACTTAGAAAAATGTATAAGTAAATGTGAGTTTATTTATAAGTTTTAATTTTTGTATTTAGGGAATTGGCCAGAAGAGGCATTTTAAAATAATGAGATAGGGAATATAATTTATAAATACATGAAAGATTAAAATCATTATGCAATATCTCCTGAATATTTTGTAAGATATTATGAATTGTAAGAGAAATTACAAAATGAGAAGTAAGAGAATTTGAAAATGAGAATTACTTAATTATCTAATGGTTTATAATTATTGTATTCTGCTTAATAATAGATAAATTTAATGAATAATAAATTAAATCAAATTAGACCCATTTTAGAATAGGCTGTAAAAGATACTTAAGAAATAGTAACAGTACTTTAAGAAGAATAGAAAAGGTCATAAGGAATCAGAGATTAAGTAATGGAGGATGAGTAAATTGCTGAATAAGAATAAAATAAAGCTACTCTATTATAAGAAACATGTTAATAGAAAGTATAAAAGGTTAATGCGGAATTAGAGTAAACTCTTTAAGAAGTATAAAAGTTAAAAAAAGAACATTTAGTAGAAATTAAATCTCTTATATAACCAACAAGAGCTATTAAAATAATTCTTGGAGGTGCTGTTATATTATTATCAGATCATATGAAATATACAGGAAATCAAGATGATTATTTTGAAATTGCTAAAAAATATTTATTAAATGATGTTAAAGAATTATTAGATACACTAAGAAATTATAATAAAGATTAAATTAAATAACATATGATTTAATAATTGGAATCTAAAATTGTAAATGATCCAGATTTTACATTAGAAAGAGCCAAATAAAGTAGTTTAGCAGTTAAATATTTATACAGTTGGGTTAAAGCCATTTATGATTATCATAAAGTCTATCTAGAAACATAACCATTAAGAGATGAATTAGAAGAAAGTTATAAAAGTTTAAAAGAGAAAACTTTTAATTTAGAATAGAAAAAGAAAGAAGTTTAAGAAATTAATTTAAAACTAGAACAATGTGAATTTTAAGTGAAAGAAAAATAAAATATAAAGATTTAATTGGAACAACAAATTGAAGAATGTTAAACTAAAATAAAAAGATCTTTAAAGTTGATTGAAGGATTTAAAGATGAATAAAAGAGATGGACTGCTGTTATTTATTAATTAAAAGGTGAATAAACTAGAAATGAAGGAGATAGCATTATTGCTACAACTATACTTATATATGGTGGTCCTTTGGTGAAAGAACAAAGAAATTAAATGTACATCTACTTATATAAGATTTTAAGAGATGCAGATGTTAAATATTCTGAAAAATGTACTTTAAATTAGTATTTTAATGAAGAAAATGATACTTTTAATCAAGAAAATGCTAATATTCTATAATATTAATATAAACCAGTTATTTTAATAGATCCTCAAAATATAGGTAGATAATATATTACAGAAAAATATCACTTTAAAGTGTTGAATGACCCAAAAAAAATTCAAAATTATATATAATTGAAATAACAATTTTTTATTGATGTTACTGATAATCTTTAATTATTATATTAGGATAAGAAGATGATTCATATAACTCATTAATAGAATGCAAAATTTGAAGATGAAATTTATATTAATTATTAGATTATCAATTATACAATAACATCGGATGCTTTAGTTGAGAAATTACTTAAGTGTTTAATAGAGATTGAAAATCCATCTTTAGAATTAAAAAAGTAACACAATCTAGATTTATGTAATCAGGATAAAAAGTAATTGACATAAATAGAGAATCAAATATTGATTACTCTTTAAAATTAGAAATCAATAGAAGAATTGTTAATTAATGAGATAATGATTAATCAATTACATAATTCTAAATAATTATATGAAGAGACAATCAAGAAAGTTGATATGGCTAAGAGACTAAATGAAGACATTGATCTAAGTAGAGATTAATATAGGTTATTAGCTTAATAGATTTCTATGGTTTTTATAAATATTTTAAATTTACAAAAGATGAATCCAATTTATCAATATAGTTTAGATTGGTTTTTGAAATAACTCATTAATCATAGCAGTAAAATTTAGAGACAACATGATATAGCATTAAATATTTAATAAATAAAGCAAGAGTTTTATAAAGGAATTATCAATTAAGTTAGTTAATTGCTTAATGAGTAAGACAGATTAATATTTTGTTTCTCAATTTCTCTTGATATTTTACTATCTAAAGGTTTAATTACTTAGGAGGAATTTAATGTATTTTTGAGCCTTTAAAATCCAAATTTACCTTCTTAATTCAAACTTGGTTGTAATCCTTGTATATTTATTGATGATAGTGAATGGCCATCAATAAAACCTAAATTATATTAAATTAACAAACTCTAAGTATTCTAAGGAATTCTAGAAACAATTGAAGATCATCCAAATTAATTTAAGTCTTTGTACCTGCATTAAACATTTTCAAATGAATAATAGAAATTAACTGCATTTTAAAAATTGTTATTAACATTTGCATTCAGACCAGATAAAGTAATTCCAATGATGATTAACATAATTGAATAATAATTATAATTAAGATACTAAAGTTTGAATATAAAAATTAGTGAAATATAATTTGATAGTAAGACTCCTCTATTTATTTTAAATGATTACAAATCTTATAGTAAATTGAGTGTTACATTAGGAGAAGGACAGAATGGAAAAGCAGAGAAAATATTAAGAGATTGTTTGGAACATGGACACACATTGGAATTTCTGAATTGTTAATATGCCACTTCATTTCTTAGTACAGTTGAATAAATTCTTGAAGAAAATGAAATTCATCCTAATTTTAAATTAATATTACAAGCTAACAATTGTAAATAATTTCCTATTTCTTGGCTTAATAGATCAATTAAAGTAGGATATTGTCAAGCAATTAATATAATCTAATTATTAACAGATTAAATTGGATAAGAAGATTAATTAGATCATCCTTATTTTTTTAGCTTAAATCTTTTCTAAGCAATAAATAATTTGAGATATACCTATGGATATAGTACTCATTAATTTCATGAAAGCGATTTAAAATTGGCTTTATCAGAACATTAACAGTTTTGTAAGGAACTTGTTTACTCTTCTCAATTAAATGAAAATGAATTAGATCTGTTTAACATTCTATATAATAAAACAGTTTGTTAATAATCATTAAGAGAAGGGTTTATTTATATGGGAGGAGAACTTAAGATGATCAAAACTAATAAATAAGGATATTTATAATATCTAAAAGAATTGGGATAAATTAATGATTTTAATTGTATGGGTTTAAATTCTAATATTCAAATTATTATACAAACTGAAATGATGAAAAGAGTATAACAAAATATTCAATTGATGTAAGGGAGTTTTAAAAATAATAATTACAATATTTTAGAATAATTAGAGAAATTGGAAAGATATACTCCACTGAAATTAGGTGAAATTAAGTATGAATAAATTGCAGATAGCTATTATTAACTTGAAAAGGATTAATTTAATTACCTTATTGATATTATCAAAAATGATGTGAAAGCAATTACAGCATATATAAAAGGAGAAACTTTAAATGATAGATTAGAGGAAATTATAAATAAATTAGAATTAGATTAGGTACCTCAATAATGGTTGGAATTGAGTGAGATATATATCAATAAATTTACTATATGGCTAAATAAGATATTTGAAAAGGGATAGTTTTTTTCAAAATGGAGTAGTTAGAAATATTTTAATTTGAGTCATTTTAAGAATCCTAAACACTTTTTGAATTTAATTAAATTTGAATATGCATTAAAGCTTAATTGTGAAATAGAAGAACTAATATTCAAGTAGATATTTTTGAAGGATCATCATTAAGAGATATAAACTAAACCAGATTAAGGAGTTTATATTTAAGGTTTGATCATTCAAGGAGGAAAATTTAATGATATAACAAAAAAGTTGAAAGTCTTGGGGCATCTAGAATTTTAGAGTTATTTACCTGTTTTACATTTGATACCTGTTAAAAAGATAGATTTATAAATTGGAATGGTCTTTCATTGCCCAATTTTCAGATTTGAAGAATTAGTTGAATACTTATATTTTGAAAGTTAGGATCCATTAGTTCTGGTGGCTGTGCAGATTAAGCTTTTGTGAATAAATTAAATATATAAAAAAATTTAAATCTTTTTTAATATTATGGCTCACAGAATTTAAGAGAATGCAGGAATGATCAATGATGAGAAATAGGTTGTTGATATATACGTACCAAGAAAGTGCTAATATACAAATATGATTTTGAATAGCAGCGATTATTCAAGTGTATAAATAAATGTTGGATAAGTATTGATTGTTAATAAGAAAAGGTTGATGAGAATGGTGTATATAATAAAAAGAACAGCACAGTAATCTTGGCTGGATATTTGAGATAAAAGGGATAGAGTGCATCAGCATTAGAGGCAATTCTAAGACAAAGAGGAATATTCCCATTCACACAATGAGAAATATATGATTTATGAATATTTATTTAGTACATTAATAGATTATATTAACAGATTATGAATATTTTAATATAATATAAATTGGATAGAGATAGAGAATGATAAATATTTAGTATAGCATGATAATGACTTATGAAATATTTGATATAAATAAATATATAAATATTTATACAAATAATGAATATTTTAGTAATGTTATAATATATATATTATTCATAGATTGCAAATACTATTTTTATAATAATGACAAATCTATTCTGCAAGATGAATGAGATTTATAGGTACTTTCTCTTCATGCATAACTTATTTGATTAATTAAACAAATAAATTAAAGGTTTGTTCACTAATTTTGAGTGGATAATGGATAACCCTTAAGTCATTAGATTTATAGATTTAAGAGTTTTTGAAGATAAAGGTAATTATTTTTTTAATATGAGATTTGATTTGATAATCTGCATTTCTAAAATGATCACTGTAAATTTCGTTATCTTGTAGATTAATTTATATTTTAAATTGTACAGAATCAATAACACTTTATCCAACAACACTTTCTATAGTACATTAATTCATAATAGTGTATCTGAGTGAAAACCAAATGTCTGCATAATCTTATAGAATTAGTCTATCAAGAGTATAACTCTTAATAAGATGAAAGAAATTGTCTCTAAATGCATCAATCCATTCATTTTAAATAATGCAATGTTTATGTAAAGTCTTAAGATCAGTTTTAGTAAGTAATGGTTAATGTTAATGAGTTACATATTTAAGAAGAAAATGAGCATGTCTTAATAATGCATAAATATTTGGAAAATTACGAAATCTTGGATCTTTTTATAGAAGTACTTCATACTTCTTTACTTAAACTTTAAATAAAGTTGAAGATTAAAAGTAAAAGTCTAATAAACAATCTTAATTTACTATACAACTACGATATCCATCCATTCTTTATGTTATCAATTCAACTTAATCTTCTTTTAATCCTATATCCTTCATAGATTCTACTAAATAAGATTTGAATAATGTAAAATGGACATTAGTTAAATTCATTTTTTGATGTGATTTTCTCAAATAATTTAATACATAATCTACACTACAATCCCATCCCATCATTTAATGTACAATCCTACCTAACTTTTTTGCTTGTTCATCCATTCTAATTCCTATGAAATATTCACATAATGTTTGATCCTCTTAAATCTTTTAATAATGTTAATCAGCCAAATTTACTATTGATTCTGGAGTCTCTTCTAAATTATGTTCTGTTTTCTTGTTAAATATCTATGCAAATGTTTATTCTGTAGTTATTATACAGTATTTGTATTATTCTATTAATGCACTAAATTCAAATATTAATTCTGGAGGTCCTTTGTTGCATTTTATAAAACTACTCTTTAAATTTAAATTTATTAATTACGATCAAATAACTCTTGAACTGGTTGTATTATTCATTTGTTATTTACATAGGAATATGTTTCTATTTTAAGTTTTCAATGTTAAAGAACACAGGTTTACCCATGATATACTCTAAAAATGTTGCAAATTTGATTTCATACATTTAAGGATCATCAATTTCTAAATACATTATTATATTGATTACTCTAAATTATTGGATGATTTTAAGAATGCTAATGAAACATTCTAGCAATTCCTCTAATTGTCTCCTCTCCTCCTATCTTAGTTAAGAAGATTCCATCATCTTCCTCTTATGGTAATCTTATACAAACAGCACTTTTAGATGTGATCGGAGATAATTTTATTTACTTTTGACAGTTCACTGACTTACGAGTTATTGACAAAGGCATATGAACCATACATCTTGGAGTTGATGCTTGATTTCCTAAGCATTATTAACCTACTACATTTTTGTTCATGCTCAAAACAAAATGATCGTTCATCTTTTAAAGTTCTGGAATCACAGGATCAATCCTTGGAAGTGTTGGAGATTTCTTTATTATTTCAGTATGCTAACGTCGAATCTTTCCTTATCTACCCTCTTTAAGACCATGCACGTATTCTGCAAATGATGATGTTGGTTTCCCTCTTCCCTTCTCTATATAGTTATCCGAATCTGTCAAGAAATCGTATTACCTACCTTAAAATGGACAGTTCTGCTCAAACTATTGATTCATAATTAATATTAATAACTTTATCAAATAATCATTACTTTATCTAATCAGCAAATCTATCCCTTAACAGGATCATGAATTCTTAATAATCAATCTTTTTTATTATTTCAAATCAATACCTCTCCATCCTTATTTAAATCAGCCTATTTTATTAATTCTTCAATATCGATATCCTTTATTGAAATCGTGTCAGTATGAAATATATCCATCAATTCGTTTTTAGATATTCTTCCACTATTATCTTAATCAATTTTTTTAAATTGCTCTTCTATAAATCTCTCATTCTAAAATTAAGGACAAACCAAAAATGCAGCTATAAACTCACTGTAATCAACTTATCCACTTTAATCTATATCCATAGCCTTAAAAAGTTATGAAACAAAATTCCTATCCATATTTTTATGTTTCATATTTCTAAAGCCAGTCAATCCATCAATCATTTCGTCCAATGAAATCATACCATTTCCATCTTTATCCAAAGAAACAAATAACTATCTTAAGGAAGTTACTTCATTTTCGGGTATAAATGTGGCTAAATATAATAACATAGTTTTCTTCATTTATTATGCATTAATCATTTTTTCTAATCCTTTAATGGCATCATCATGTAATTTCAAATTAATCAATTCGTGAGTAACCTATAATTACACCCAAGAATGATTATATGCTTATTTAGCAGTAAATCTTTTCTTAGGTTCCATCACTAACAATTTCTAAATCAAATCCCTAACCTCTCCTCAATGTTATACAATTACCTCTTCACTTGCTCCCTTGAATCCTGCTTTTGAGAATGTGAATATTCCTTTTTAAATATTCTTAATAGTCTCTTAAGGATTTCTTCCTGGAAATGGTGGCTATCCACACATCATCACATACAAAATAACTCCCAATGACCAATAATCAACCTCATATGAATATTGCCCTTTAATTATTTCTGGAGCTATATAAAATAGACTTCCATTAGGCTATGTCATAATTTCATCTTCTCTAAAGAATCTAGCTAAACCAAAATCAATCAATTTAATTGAAGATTCATCATCCTTATTTTTTAATAAGAAATTCTCTGGTTTCAAATCTCTATGAACTATTTTATGTTCATGTAGATATGCTACTGCTGTAAATATTTATCTCATTATTTTCGATGCTTGCATCTCAGTCAAATGTTAAGTCTTTGTTATATAATAAAACAATTCCCCTCCTTCACACATCCTATCATATTTATTATTCATACTCTGTCACTAAATATACTGTTTTCTCTGTTTCATACACTTCATACATCTTTAAAATATTTGGATGATCCTCTACTCAAAATTAAATATTACAATCTTTCTCAAAATTGATAATTCATTCTTAAAGCTTTCTTTATCCACTACACGATCTTTTGCAATTGCTTTAATTGCTCTTTTAATACCTAATGAACTTATATATCATACCTGTAGATTTTTATTCTGTTTCAAAAACTACACCAAAACCACCTGCTCCTATTTCCTTTATAAATTTGTAATCCTTCTTTATGTTTGCTATCAATTTACTATACTTATTCTTACTTTTTATGCTTGAATTTATGAAATGTGCCTTTTTTATTTTCATTTATTAATCCAATTTAGGGTCCATTATATAATCTTATTTATAATTATTATTAATGCTTTTATAACTTCTTACACTTTAATACATTTACAAAGTTATTTTCCATAAATTTTAAATTTTATTTATATTCTACTACTATATTATAACAATCAATTTACTAAAACACTTTATTAATATATATTTATTCTAATCAAAATATACAAAATAAATACTAGAAATGGAGGTAAAAAATATCAGAATAATTTAAAAAGATAGATTAATGAATTATTTGTTTGCTAATATAATATAACATAATATAATTTACTTAATCAATTTATTCTATTTGAATATGGTAAAAATTTAAGCATAAAATTCTTTTTTATATTATTATCTTAAATTTTGATATTTAATTTTGAGTATAAGATAAAAAATACTTAAGAAGTTTTAAACAAAAAATTATAGTATAAATTAATTTTTGATTAATATTCCTTATAGTAATAAAACTTTCAAAAAATTTAATCTGTAATTAATATTTTTCTGAGCTCTCTTTCCAAATAATCATTCAAAAACATTGTATCTTATGGAAAAACTTATGTAATTTTTCTCACATATCTTAATTTATTTTTCATGTTAGGATAGAATTTAAATAAAACAACTAAACATGCTAAAACAAGTAATATAAAAGCAGAGGTTAATAACCACTAGAAATAATTATAGAAATTACATTTAATATGTTATCTAATTTATTTATTTGATCTACAATATCTTATAACATTTAATCGCATAATGAACTTATTACCTCTGAACAGAGATAAACTGCTTCTAATTCTTCGATTGGAACTATAGTTCTATTAACTAATCCAGTATCTAATTCATATTTTAATTAATAATTAAAATCACTTAAAGTTGGTAATAGACCTCTCTTCAAAATACCATTTTTTGAATTTTCACAAAAGTAATCAAATTCAACATAATTACTCTGTAAAATAAATATGAATATATACTTCATTTAATAATGGGCATAAATTTGTTTCACCAATTTTTTGAAAATAAGCTAAAAAATCATTGGAAAATTGAAAATCATCTAATTTAACATCAGTTGATATAAAAGAATTAATTTTCTAAATACCTATTGATACTTATTCCATAATTTAAACTCTATCTTCTGGTGTAAAGAATTAAAATCTATTCCAAAAGTATAAAAGTTCTTTCTGTGAAAATGCTGCTGGTATATAGACTCCAATATCAGAGAATAATTTAAAATAATTTAATGTTTTAGGAAATAGTTAATAAAATGATGTTATGATAAGGGTTAAAGTCAATACAATTCCAGCACAAGTAATAAATATAATAAAATAACTGAGAATTAACTTTAATATTGGAGTTGATTTATGATATAAGGATTCATCTTTAACATTATTTTTGCCTCTCATCTTTTCCATTATCATAGATTCTTTTGCATTTAAATTAAATCTATATTTGTAGATCATATCTGAGTCTGATTTGAGATGATTGATTAAAAAAGAAAGTCTTTTCAAATCTTTACTTATACTTGAGAGATCAGTATACGATCTTAGATTAATAAATCTATCTATAATTTTTTTAAAGTGTTTAAGGTAAAGCAAAGATCCAATAAGAAAAATTATTGAAATCATTTATGTTGGAAAACAAAGGAATATCCATAAATTTTGGGTAGCTTTCGTTTAATTCAAAAATTGATAATATATATCATTTGAGATATCATCAAAAATAGTTATGAATTTGATATAATTTAAGTATTAAAATGTTTAATGTGGTGCTACTCCTTAAATGTTAACATTAAATTAATTCACATAAATTAATTATTATTTATAAAATGCATCTAATAATAAAGAAAAAGCTGATTACACTGTAATATTATAATTTGATGTATTTATAGGATTATAATGGAGAGTTTGTTATTTAACAACCATAAATTAATTAAATAAGTATTATTGAAATTTCTCTTACTAAAAATGTTCTTAAAAATTAATACGCATAACTTAATATTCTCTAATAATATTTGCTAAAGAAAAGGATTGATAAAATTGATTTTCAGCCTCAGAAATCTTATTTTAATATCTGAGAAAGAAGTAATCTTAAACTGTAAATCTTGCTAAAAAAAATTTATGTATTGGCTCTATAAAAAAATGATTTATTTGAATTTAGTCATAATACAATGTTACTTTCTAAAGATCATATGCCTTTAAAATCGAAAACTAAATATATTTAAATAATAATACCAATACAATAAATATCAAAATGACAAACAAAACCATAAGTAAATTAATTGCTGATTTAAGAATATGAGGTTATGTTCCATCAGAATTTACTACAGTATGATATAGACAGTATTTTTTATAGAAACGAGACTTTCTTAATTCTTCATAAGATGCATTTGATTATGCTTCTTATTAAAATGAAACTGTATCATCTTCTTATTAATTAGAGTAAATATTTCCTAACATTTTAATTGTTTATTATTCATTTTCTACTAATTATGAGAGACTATTTTAAATATTTGATTCAATCAATAATATTTTCTTTGTGCTCTATTTCTATGTTGATCTTAAAAAGTATTAGTTTGAATGATTTTAATGATTTTCATTTAAAGGAGAAAAAAATTAGAAACATTCATCATATGGACTAATTACAGCATCTTCATCGTTTATTAAAGATGGTAATTCGCCAGAATTATAATATTCTATTTGTTTTTAAGTTTAAATTGAAGGTTCACATTCCATCATTCTATAAATTCTAATAATACTATATGTTTTTCTTATTTAAATGTCACCTTATACTTCAAAAAGATTTTAAGAATGTCTTTATTTACATATATTTATTTTTTATGCTAAACTTTAACTTTACATTTGAAAACATTATTCTTCATTTGGAAAAGTAATTATTGATTTTGTTGCAGATTCTGTTGTAAATTAAGTTAGTTAAAAAAATAATGAAGATGGTAAACCATATAGTAATTTTTCAATTTAAAATGCATCCGTCACTAATTATGAGAAATTCATCATTTTAAAAAAATCTTTACTAACTCCTTAGATTTTTGCATTCTCATCAACTACCAAAATTGCTAAAGGAGTTTCAAGCTTTTAAATAAAAGAAATAAATTAAAAAAAAGATTTTTAATCGAATTGGATATCATAAAAAAAATGGATTGGTTACAAATATCCAGTTTTACATTAACAAAAATTTATTCCCTTTGTTCTAAAATATAATCCTTTTCCTGTTTATAAAAATTTATCAATTTCTTAATCATGAGTTTCTCTAATACAATTTGGAAGAAGTACATTTGCATCTTTTAATTAAGAAAATTACAATTAATCCCAACCAAATATTTCACATGCTTTTTTAGAAATACTTTGTAAATATAATTTCTTATTTTCATAAACAAATACCAGATAAGTCATTTTATTTGATATACTATTAATATCACTTGTAATAAATTATTAGTATGTATTATTATCAGATGAACTAAAATTACAGAATTCATAAGCTCTGTACCAATCATTTACTATTTCACCCATAAAAAACATTAAAATAGATTGATTTTTTGAACTTGGAAATTTAAAAAATATTTATTTCAATTCATTTTCTCTTTTAAAACTTTCCAAAGCAAATTATTAAATATAATTGTATAATTTATCATTTTCTAACATCAAAATTGTTGATAAAATTTAAATTTTTAATTTTATTATAGAAATTAAATTATTCCTAATTTATTAATGAAAAGATTCAGAATGAAGAAAAGCTGTTATCCTAGCTGATAATTCTAAACATTCTTTATTATCTGTTTCTAATTGCTAAGCAAATTTATGATACATCTATTTTTTTATAATAAAAGTGAACACAATCCAATTTATTGATTAAACAAATGTTAACAATTCCTTATATTTTTAATCCTCTATTCTATAATATATTTCTTAATGATATCCTAATTAATGTAAAGCAGATAAAAGATGACACATCTTATAAAAATGTTTTCCTTTCTTATGTAAATTAAGATGTCTAAATTATTAAACAATTGAATTTTAATATGATTATGATATATCCACTTAAATTAAATTTAATTCTAATGGATCTATAGTTTTGTATTTATTCTAACATGAACAGTTAATTGATTGACAATTTTTTATATGCTTGCTAAATTTGATTCCATTAATTATACAATTTTTTTATAAAGAAAATTGATTATCTGCAAAAATAAAACAAACCAAAAAATGTAACATATCTATTGATAATTTTTAGGGTTCATTCAAAATTATGTATTCAATATTATAATTTAAAGAGTTCCAAAGACAGAAGATTAGTAATGGATTCAACAACATTAAATATCCTATATTAAAATTTAACTCTGCAAATATACATATTGACATAATTAATCCTGAAGAGCAAAAAAACAATAGAATAAAACAATGTTTAAAATCACAATATTTCATTTAAATCAATATTGTATATATTCTTATTAAGCTAATCAATAAATAGATAATGCCTTACAATTTATCTGTGAAAGCATTTTCTGACAATATAAAAATATATGGTTATAATATTCTTAAAAAATAAATGATAAAATCTAAATAATCATCTTCAATTTTCTTATCCATTTTATCTGATAATAATAGAGTTGTATTGTTTAAAATATAATAACTTATCGAAAAGACATGTACGAATAAAATAAACAGTATATTTTAGATTATAAAGTAATAGTTTATTTGATTAGAATAGAAGTTCTTATTCAAATTTAATAATCCTAAACAAAGTAAAGGTTAAAGTAATATATAATTGATGGCTTTAGAAGTCAGCATCAAATAATATATTGGGATTGATTTTAATTATTTTTTTTCAAATGTTTTCATTTGAGTTATTTTTTATTTTAAATTCTCAAAGCATAAGGAAATAATCAAAATGATTATCCAACAATTCATAAATAGGACTGAATATTCTGCTACATTTACTTTCTCTAAAAATTCAAGAAGAATGACTTTAGGTATTTCAATAATTGATTAAAATTGATTGGTTTTCATTTAATTTGAAACAAAAGGGTATATCATAAAAAAAATGCTCAATATTTGACTCAGTATGACATAAAAGAGAGTGTTTTTCCATTTAAGTTTATTCTCTTAGAAATTTAATTGAATCAATAAAGATTCGAGCATCTCCAATTTCATATTGATACTTAATATTTAATGTAAATTTTATAATTAATCAATTCATATAAAACTTTAATCAAATCAATTTCTCACTAGTAACCATTCTTCTTAATTCTCTTTCAAAATGATCATTTAAGAATATTGTTTCTAATGGGAAAATTAATGAGATCATTTTTGTTCTATTAAGTTTTAATCTAAACTTTTTGAAAACTGAAAAGTAAATAATAATTATCATTATGATAGTATAAGTCAAACTTATTGCATTAATAATCTATTAAATTAATAAAAAAATATAATACATTATATAATTCTTCAATATTTTTAGTTTATTTTTTAATATCTTATTCCATTCTAATTGTGATTTCACTAATAATATCAGAACATAAATAAACTGCTTCTAGTTCTTCTTTTGGTGGAAGTTTTCGAGAATTAGGGAAATTTATACTTAATTCTGTTTTTAATATAGTATTAAAATTAGTTAAGGATGCTCTTAAGCCTAATTTTAATATTCCATTTTAAGAGTTAGAACAAAAATAATCAAAATCATAATACTTTGAATTATTAAGTAATGGACATAAATTATTTTCTTCTAAATATTCATAAGAATCTAAAAATTGTTCCGAAAATTATAATTATGAACTATCAATACTTTATGATAAGAAAATATCAATTTTGGTGACAGCTTTTTAAATTTATTCTACAAAAAATGTTCTATCCTCAGCTGTATAATAAGTAAAAAAAGAAAAAAAATACAATATTTCTTTTTAAGAAAAGGATGCAGGAACATACACTCCAATATCTGAAATAGATTTAAAAAAATGAATAGTCTTAGAAAATTTACTCATATATTCACTACCTACATAAGTTAATGGTCCAGCTATTACAACAAATTGTAATAGTAAGGCAAATATAGAAAAAATTAAGGGTAATTTAGAAATTTGAATAGATTATCTTATTTCTTTTGGTTCATTATTTAAAATCTTAGATTCTTTTTTTGATTCTTTTATTTTTGTTTTAGCCAATACTTCTTCTTTTCCAATTAAATTAAATTTATATAAATGTATTAATTCTGATCCTTGTTTTAAACTTTAAAGGATAAATTACTGTCTCCCTTAATCTTAATCAAGTTCTATTTGATCTATATGCATATTAAGACCAAAGAATTTCTCTAAATAATGATTAAATTAGTTATAATAATATCCAAGTAGTAATATTGAAATTAGAACTGATATAGATATTGGTATTACCATTATTATCCATCTCTAAACAACTAAATCAATTTTCTAAATAGATTCTTAATACATTAAATCAGATATATTATCAAATACTGTCACAAATAAAATATAATTTTTATATTAATATGTATTATGTGGAGAAGTTCCCCTGACTGTTTAAGGTTTAATGTATATTTATGCTTGTTTATAAAAGGCATCAAGCAAAATGCTAAAAGCATTAAATAGCGTTACATTATAGTCTTACAATTTTATTGGAGCATAATGATAAATCTATTATTCTATTAGAACATATTCATCTTTTATAAATTCTGATAATGTTTAATCCTAAAAGTGATCTTAAAAGTTCTATTTAAATTCATCAAATGCTCCAATTAATAAAGGATTTATGAATGTTAAATAATAATTAAGCTTATCTTTAGTTATTGCTTAATTTAAGGATAACATTTAATAATCTTAAAGCATATAACGAGTCAAAAAAAATTTTTACATTGGTTCAATAAAATAATGATTAATTTATATTGATTCATAATAATAGTTTAGAGAATAAAAGTCTTCTTTTGCATATGATATATTCTAAAATAAAATAAATAATTACGATTGATAAAAATATGACTTAATTTATAAGAGCAAAAATTAAATACCCAAATAATTTATTTTATAAAGGTATAATTGGTGTTAAATCATTTAGTTAATTAACAAGAGTATATTTTCTATAATATACTGATTTTCTTAATCCAGCCATTGAAGATGCTTAAGAACCTTCCAAAACAATATTTTCCTAATTTCTTTAATCGTTATCATAAATATTACCCAAAATCTTTACTGTCTTATTCTCAACATCAATAACATTTGATTCACTATAATGATATATTTTGATTTTATCTTCCTCATGTTATTCTTCATTTTTTTCTTCCAATTCACTTAAAATTCTCACATCAGTTTTTCTTTAAGTTTAAATAACTATATTAGAAGATGGTACATTTTAAAGTGAATATTCATATGGAAATAAAATTGATTCTTCATCATTTATTGGTATTTGTAAATTTGGAGTTAATTGTAATTCAGCTGATGAGGTTAAATTTATTTTATTAATTTATTAAATTTTCTTTAACTTTATTAATTTATAAGTACTTCTCCTTAATATTTCATAATTCACTTCATAAAGTTATAATTTTTAATAATTTTTTAAATTTTGTATTTTTTATACATTTGTTGAAAATTCTTATGAAAAAAATGAATCTTTAGGAAAATAAAATTAAAAAGAATATTAATTTTATGTTCCATTTAAGATATCATTATGAATAAATAAATCTGCTTATAAATTATAAAGAGATTTTTCTATCTATAATTAATCAATTATTTTTGGATGAAAATTCAATTTTTTTAACAATTCTTTATTTATTCCCTAAATCTTATTATTTTAATCAATCAAAATCATTGGATCTGATTATTCTTAACAACTAAGAAATGTAATAAAACGAAAAGATTGATTTTTATCAAAATAAAGATCAAAAAAAAATTCTATATTTTAAATATATCCTGATTTAAGTTAACAAATATTAAAACCTACTTATCTAAAAAAATTTGCTTTACCATCTTATAAAAATTCTTCAATATATTAATCATGTATATCTCTTACTACTTAAGGTATTAAAGGATCAGGAGAGAAAATTAACTCAAATTATTTTTACTAAAAACCAAATATAATTGGAGCTTTTTTAGAATATGAAATAATTTTAAGTTTTCTATCATCATAAGAATATATTAAGTAGGCCATCTTATTAGTTAATCTGTTAAAATCAATATCTGTAACAATACTTAATATTGAATTATCAATAGCATTTATTTATAATTAATCAAATGCTTTTTTCCAGTCATATTTTATTTCAGCATAAAAAAACATTAATTAAGATTAATTTCTTTAACTAGGAAATTAATCATAAATTTATTTTAGTATTTTTTCTTGTTTTTCTATATTTTCCATTAAATTATAATAAGAAGTAATAAAATTACTTTTACTTTATTATTTAACAATTAATTATTGTAATTACAATTTCTATTAAATGATATTAATTAAACCATCTTTAATGCTTTAATTAAAACTTTCGGATTAAACAAATTAATTTATTTTTAATGATAATTTTGTTTTATCTAAATGATTTCCATCTAATTTAGCAGTCAAACTAATATATAAATTTTATTTAATCATCATAATAAAGAATTTCCATTTAATTTTTTATAAATAAGTTAAATTATTTAATATTTATTTATTTTCTACTTTACTGTAAATTTCATAAACTTCTCCATGATATTATTAAGCATATAAAAAATGTACTAAATAATAAAAACAATCTTTTGGTTCTTACGTCTAAAGGAGTTTCTTCATTCTGATAACTAATTTTGAATAAAGTTCTTCCTCAATAATATCTGGGATTGTAAACATTTTATTAGAATTACTAGAACTTAATTCTTATGATTTGCATTGACATTTTAGATTTAAACACTCATTAGAATGTTTAGATAGAAATATTGAATTTAAAATACAAGTTTATTGTAATGATATTTTTTAAGTTGTCAAAGTTGAACATATCAAATTATTTACTTCAAATAAATTTAATTTTTTATAATTTGAAGTTAACAATAAAAATTGTAATTAATCATGTACATAAACACCAAAATAAATTAGTAAAGGTGATAAAAGTATCAAATATATCATTGGTTCAGAAATCTTAGTAAGGGAGCATATAACTATAATTAAACCACATGAATGAATGATTAATATTATCAAAATTTAAATATTGTTTGAATAAGCTTTATAAATATAGATTGAAATAAGTTCTAAGAATGTAATCAACAACAGTAAAATTGATTAACCATATATTGCAACATCCCTAGAACTAAATATAAAAATGTATGCTTGTATCATTTGTAAGATAAATACTAAATAATCTTGGAAGGTTACTTAAAGTTTTTTACATAATCCTTCCTTCAAAATTAAAGTCCCTTCAAAGAGAATAAAGTAAAATAGTGAAACTATATGGATTAATGCTAAATAAACAATATCATTTATAAACCAAGCATAATTTTCTATTTTGCTTGACCTTTGTAAATTATGGAGAGCAATTAATAACAATGGTATTTATAATGCTACAGATATGCAAATGAATAAGAAAGTTATCATTTTTAGAATTATATTTTTAATGTTATATTTCCTAATATTTTTTTCTATTGTATCTTTTGAATTATAGTTAGCGATTATAATAAAACCTATTCCAAAAAAAAAAAACAAATTAAATACAAACTATATTTAATTTTAAAGTGAAGGATTTGTTAATATCTAATTGATTAAATCTATTAATAATTGTAATAAAGAATAAAATTGATTTTCTACTACTTCAGCTCTTAAAGCTTTTAACTCACTGCTAACATCATATGAACATGGGTATATAACTAATAATAATGAAAATATTCGTCCAAGAGCATAAAATGCTGGAAGTGAAGTTATTTTAGAATGGCAGTCAAAATATCCAAGTTGTATGCAAAATAATTCCATAGATAAAGCAATCATTCTAATTTATAAATAATTATTATTCAATCATCCAATATTATTGATAATGCTTTATAAATCAAACTCTATTAATCAATTACTTATAAAAGTAGAACTTAATTCTTAATTCTTTGATTCAATTATAGATACAGTAATTTGCTTATTTTAGAAAAACAAAAGAAAAAAACTTAAATATAAGTTAGACTTAAAAAATGATTTATTTATCAATATTTATCATTTTCTTTTAATAATTATACAAATATAATCTATGCAAATCAATTGTTAAGACTTTAAGAAAATAATTTTAAATAAACCTTTTACATATAAAATAAATTAATAATTAGCAGTTCATTTAATGAAAATCAAACATATAAATCATCAGATTCATTGTATTAAAGTATATTCAAAATCATAATGAATCAATATTTCTAAAGTCTAACATGAGTAAACGACCATAGATTTGAATCAAAATTTTTTTTAATTTAAGAACCACAGAATTAAATGAAATAAATAAAATAATTGAAAAAATTAATTATTAATAATAAATTAAAAATGGGGTAACAATTATTTCTGCTCATAATTAATTAGGATAAAACAAAATACAGAAAAATGCTTCAAAACTGTTGCTTATTTAATTGAAAGAGTTAAAAAATATAATTTATTTAGGTTGAAAAGCAACAACAAGTTAATTGTTGAAAAATTGAATGTTCCTTCAGTATATTTACAGTATTGATAATTTCTTTTTTATAAAATTCGATTCGGTTGATGTCTGTTATTTTCTTAATATATAATGCAAATTTATTTTAAATAATCAATGATAAATGAAAAGGGAAAGATAAATAAAAATTCAATAAAATGACTACTTTATGAAATTTGATCTAATTCTTGTTAATATTTTTTGAAGCTTAATTGATTTAAAGCTACTTGAAGGATTATTTACAAATTTTTAAATATAAACTCTAAAAAAATGTTTTACAATATAAAAATCAAATAAGAAGAAATTAAATAATATTTGAAGTAGTCGTGATTTTTTTAATAAAATTTGATATTAAATACCATAACATTAATAGATGTTAATAATTATTTTCCTATTGAGTTTATGCTCTAAATAATTTAATTAAATCAATTGAACATCTTAATATTTAATTTAAAATAATGATTAATGTAAAACTTTAATAAACAAATTTTTAGTAACTATTCTCTTTAGTTTCTCTTTCAAAATGATATTTTAAGAAAATTATTTCTGATGGAAAATTTAATGAGATCAAGACATATTTTGAAATTCTCCTCATTTTTTATTATTTGTTTTTTTCTCAATTTGATATATTTTACTCAATATAATTATTTGTATTTTTCTTAATATAATCCTTTTGATTAAGTAAGTTTAAAAAGTGAAAACTAAATTCTGGGTTCATATCAAATGAAAATTTAGAGAGTAATTATAAAATTAAAATATCTATTGAAATAGTTTGGCATATTTCTCTTATGTACTAAAGATAACAATTATTGAAAAGAACAGAAGGTAAAACTTGAGTGACTCAAAGGAAATTTTAGATTTTTGAATAGGACGAATGTGAAAATAGTATATATTCAATAATATGAATATCAGAAATTGAAAATTATAAGAGAGAAAATAAAAGAAAAAAAGGTTATTTAGTTATGTAAAATATAATTAATAATCATATCAAACAATAATGATTATATGTTTAAAAAGAATATTAAAATAATGGAAGAATGGGGAAAATATAGAATGAAATAAAATGATGTAAAAAATAAAAGTAAATAATAGAATAGTTAAAAATGTTTATAAAAATATTGAATAGAAATAATATAATAATAATAGGATGTAACAATAAAACACAAAAAGGAGTTTTAATAGAATATCAGATTTCTTCTGTAAAAGGATCTTTAACTGTTTCAAAGGTATAAGGCATATATTTATCTCCTCGAATTCTTAGATACTCATTTGCTACGCCACCTATAAGACCTAAAAGTCCTACGATGGGCATACATAGTTTTTCTTCTAAAATCAATCTACTTTCTAGTTTATTAAAATTTCTAATATCCTTATATATGATATTTTAAATACTTCAATATCCATAGCACTAAAGAATAATCCATAGATAAATCCAATGAGTGTACTAATGAAAAGAGTACAAATAATTTGATTAGGTGTTTCAACTAAAGTTCTTTACCATGCTTATTAGAAGAATCCAATGAGAAAATTAATGGTATCAACAAAGCCAAAGATTAAAGTAAAGTTAAGTGAAACACCTAAAATAATGTAAAGCGGAATTTTAGTGTAATAACCCATAGTTTTATTCCTGAATATTATATGAAATGAATATTACCAATCTCTTTCAAGACAGAAACAAATAATTCCTGAAGTGAGAACCATGATTCCAAAATATTATAAGAATTTTTTATTTGAATGTAATTGAGTATTTTCAGGTAGATTATTAACTCTAATAAGTAATAAGATTCCAATAATAATAAAGCAAATTCCAAAATACTATAAATATGAGATATAATTACTGCTGAAAAAATGATATTGATGCTAATTTCAACAAGTACAGCATTACCAATAGCAGATGCCATTAAACAAATGATTAAGCCTACAACTCCAGAGAGAGTGAGTTAAATTAATTCAGTACTTTTGAATTGTTTAAGGTATTGGTCCATAAAATGAATAAAGATAATTAAAAATATTGATAAATAAAAATGAAAAAAATAATAAGACCTCTGGTTGGTTTGATTAAAAGATAATTTTAATAAGGAGCATAACGTATTGATAAATAGATTATGAATAGCGGTACCATTTGTAGGAACTCAACCATTTATGATATCCAAGCATAGAAATATAATGGCATTATATGATTTAGTGCCTGAGATAGGAAGTTAACATTTTATAGCATCGACAGCAACAATAATTGGTGATGTAGAATTAGCATCATAATGTGTAGTTTGGTATGGTGCAATCTTAAGAGGAGATCTAAATGGAATAAGGTATGAATGTATTTATTAATTCATAGAATTCTCAATAGAGTAATTATAGGAGAAAGATCAGTATTACATACAGCATCTTCTTTGCCAAATGGAATGCCAGCAGTATTAAGTATTGGCAATAATGTTATGGTACAAAATGATTGCACACTCTATTCATGTACTATTGGAGAGAATTGTTTTATCGGATATAGATCAATAATACTTGAAGGAGCTAAATTAGAAGATGGAGCAGTCTTAGCACCAGGAACTGTTGTACCAGCAGGAAGACTCATTCCAAGTAATTAATTATGGGCAGGAAATCCAGCATAATATGTTAGAGATGTAGAAGAAGTAAATATATTTAATCTTATTTTATATAGAAAGATTTGAATTAATTATCATATATTATTGGCAATCAATTTTCTATGGCTAGAGAACATGATTATGAATATTTACCATATAATAGTGCTTATCTACAAAAAGAAAACTCTCCAGAGGATTCTAATCCAGAATTAGTAGCTACATTTAGATAATATGAAGATTGGGAAGAAGGATCAGTCAAATTATGATCAAAATTTAATAAAAAATCATATAAACAAAATATATATATATATTAAAAATAATTAATCATTTCATTTCCTTTTTGATCTCTTTGATTAATCTAATTCTCTTAATTTCCAATAAGGATTATTTTCACTTGCTCTTTAACTACATTTACTTTTTGGCTAAGATAATCTTTCTATAAAATTCTTTTATAAATCTTTTAATTATGTTTATGTATTCTTATCTTCAAAATTTGGTCTTAATTTATAACTCAAATCATCTAATTAAAATCTTTATGAACAATTTATATCTGAACTATTAAAAGTATTTGAAATCATCTCACTTTTATTTTATATACTAAAATTCTATATCTATTATTATTAATCATCTAATATTAACATTATTTTCTTATATTCCAATTTTGAATTATTTAACCATTATTCTTCAGGATGAATTACTGATACTTTTGTCTTAAATCCTCCTCTTGATTCATATTAATTCCTTCCATTTTTTTAAGACAATGATGATTATGGTACATTCTAAACAAAACTATAATTTTATTTAAAGCCAATATTTCCCTTAGAATTAATCATCTATAAAGGTAATGAAAGAGCATTATCAGATTATTAATGAAAAGATTTATGTTTCAATGGAGCCTTATTAGGTAATCCTAATGCTTAAGTTTATATTATCTTTTTTAATGGTTAAACTAAATTTCTACTTGTTGAATTAATTTTACAATCTTATTTATTTAATTATTATTAAGAAAACAATCCATTCATTTTTGGACTTTTCTTATATTCATATGGTTAAGTAGGTTTAGTATTCTAATAAATACCCTTAGTATCATCATATTCCAAACTATTTTATGAATGTAATACCATTGGAATTAAAAAAGTAGATTCCAGACAAGATGGTCTTCTAGAACCTATATATTCTTCATTGTTTTATTCAATAAAATTAGAAGTAGATAATTCAAATATTTTATCATCTCTATTTAATCCTTAAAATTAAGCAGTTCCTGGAGTTTCTAACTATTTTGAATTCTTTTTAGTTAATGCTTACCAATCACTTTCTAAAGACTCAAATGTAATACTATTTGATATTTATTAGTCTATTCTTGATTGAGTCTAAGTACAATTCTATAATATAAATTAAAGTGCTTCTTCTTCTTTACTTTCTCCTCCATTCTATCTTAAAGGTTAACATCTATCTTCATTTGATATTAATGTTCTAAATGACTCTTCAAATGTTTTAGATCTTCTTCTATTATACTATTGTTATTATAATGGTCTATCTTCCATTTATACTTTTAAATAATTATCCTAATCATTCTATACTCTCTTTTTTTCATTCTCTTAACATGATTATTCAGTAACCTTAATTTAACTACTTTACATTGTTGAATCCTAATGTCTAACCATATTCTTTAAAAGATCTAATAGTTAAATATGAGATTCATCATTCTCTTAAACTATTTTTGTACTACTTCTCTTTCTATGTAATTTATCTAATGGATTTCTTACTATCGGAGTTTCTTAAAACATTTTCTTATTTTTATCATAAAATCATACTTGTTATACTCCATTTAACTATTTTTCAGAAGATTTCGAAGATAATTTCATATCTAAATTTATTTTCGATGTTGGTCTTAATTTATTTCGACTTTCTGCACTTAACAATTTTGGAGTGTTCTGATATTAATATGGAATGTTTTCTTTATTTTAATTGAGCATTTTTTGATAATATTATGAAATGTTTGTTTAAGACTCATTAGCTTCAAACTGCTGATTTCCCATTAATTAACTAGCAGTTAAATAAAAATATAATAAATTCTTTTTTTTTGTGTAATAATAATAAAAAATAGAATTTTTGAATTTGATAAAAAGAATATTAATATTGGAAATAAGTGATAAGAAATATTGATTACGATAAAAAGTTTTAATTAATATTAAATAATAATGGATTATTAAAACTTGAATTTAACATGTTAAGCAAGTTAATAAATATGCTATAAGACAGTGAAGGATATGAAAAAGAAGAATTTAATCAGCACATTATGGCAAATAGTGAATAAAATGTCTAGGAAAAAAGAGAAAAAAGATAAATGGAATGAAAAAAATGAGAGTGAGTTTTCTTAAAATATAAACAGAGGTGCATTATGTTGTTTTGCCGAATTATGTACAGCATTAGCATGTAATAATTAAATAAAGTAAGATTATAAATACTATTCTTAGGGAAGTCAATCTTTCAAGATGTAATATAAATATTTACTATGCAATTGAATTAGCAAATTTAGTTCAGAAAAATACTAACCTTTAAGTATTAGAATTGGCTGGGTGCAATCTTAATACTTTCTCTTTGAGTTGTATATTTAAATCAGTAACATTTACTATTTGTGTAGATGATAGATCATTCAGGCTTGACTCGTTTAAATTTATCAAATAACAAAGGTTTTACCTATTCATCAGTTTAAGATTTCTGTAAATATGTACTCAAAGGAAAAAACCCTCTTATTGAAATCAATTTGAGTTTTTGCCAACTTAATAATATTTAATTATCTCTAATACTACCTAATCTAAAATACCTTAAATCTCTAAAGTAAACATTCATTTATATTAAGACGTTTTATTATTTCCATAGTCAAATTTACATCCTCTGAAAGTATTTTAGCTTTAAGCAGTGCTATGCTCAATTATACAGGAAATAAATCACTTGATTATTTGGATCTATCATGGAATCATATTAAAAATGATGGTTTAGAACTATTAAGTTAAGCTTTATTTATTTCAGTAAGATAAATCAATATTAGATCATTAAATCTAGAATATAATTAATTAACTTAAGATTGTCTAGAATCTTTAGAAGCTATATTATTAAAATTAAACATTGAAGAAATTAATTTATCAAAAAATAGATTCTCTGAATTTCAAAATCAAGCTGTTCTTGAAAAAAAGATGACTAAAATTGACCTCTCATATAATAGATTTGAAGAAATACCTAATAATTTCTTTTTGAATGTTCTTTCTCTTAATCTATCAAATAATTCAATTAAAACATAAGGAGCATATCAAATTTCTCAAGTTGTTAGCTCTAAAAAAGTTATGTGGATGGAATTGAATTTAAATAATAATGAAATATCAACATAAGGATTTATATCTCTAATATATGCACTTAAAGAAAATTAATAATTAATCAGCTTATCAGTTGCTAATAATAATATAACTGGTGAAGGAATCTTGGTTTATATCTTTAATCATGAATAATTAAATTTATAACACTTAGATCTATCCTATAATTAATTAAGATATGATCTAGTTTATGCATTAATATCTATGATGAAGGAATGTCAATTAAAAACATTAATACTTTCCAAATTAAGATAAGATGAAAATGATATACCTAGTAGAAGAGAAGAATTATTTGAAATCAAATGTACTAATTTAAAAATACTTGATCTTTCTGAAAATAGTTGTATGATATCTTCTTTACTCAATTCATTATCCTTACAATATAATCGTATTGAATATTTAAATCTAAATGCTTGTTAGATCAACAAGAGAGATTTAATTGAGTCTTTATCTTCTTTTTTAAAAAGAACAGTGACTCTTTAAACTTTATTGTTGGCTAGAAATAATTTAGGAAATCTTGATAAAGATAGTTTTATATGTTTAAATGATGGACTATCCTATAATTAATCTCTAACATATTTAGATTTGTCAAATAACAAACTTAAATTAAAAATACTTGATCTTATTGAAGGATTACTTAAATGCAGATGTCTAAAATTTCTAAATATTAGTAACAATCTAATTTATGAAACAAAAAGTCTAATTGTAAATTTTCCCTGTCTATTTTAAAATCTAAATCTACAAACCATAGATTTATCCAAAAATTAAATAGGAAGTCAAACTTTATTAAGAATTAGATAAGATTATCCTTATAGATCATTTCCTCAAATTAATTTATCAAAATAATAATTTACAGCAGATGATTTACTTATAATTACTCAAATAATTTCTGAATGTTAATCAATTAAAAAGTTAGAATTATCAGATAATGATTCTCTTGATTTTATGAATAATGTTATTGCTTATGGTGAAAATGTAAAGGTAGAATCCTTATCGATAAACAAAATATTATTTAGAGAAGACAGTTTTTTGAATTTGTTATATACAATAGAACTCAATATAAGACATATTAGATTTCTAGAAATATCAAATACTTTATTATTTTAAGAATAACTTATATAATTATTGTTATAAATAAGTAATATCAAAAATCTAATTGTATTAATATTAGATTACTAATCATTCAAAGATAATGATTAATAGATATTTGAAGCTCTATACTCTTGTTTGCATTGTTTTCGTAATTTAAAACATTTCAGTGTAAGAAAATCTATATTATGTATGTCTTTCTATGTATTTGTTTCTGAATTACTGAGAAAATCACAAAAATTATAAGAATTAGATTTAAGTGGTAATGTCTTAAATTAAAATGATTTTCAAATTTTATGTGATGGATTGTTTGTTAATTCAAGTGTGACAAGTATATATAATTAATTAAATAGCATTAAACTTTCGAAATTGTAAATTAACAGATGAATCATTTTTGTTGTTGATGCCTTGTTTACATGCTAATTCATAAATCAAGAATCTAGATATATCTTAAAATGAGATTACATTGACAATTTTATAAAAGATGGAATAATAATTAGAAGGTCGTAGATGTTCATTATAGAAAATAAAAATTTAAAACATCCAAACTTATTTGGATGCTTAATAAATTCCTTTCTCTACAAAATTTAGTAATCTTTTCTACAATTTGAATAATATTGACATATCAATGAATAATATACAGAATGAGAATTTTATACATTTATTGGATTAGTTTGTTAAATCTAAGATTCTAAAAAATGTACAAATATTGAATTTAAATAATTGTGGAATAATGGATGATTAATGCATAACACTATTAAATTTAATAGAGGGGAATCCAATAATATAAGAAGTTTCTTTGATAAATAATCGTTTAACAAGTAGAGGATTTAAGACAATATTTGATCCAATTTTAAGAAATACAAGTTAGTTATTAAAATTAGATGTGTCTAAGTAATTACATAAATATTATAATTTCAGAAATTTTATTAAAGATTAGTATTTTAATGATTTGACATCTGCTTAAATAATTACACTTAAACATTTTAGATTATTGATAATGGATGGAAACTTATTTTAAGGATTTAGAGTTTCAGGTTTGATACCTTTGTTATAGAAGAATCCAAAAATGTATATTTATAATAATTGGATTAATGTCACTGAAAGTTTTGCAAAACTAATAATAGAATAATATATGATTTTTGTTAATGATTTCAATATGTCAAAAGGAATACCAAAATATTTGACATCTCTAATAATTAATGACACATAATTGAGTGACTAATTTTACATTTGGTTTGGATCTTAATTTTTTAGATTACCATATTTAGAGTATATTAATTTTAAAGGGAGTTCTGAATAAATGACAAGTCTAGGGAAGATGCATATGTACATTGACATAGTAAATGAGAATTTTGTGAATTCTAATTTGATTGAGGTTTGTTTCTAATAGAATTAAGATAATGAGTAATAGCATTATTAACAATTAGACCTAATCATTTTGATGATGGATTATTTAAGTATTGGTTGTTAAATTTGAAAAATTACATGTAAAATAAGAATCACATATCATTGTAATAAATGGGAGAGGAGAGAAATGGAGATATTGTGAATGAAATAGAGTACGTACGTTGGGGTAAAATTGGAAAATGGATTGTTCATATAATTAATACAACTTTAAATTTAATTTAAACTTAAAGTTATGATTTCAGATTTAGTAATTCTTTACATAGTTATACATGTAAATAATTAACAAGAATACGTATAAGTATGATTGGTGGTACCATAAATGAGATAATAAAGATCTCATTAGGAATTGGTTCTATTTTAATACCAGGTTAATTGGAAACAATACTGTTGTAATGTTAAGAATAAACTAATTGCATTAAAAATGATGTTCATCTTATATTTTATGGATAAGTCATCTTTATTTATTTTTTAGTGTTATTACAGTCGTGTTTCAGTCTTTGGTTTTCAATATAGATTAGATTGAATGCAACTCCTGATTATTGTATTTAGACTTCAGATATGTATAGATATTAACATTTTAAATTTGCTCATAAAAATGAAATCTGGTTGCACATATTGTAATTAATAATTTCATTTAATTATTTATTGGAATGTAAAATAATGGGATCAATTTTTGAAATAGTTTCCCTCATTAATTCTAATTCAGAAACTGATTTTGGAGATATCAAATCTAATTTAATATTAGTGATTATTTTAATGGCTTCACTCATATTTTTCAAAACTATTTTTTAATTATACATAACAACAAAAGCTTTGCTCATTTTCCTTTATACTCCAACAGCTGATCAAGCCAAATTGTTTTAGGCTTGTTTAATAAAAGTTTAAGCAGATCAAATGCTTAATGTTGAAAGTGTTCTTAAAAATTATTGTCCATAAGGTGGTATTTATATTAAAGGAAAATTGTGGAATTATAAATAACTTTTTGAACCTATTCTAGGATTATTGGATTTAGGTTTAATAATATGTACAGCAGTACTTACTAAATTAAGGAGACAATTTTTTAGTATGATTCATTTTCAATAATTTTATACTACCACAGATATTTTGATTCTTATCTTTATCTGTAAAACCTTAATTAAAATTACTAAACATTTTTATTGTGCTCTTCTTTCAAGACCTCCTTAATTAAAGGTTTCTGATTTAAATGAAGCTCTACTAATTAGACGTTATCAAAAGATGGGCAGTTCATTATAAATTATTTAGAAATATCCTAAAATATCTATCAAAAAGAAATTTTAGATTTCTTCTTCATAAACTATTGGTAAAAAAAGTAGTGTTGATTTTAAATTGGGAGCCTTGACTAAAACAAAAAGTGATCGAAGTATTATTCTTTAAAGAGATAATATGAATGAAGATGAATTTGATTACATTCCTGAACCTATACAAATACCAATGGCTTCCATATCAAATAAATCTATTTAGAACATCTAATTCAAACATACTTGATTTAATAAATTAATATATTTATGTAAAACATTGACAGAATCAGAAATAAATTTCTTAGAATACTTATTAAACATCGATTCGTTAAAAGATTACTTGGAAAACAAAGACTCAATGAGCAATCCTATTTCACTGTAAATTAAGGAGCTCTTGCTTGTTTCAGAGAATTATGTTAATCATTAGCATGTAATAATCGCATCATGTACTAAAAGTATTTAATTTAGTGAAGTCAATCTTTCAGGCTGCAATATTAATGTGTATTTTGCCATTGAGTTGGCCAAACTAGTATAGAAAAATACAAACATTGAGGTGTTGCAATTAGCTAGTTGCAAATTAAATTCCTTCTCTCTAAGTTGCATCTTTAAGGCGGTATTAGTGTATTGATCAACTCTATAGATGATCGATCATACAGGATTGGCTCAATTGAATTTATTCAATAATCAATCCTTTACTCCAACTGTTGTACAAGACTTTATTAAGTATGTTCTTAAAGGCAAAAATCCTTTGATTGAAATCAATATTAGTCATTGCAATATTGAAAATGCTTAGTTATCAATGATTTTACCTAATCTTAAAAACCTTAAGTCACTTAAAAGACTTAAAATGGGGTTAATGAATCTAAGTTCTGAGTCATTGTTAGCACTTTCATCTGCCATGTTAAATTATACAGGTAAGAAATTTTTGGATTATCTTGATCTATCATTTTGTTAAATAAAAAATGATGGACTTAAATTACTTAATAAATCTCTCTATTTATCGGTGATAACATCTATAAATATCAAATCAATAAATTTGTCAGGTAATCATATAACTTAAGATGGTGTTGTACATTTAGAATAAATCCTTCTAAAATTAAACATTGAAGAATTAAATTTATCAAGAAATAAAATCTAAGAATTTTAAAATTAAGATGTTCTAAAAAAACAATTAGTAAAAGTAGATTTATCTAGTAATCTTTTTGAAGAAATTCCAAATAACTTCTTTCTAAATGTTTTATCTATAAATTTATCAAATAATCAAATAAATACTCAAGGAGCCTATTAAATTTCACAAGTACTTGCTTATAAGAAAGTTTAATGGATGGATCTGAATATAAATAACAATAGTATATAAACTAGAGGATTCATTTCTTTAATCTATGCTTTGATTGAAAATAAATCTTTAACAAATTTGTCAGTTGCAAATAATGATATTAATGGAGAAGGTATTTTAGTTTACATTTTCAATCATGAACAATTAAATCTTTAATATTTAGATTTATCTCATAATTACTTAAGATATGATTTAGTCTATGCATTAATTTCGATGATGAAAGAATGTAAATTAAAAACATTGGTTCTATCTTAATTAAGATAAGATGAAAATGAAATTCCTAGTGGTAAAAATGAATTATTTGAGATAAAATGTGCAAATTTGAGAGAACTTGACTTTTCATGCAATTCTCAGATTATAATGCCAATTCTCAAAAGTCTATCAAAATAATATAATCGTTTAGAATATTTAAACTTAAACAATTGTTAATTGATGAAAAAATCAGATAGAGAAAGTTAAGTAAAGAAATCTGACACTTAGACATTAGATAGAAAGAAATCAGTAGAAGTTCATGTTAAGAAATCAGAAACTTTAACAATAGATTTGAGAAAATCTGGAGATGCAAAATTCTTAAATTTTGATGAACAAGTTTTTATAGATTAAACAGAATATAAAGCTTATGATCAAAATAAATAAGTTTTAGAATGCATGTATAATTTATTATCTAAGACTTATACTTTGTAAACTTTATGTTTAGCAAACAATAATTTAAATTTTTTAAGTGATTAAGAATTGAGATATTTAGATAGTTATTTTGGAAATAATTTTACTTTGCTATCACTTGATATATCTAATAATAAATTAAAATCAAGAATAACACTTTTAGTAAATGGATTAAGAAATTGTGGATCTTTACGATATTTGAATATTAGCAATAATTAAATTGAAGAAGATGAAAAAGTTATCACACACTTACCAAAAATATTTTAAAATCCAAGTTTACAATATATAGATTTATCATTGAATTCTATTCATAGTGCAACATTTCAAAATATGAAAACAATTCTTTAAACATAATATAAATAATTTCCATAAATGAATTTAAGTTAATTAAAACTTACAGCAGACGATCTTGTTAGTATTAGTGAAATAATAAGTGAATCATATTCAATTAGAAAATTAGAATTATTTGGAAATCAATCAATTGATTATTTAAATAATGTATTAGTATATGGAGATAATGACAAAGTTAAATCTCTTTCTATAAATAGATTGAAATTGAGAGGAGATATATTTTTAAATTTATTAAAAATATTAGAATAAAATTAAAAATGGGTGAAAATCTTAGAAATTTCAAATACACTATTAAAAAATAAATAATTGAGATGTCTTTTAGAAAGATTAAAATAGATGCATTCATTAAAAGCCTTAATAATGGATAATTAATATTTTGAAAGCGAAGATGTAGTTGCTTCTATAAAAACAGACTTATATTGTTCTTTATTAAAATTAAAAACTTTATCAATACGAAAATCAACCCTTTCTGTTGAATTTTTTGAATTTATTTATAAACTATTATCAAATTCAAAAAAATTGAAAGAATTGGATCTAAGTGGTAATCAAAGTAATGATTATGGACGTAAATGCATCATATCTTAGGAATGTATTGAATTACTATCTTTAGGAATTTAAAATAATTAGAAACTAAAAAATCTTAATCTTTCTAAATGTTAATTAAACGATGAAGTAATGTAAATATTCATTGATACATTACCATTAAATAATTCTTTAATTTAATTAGATATAAGTGAATGCAATTTAACTAAGATTAGTTTTTTAAGATTTAAATAAAACTTTAATCATAATCCATCATTATTATAAAGATTATGTTGTTAATTAATGATCGAAGAGATTCCAACTAATCTTGTGAATAGTTAATGTCTTTCTAATTTATTCTATCTTGATATATCTAAAAATAAATAAAAAAATAGAAGCATTGTTAAATTAGTTCAATGTTGTTAACCTAAAAATATCTTTTAGAATCTTTTCTTCCTTAATTTGGAATAATGTCATCTCAATGATCATCATTGTAAAGCTTTAAGTAAATTGATTGTAATAAATTTAAAGGAATTACATTTAAGTTAAAATTAAATAGCTTATTTTGGATTTAAAGAATTATTTGATCCAATTTTAGATGGTAAATCTAAACTTAAAGCTTTAAATTTATCTAAAAATAAAATTACAGATGAATACTTTTGTTAACTTGAACAAAAAGAATTCAATATGAAAATAGATTCTTTAGAATTACTATCACTTGATGGAAATTTATGTCTTGGTAGAGGTTGTAAAGGATTTATTAAATTATTATAAAATAATCCTAAACTTTATATTTTTAATCATTGGGTAAACATAAGTGATTAGTTAGCTTATCTAGTAATACAATCATATATTTAGTTTACTCAACTTTATAATCTTAAATATGGATAGCATAATTACATATAATAATTAATAATAAAAGAGACTGATTTTTCAGATGATTTTCTAATATGGTTTGGCTATAATTATTTTTAATTGCCATATTTATAATATATTGATTTTTCTGGCAATTCAAGATTTTGTACAAGTATGGGAAAGATGCATATGTATATAAACATGATAAACAGTTAAGTTAATTATAATTTACTTTAAGTAAAGTTTGATGAGGTGGAACAATAAACATTGACAATGTTTGATGATGGATTAATTAGATATCATTTATTAAAATAAAAATTTAGATTTTAAAATTATACAATAATGTAAAGTAGTTATGGAATCAATGATCAAAATATTGAAACTGTTAAATGGGGTTTTATTGGCAAATTTGTAATTCATATAATAAATAAGTTATTATATTTATTTTAAGGATCATTAACTGAATTTAGAATGAGTAGCTAATTATAGCAACATTTGAGAAGAAAAATGAATAGGATGAAAATGTATTACATTTTAGGTTGTTTAGTGGAACCTGTATTTTTGATTTTAGCATTAATTGTTGCTTTAATGTTATAAACACCAATAACTTAGAAAGATTTATAAGATCACAATAATTGTAAAAATCAATATTGTTTTATTAATGATGTATAGATACTAACCTTTACTTTATTTATTATAAGTATTTTAGTTGTTGTAATGTGCAGTGTAACTAATTTGATATTAGCAATCAAATTAAGAATAAATTCAGAGCCTGATTTTTACATTTTAACATATGAATAAAAAAAGGAATTGAAAAGGAAATTTCCAATAAAAAAAGAGTTACTTTTATTAGTACTTTAAATAATTCTATAATGTAAATATGTATTTGATACTTTGATAATTTCATCAAGTTATGATATATCAAATTATATTGAAAAATATGGAGATAACAGTTTTAAATAAATTCGAAATAATTTTTTAGCATCAGCATATATGATGTCAATAATGATTTGCATTAAATTCTTCATTTTTTGTTATCAAGATTTCAAATGCACAATTTAATTTTTTAAACATCCAAATAAAGATGCTTCATTTCTTTTATCAAATCTTTGGATAAAGAATATATATGACACAAATATTATTGTTGAGAATGTAATAAGTAATTTTTGTCCTTAAGAAGGGATTAAGATAATGAATAGTCTTTATAATTTGAAATAGATTTATCAACTTACTTAGTTATTTGTAATTGAATTACCAATCTTCTTCATATATCTATTCTACTTTAATAACTATTAATTATTGTTTTCAAAAATGGGATACCAAACAGTGATAACAGTAACTACAATATTTTAAGTTGTTGGAATGATACGTAATGTTATTAAAGGACTTTTTAATGCATATTAGGCACTTGTATCAAGACCTCCTGTTGTTAAATGGTTTGATATAAATGAATTTCTATTGTTAAGGAGATATCAATATTTGGGAGAAAATAGATTAATAACATAATAATAATCTACATATAATAAGAAATAGAATAATAACAAGAATCGTGATAAGAAAAAGTCATTATTGAATTAGTAAGGATCATTAAAAACAGGGTCCTAAAAATCAAAAAGTGAGAGAATAATTGAAAAAGTTAGGAGAACAAGTGAAGATCATGATGAAGAAGGTAAGAAACATTATAATTATGTATAGGAGATTTTTTAGTAAAAAAAAATGTAATAACAACAGAAAATATGTTTTTAGGAATAACTCTTAATACCAAAATAAAATCAGACTGATTACTATATTCATGGTATAAGACTTTAAATAAATTATTACTTATAAATTTTATGTATTCATATAACCTAATTTTGATTAATTATATTAATTTTCATTAATTAAAATTTAATTTGATATTTTAGTAAAATAATTATAGAGTGAACATATATTTTAATAAGTTTGATTATACTTTTCAATAGATGTAAGGATTGCAATGAATAATATTGAAACGATTAAATTATATAAAATAGAAAGACTGTATTATAATATTGAATTTTGGATTAAAAGATATTTTAATAAAACCTATAAAAAATATATGGAAATATAAATGATTAGTTATAATAAATAATAAATTATAAATCTTTTGTATTAATAAGTCATGTGAAAGTAATTAAAATTAGTAATTATTATATATGCATGAATACTCTTATCAAATCAATAGTAGGGAAATTCTCGACAGTTGCATTACATGCTTCTTTTCCTTTTGTAGGATACAAATACGATGACATTGATGCATCCAGAAGCTATAGATTAAGATCTTTACTCTCTGAAATATGGGATAATAGAATAGACGAAGGATTTCATATGGCTTACGAGTATTTGTTATTTAAATATGTTAGACAATTTATTTAAGCACTTAGTGAGAAAGACTTTCAATTTATTTCTACAATAGCTAATGGAAATCTAGAAAGATCTCTAGAGAAATATAATTTTCAATTGTTGAATCTCAAGAATGGAACTAAAGATATAATCTATTCTGATTTAACGTATAATTATATAATATTAGAAGATTATCAATAGGTGACAGATCATAATAATGCGTAAAGATCTCTCTTTTTGATTGTATTAATTTAGATGTATATGGTAATGAAAATGAACGATCTGAAATTGAAAAGTATATTTATATCCTAATTAGTATTACATTCCGAGTTGAATGCTACATATTATCATAGTTAATGTTGTATCCAACTCCAGATGCTCATTTAGAATCAATTTATCATAGAGTATTTATTAAATTTAGTTTATAGGTTATGTTCGAACTGAAATTGACATAAGCAGCAAAATCAAATCCAGATTTAATTAAAGTGATGCTCTTGAATTCAAAAAAAAGAATCAAATATCTTAGAAACCATTTTATAGGAAAACAATACGAATGGCGCATTATGGAGATTGATAATTTAAACTTGTGATGAATTATGTATTCACTAATAATTATTAAAATTATTATATATTTAATTTATATATATATTATCATAACATTTCATCATCTGAAGTTTATTCATTCTCCTTCTATTCTTCATCTTATTTATTTTCTGTCTAATTTACTTAAGACTCTTCCACTTATACTTCAATTTCCTCCTTATTAATTTTTATTATTTATTGTTATATCATATTATTTCCATTATTAATGAAATTTCCATTTATTGATTTTCCTAATGTACTGATCCTAACAACTTAGATTGGTCGTTTAAAAAGGGAACGAACATCTTTATTCTTATGCACCTAATTAATGCTAGTTTTAGCTGTTAGTCTTTCAGTCATTGGCTCTAAATAAGTTGAACTAATCTCTGTTATTNTTAAAAGATATTTTAATAAAACCTATAAAAAATATATGGAAATATAAATGATTAGTTATAATAAATAATAAATTATAAATCTTTTGTATTAATAAGTCATGTGAAAGTAATTAAAATTAGTAATTATTATATATGCATGAATACTCTTATCAAATCAATAGTAGGGAAATTCTCGACAGTTGCATTACATGCTTCTTTTCCTTTTGTAGGATACAAATACGATGACATTGATGCATCCAGAAGCTATAGATTAAGATCTTTACTCTCTGAAATATGGGATAATAGAATAGACGAAGGATTTCATATGGCTTACGAGTATTTGTTATTTAAATATGTTAGACAATTTATTTAAGCACTTAGTGAGAAAGACTTTCAATTTATTTCTACAATAGCTAATGGAAATCTAGAAAGATCTCTAGAGAAATATAATTTTCAATTGTTGAATCTCAAGAATGGAACTAAAGATATAATCTATTCTGATTTAACGTATAATTATATAATATTAGAAGATTATCAATAGGTGACAGATCATAATAATGCGTAAAGATCTCTCTTTTTGATTGTATTAATTTAGATGTATATGGTAATGAAAATGAACGATCTGAAATTGAAAAGTATATTTATATCCTAATTAGTATTACATTCCGAGTTGAATGCTACATATTATCATAGTTAATGTTGTATCCAACTCCAGATGCTCATTTAGAATCAATTTATCATAGAGTATTTATTAAATTTAGTTTATAGGTTATGTTCGAACTGAAATTGACATAAGCAGCAAAATCAAATCCAGATTTAATTAAAGTGATGCTCTTGAATTCAAAAAAAAGAATCAAATATCTTAGAAACCATTTTATAGGAAAACAATACGAATGGCGCATTATGGAGATTGATAATTTAAACTTGTGATGAATTATGTATTCACTAATAATTATTAAAATTATTATATATTTAATTTATATATATATTATCATAACATTTCATCATCTGAAGTTTATTCATTCTCCTTCTATTCTTCATCTTATTTATTTTCTGTCTAATTTACTTAAGACTCTTCCACTTATACTTCAATTTCCTCCTTATTAATTTTTATTATTTATTGTTATATCATATTATTTCCATTATTAATGAAATTTCCATTTATTGATTTTCCTAATGTACTGATCCTAACAACTTAGATTGGTCGTTTAAAAAGGGAACGAACATCTTTATTCTTATGCACCTAATTAATGCTAGTTTTAGCTGTTAGTCTTTCAGTCATTGGCTCTAAATAAGTTGAACTAATCTCTGTTATTAACAAATTATATTAATTTATCTAATTTATCATTTTACAATTATATCCTTTCATTTACACTTCAGAATAATTTCTAAGTATTTTCTTCGATTTTGTTGATTCTAATAATTCTTAAAACAAACTCTCGAGTCTAGTCTTTGAATCCAGTAAAGCTTGATTTTCTATTCCTAACTTTTTGAATCTCTCTTTAAAATATTCTGTCTATTCTAAATTTGATTTGAGTAATTTCTAAGCTGCCTTATGAAATTCCTTCAACAATTATAATTCTGTCTATAATTCTTGAATCTACTTTTTTAATAATTCAATTTCATTTAACCTACCTTTTTTATTCTATTAAACAATTAAAAAATCTAATTACTATTTTAATTCAGATTTATCTCTCTATAACATTCTTACTTACTCCTTTATTTTATTATAATCTCCTTCCAACATTATTATCTATTCTCTTAATTATTGATTTTATTTTATCAAGACTTCTACCTATAGAAAAGAATACTCTATACCTCCTAATCTAACTTTCTCATCTTTTCAAATTATTCAACCAATCTCTTATCTTTCTCAATTTGCTTACTAGAATTCTCCTTATTACTTCCTTTTACTGTTCTGATCATTTACTAATTGTAATTAGTTTAAAATTATTTCATTTTCTCTAATAAATATATTTATGTTCAAAATTTAACTTTATCTCCTTTAGTTTTTCTTAAAGTGACACAGTATTTTATTACAAAGTGACTACTTTAATATATTCATCATTTATTATATTCTGTAAATCTTGCAATTATCTATCTTTAATAGAATCTTATTTAGAATAACTATTTATTTATTAATCTAGAAATTGTATTTCTTATACTTATTTCTCATTATACTTTTTTAAACTATCGTTTTCAATTTATAAATAATCTTTTTATCTTTTTACTACCTCAACCTCTTCCTCATTTATTTTAATCTTATTCTCCATTTGCTATTCTAAACTTGATAAATTTCTCATTTATTTTTCTCTTTAAACTATCTCACCTTAATATTTATGAAGATGTTCTCTCAATATTTCTAATTCTTTATTGCGTTTATTATTTTAATCAAAGAAACTGTTTTATATCTGTTTCTTATCTTCTTCTAAATCTTTTACTTAATTTTATAGTTACTCCTTCTCCAAAATAAGTAAGTTTTCATTATAAATCAAATTCTCATTGATTTATTTTAAATCATTTTGGTCTGACTGCTAATTTTTAATCCTTTATTCTAATTTAAAAGTATTACCATCTTTTAGTTAGTTATTGGATAACTATTAATTGCATATCTAATTCTGCCTTTATAGAAGCTAACTTTCCTTGGGGTTTCTTGAGTTCTTACTTAATTATAATTGTAACTTTTCCCCTAAATTCTCTTTCCTTAGTTTTCCACTCTACAAAGTCACTTTGGTTTTTTTCAACAAGTTTTAGATTTTAGCTCTCAAGCATTTTGATCTCCTCTTATAATTCTAAGACCTAGAATATAAAAAGTTGTTCAAATANTTTTATTCTATTAAACAATTAAAAAATCTAATTACTATTTTAATTCAGATTTATCTCTCTATAACATTCTTACTTACTCCTTTATTTTATTATAATCTCCTTCCAACATTATTATCTATTCTCTTAATTATTGATTTTATTTTATCAAGACTTCTACCTATAGAAAAGAATACTCTATACCTCCTAATCTAACTTTCTCATCTTTTCAAATTATTCAACCAATCTCTTATCTTTCTCAATTTGCTTACTAGAATTCTCCTTATTACTTCCTTTTACTGTTCTGATCATTTACTAATTGTAATTAGTTTAAAATTATTTCATTTTCTCTAATAAATATATTTATGTTCAAAATTTAACTTTATCTCCTTTAGTTTTTCTTAAAGTGACACAGTATTTTATTACAAAGTGACTACTTTAATATATTCATCATTTATTATATTCTGTAAATCTTGCAATTATCTATCTTTAATAGAATCTTATTTAGAATAACTATTTATTTATTAATCTAGAAATTGTATTTCTTATACTTATTTCTCATTATACTTTTTTAAACTATCGTTTTCAATTTATAAATAATCTTTTTATCTTTTTACTACCTCAACCTCTTCCTCATTTATTTTAATCTTATTCTCCATTTGCTATTCTAAACTTGATAAATTTCTCATTTATTTTTCTCTTTAAACTATCTCACCTTAATATTTATGAAGATGTTCTCTCAATATTTCTAATTCTTTATTGCGTTTATTATTTTAATCAAAGAAACTGTTTTATATCTGTTTCTTATCTTCTTCTAAATCTTTTACTTAATTTTATAGTTACTCCTTCTCCAAAATAAGTAAGTTTTCATTATAAATCAAATTCTCATTGATTTATTTTAAATCATTTTGGTCTGACTGCTAATTTTTAATCCTTTATTCTAATTTAAAAGTATTACCATCTTTTAGTTAGTTATTGGATAACTATTAATTGCATATCTAATTCTGCCTTTATAGAAGCTAACTTTCCTTGGGGTTTCTTGAGTTCTTACTTAATTATAATTGTAACTTTTCCCCTAAATTCTCTTTCCTTAGTTTTCCACTCTACAAAGTCACTTTGGTTTTTTTCAACAAGTTTTAGATTTTAGCTCTCAAGCATTTTGATCTCCTCTTATAATTCTAAGACCTAGAATATAAAAAGTTGTTCAAATACATTAACATTCTGATTAATTCGCATTTCAAGTAAAGCAACTTTTGATTCAAGCTATAAAACCTAAGTTTATCGACTTTCAAGTTCTGACTCAAGAAATTTGATTTTGATATCTTTATCAATCATTAAATTTATTAATATGGGAATAGACATTGTTAACTTCTACAGCAGCTATGGTAGTTACCACAACAATATTATGTAAATATTTTCAATGATCACACTTTAGAAACAAAGCCATTCACTTAGTTTGCATTCCACTCATTTTGCTTTCAGCTATCTAGATTGTAAACCATTACTCATTCTCTATTGATACAGGGTGTTGTAAACTAAACTTTGGTTTAATAATTCTTTTTGTTCTGGCCCTAGTCTATATGGCTGTAGACTTGTTAAGTGGAGTAAGATTTATAATATATATGATACACTAAAGATTCTTGCTTCGTCATTTTATATTACAATCACAATCTTGATGAACTAACACTTTGCCAATGCTGATGAAAATCTATGGAGTCATCATTTATGTGTTGCCACCACTTTCCAAATCACTTGTTGGATTTTGTAATTTATTGGACATGGAGTATTTGAAAGTAATTCTATGCAAATAAATTTCTAATTTTCTTAGAAAGAGCACCTGCCCTTTTAGACAATATTTTACAAATATTTGTTGCTCCAGACTTTGTATTCTTGGAAATATTGTTCTTTTTTGGTTATAAACCATAGATCCATTAGGCTTGCAAGAATCAAATAGAAAAAAATATCAAACAATTCAGGAATTAAAAGAAACTTAGATGATATAATATTAAAAAAATAAATATAATCAATGATTGGCAAAGAGCAAGTTGATGTTATTGATTAATATGCATAATCAATTGTTAATTATGTTGACAATCAATAAAAGAGTATGTCTATCTTATATTTTTTAAAGTAATTTAATTGAAAACTTCAACCATTTAAAAATTGAATGAGGTGACAATTGTACATTACTAAAAAAATTTAGATAAAATAAATTAAATTAGATCAGAATTTGAAGAAACGAAGAGTATTTGTAAATAATTGATTTTTTTATGAAGATTGTAGAGAATAAATTAGATGAAAATATTTAGAAAATAAATTAAATATAGAATTCTATTGAAGGTATGGAATCAGCTGTAGATCATTTGGATTCTCTATTGAAACGTATTGAAAGTAAATTGATAGATTTAGAAAAATTGAAGCAATGATATCTGATTGAATTGATTTTAAAATTATATATTATTTAATATGTAAAGTGAATTTTAGGAGGAAATAGTTAAATCAGAATATGTTTAAGCAGAAGAACAATCATTAAAGTTTCATAATATGGTTAGTTATAATCCAGAAAAAATAGTAGAAGATCGTCTTAGAGAATCTATTAGATAGTCAGCTGCTTAAAGACCAATAAATAATTAGGATGATCCAAATTCAGTTAAATTCCATAGACATCAATCATATAATTAATTATAAGCTTGGATGGAATAGGTAGGAATCGATATGTAGTAACACAGATAAATTATTAAGGATGTGTATCGTATTTTAGATAAAAGAATTGCTATTTCTAATAGAAGCATTCAAAATCTCATTCATTTCATCAAGACTTTTGTTTAACATGAAAAATAAAATGTAGAATATTTAAGAACTAAAAATAAAGATATATCTAAACTATTTTAAGATGGTTCAACCATGTATTATCCTAAATTAGATGAAACAATTAAAGAAATATGTAATTATGATCAAGGGAATGCAAACAAAATATTGAATCTACTAGATGGGATTGATAAATTCATTAAAGAAAAGTTAGATTTCAATATTGAAATGTTTGAATCTGGAATATCTACTCATAGAGATTAATATCGAAAAGCATTTAGTAATTTTGCATCTAGTTCTTCTAAACTTACAAAATATCGTCGAAAACATTAAGGATTATATACTAGGTAAATGTAAGGGGAAAACAAAGGCAAAGATCTCTATCATACAGAACGTAAATTAATCAATTCCTTTCTTGAGATGGCTAAATTATAAAAAAACATGGGATAAGCTGTTACTAGATTATTTGATGAAGTAAAAAAATAAGAAGTTCATAGATATCAAATAGTTATAACTTCTTTAAGGATGTATCTTGATAAACATGTCTAATTGAGTTAAAGCAAGTAATAATAAATATCAGCTTAAGAGGAACTTATTTATGGAGTAACATTTTCATTTTTTAAATAGTCTAGCTCATAAATCAATTAGAATCTGATTAAGTAGTTTAATCATTTGAAGTATTGAATTTATTAGGTTAAGATATTTTGAGAATTGTTCAAAAAATGCTTGGGAAACAATAATTGACACTTCCACAATTATAAGATTTTCTATGTAATTATCCAGATGCCTATATTAAATTGGGAAGTGTTTAAGAAAATCATTCTTTAGTTAAATTAAGAATTAAAAATGCTTAAATTGATTGTGGTAATGTTTTAAAGACATGGAAACCCTGTTAAATTATAGCTACCATTGATAATAATATTCTTATTTATCTTAAAGAAAACAATGAATTTAAGGGAAAGTTTCTATGTGATACTTCATAAATTATATAAAAGACGAGGGTACCTTTAACTGCAGAAATTAAATGTATTAAACCTGGATTTATATTTGACTCTACAAAAACAGCTCTCTTGTAATTAGAAGCCTAAGATTTTGATTCTCTTCATGGATTGTTATTTAAATAACTTAAATGATTTATCATTTATATATATATATTTGATATCTATATTAATTGTTCTTTGTGGAATTTTATTTTACAAAAATTAATTTTTTTACTAAATTACTTATAGAATATTAAAAATCAACTATCTTATCGTTATAATTCAGTAATGAATTATTAGGTTTAACTTTGTTATTGTTGTTTCTTCTATTCATGTTATCTTAACTTTTTGAATGTTAAATAAACTAAAATTGGTAATAAAATCACTTAAAGTATAATGAATATAATTTCCCAAACTTGTATTGATTGATCTTAATCAACAATACATTGACTTGTATTAAGTTAAGACACAAATACATAATTTTCATCTGTTTGAACATTTAAAAACTTATTTTTTAAAAATGGTAATCCTAATATGATAGCATTATTATATTATTCATCTGAATAGATTTTTAATAAATCTTATGAATTATCTACATTAACAATATAGTCAACTGGATCAATAATTAAAGGATTGTCTTGATTTTCATAGTTATAAAATAATAGTGGATCTAAATCCTCAACATTATCATTATCTTAATGATCTCTATAATAGAAACCACTTGTATCAAGTTTGAAACCTTTAGTTAGGAAATATTTATGGGGGAATATTTCATTTGGGATAGAAACTACATCTTCAGAAACAATATATATGGCATAACTAGAAATATCTTTTACTTTGAAAGAAATCTCCATATTCTAAATATGAAGACCATAAGTTGTATATAATTCTTCTTTTAATCTAGTATATACTCCTTGAGTTTTTTCAGGTAAAATATTCAATGATAGAGTATTGAAATTGGTAGAAAGATATCCATCAGTTTATGATAGACAAAGACTAAATCCATTCTAATAAAAGGTATTTTAATGATTCTAAAAAGGAGCTAAAGCAAGGAAACTAATTAAATCTTTGTCATTTTGATCTAACTATTAATCAGAGTAAACAATTGTTTATGAGTTTTGTTGTTCAGATTATATATCATAAAGATAGAAGATTTCTTTTTCAAGTTTGATCTTAGTTTTTTATCCATTTTAATAGATTTCTTCATAGCATTCCTCTTATTAGAAATCTGGACATCTATCATTTGATGAATGTCTTTGTAAGAATTCAGATAAAACTTCATCTAATTTAAGTTGAACCTATAGATTATAGTCTAATTTCAAGTAAGGTCGTTCATCTATATAGGAAATTGGATACATGGAAGAGACAATATAGAATTAGAGAAACAATAGCATATATAAATAAAATTAAAAAATAAAAAAATGGAAATCCCCACTATAAATTAATTAGATTTAAGTATTGATTAATAGCATATAAATTAAAGTCAGCCTTAGAGTAATAAAAATTTAAGAGTAAAACATAGTAATGTGAGCATAGGTTCTATTTTATTTAAGTAATTTAATATCTGCAGCATAACATTTCCATTGTCTATAGTACTTCTGTTATACTTTTGGATTTTATTTATCTATTAATAAGTGAGTGATAAATTATTGAGTTGTGTTCTATATGATTGTGGGGCTAAGTTTCGGCCAGATATTTTACATAGAAGTTAATTTTATAGAATGTTAATCTCAATCCCTTAATTCGGAGGAATCAGTCATATGATTATAGGTTTCATAACAATTTAAATGTATGGATATATCTCTGAATATAAATATGGAAAATGGAAATATAGTCTAATACTCTTTTTATCAGGCTACTCTAGTAATTTATTAAGCTCTTTAGTTTATCCTTATAATTTAACTGTAGGAGGTTATGGGATTGTATTTGGAACTATTGTACTCTATGGCTTTATTATTATTTAATAGAAATAAATGGGATAATACAAGAAGTTAATAATAGGGATATATTTTTTAGTATTTTGCATTAATTTTATTCCCATTATATCTACAAATCAAATAGATATTGCATGCATTTTTGGAGGCATTCTCTCAACTCTATTTATGGGAATCTATTTTTAAACTTTTTCATTTAATCGAGGAAACTATATATCATATGGAGCTTTGTTATTAGAATTAATTTATTTAATCACTGGTACAATCTTGATTTTAATAATGGAAGTTGATGATATACAAATAAGTAGGTTTTGTTGATTCAATTTTATTTATATTATTATTTTATTTACTAATAATGGATGCAATTATTCAATATGATAAATCTGAATTTCATGAGACATCATCTGGTATAAAAATATCTAAGAAATCCTTCATTAAAGGAACTGAATAAATTAATGTAAGTGGTAGATGCATCTTTTTTAATGATGTTATATTAAGAGGAGATCTAGCCAAAGTATCTATAGGCAAATATTTGGTTGTTCATGAAAAAGTAACTCTTAAACCTTCTTATTCATATGGATATACAAAAGAATCACCTACAAAAAAGGTTATCAAATTTCTACCTTTGATGATCAGTGATTATGTGGAAATCGATTCAAGTTCTATTATTTAAGCCACCAAAATAGGTACTTGTACATCAATAGGAAAAAATTGTTGCATTGTAATTGATAAATATTTTTGATTTTTAGTCTCATAGATGTATAATTGGAGAAAATTCAATAATTCTTGATGATTCCATATTGCCACCTGATACTGTTGTACCTGCCAATAGTGTATATGGAGGAAGACCAGCGGTTTANGTTAATCTCAATCCCTTAATTCGGAGGAATCAGTCATATGATTATAGGTTTCATAACAATTTAAATGTATGGATATATCTCTGAATATAAATATGGAAAATGGAAATATAGTCTAATACTCTTTTTATCAGGCTACTCTAGTAATTTATTAAGCTCTTTAGTTTATCCTTATAATTTAACTGTAGGAGGTTATGGGATTGTATTTGGAACTATTGTACTCTATGGCTTTATTATTATTTAATAGAAATAAATGGGATAATACAAGAAGTTAATAATAGGGATATATTTTTTAGTATTTTGCATTAATTTTATTCCCATTATATCTACAAATCAAATAGATATTGCATGCATTTTTGGAGGCATTCTCTCAACTCTATTTATGGGAATCTATTTTTAAACTTTTTCATTTAATCGAGGAAACTATATATCATATGGAGCTTTGTTATTAGAATTAATTTATTTAATCACTGGTACAATCTTGATTTTAATAATGGAAGTTGATGATATACAAATAAGTAGGTTTTGTTGATTCAATTTTATTTATATTATTATTTTATTTACTAATAATGGATGCAATTATTCAATATGATAAATCTGAATTTCATGAGACATCATCTGGTATAAAAATATCTAAGAAATCCTTCATTAAAGGAACTGAATAAATTAATGTAAGTGGTAGATGCATCTTTTTTAATGATGTTATATTAAGAGGAGATCTAGCCAAAGTATCTATAGGCAAATATTTGGTTGTTCATGAAAAAGTAACTCTTAAACCTTCTTATTCATATGGATATACAAAAGAATCACCTACAAAAAAGGTTATCAAATTTCTACCTTTGATGATCAGTGATTATGTGGAAATCGATTCAAGTTCTATTATTTAAGCCACCAAAATAGGTACTTGTACATCAATAGGAAAAAATTGTTGCATTGTAATTGATAAATATTTTTGATTTTTAGTCTCATAGATGTATAATTGGAGAAAATTCAATAATTCTTGATGATTCCATATTGCCACCTGATACTGTTGTACCTGCCAATAGTGTATATGGAGGAAGACCAGCGGTTTATATAGCAGAAACACCAGAATCTACTGCAATAATTTAAAAGTAAAAATTGATCAATTTTTATAAAAACTTTGTGCCTAAGAGTTGATATTATTATTCTATGTTTATTATTTTATAAACTGCTCAACAACAAGACTTTTTTTTCTAATTCTTTTACTATTGATTATCTTCTTATTCAAGAGTGATTATTTATTTAGTAGGAGATGGATTTATCTCTCCAACTACAATTCCTTATTACTACAAGTAAAACATAATTATACATGTTTTCCCAAATCAATAATAGCATTGTCAATTCGTTTTATAATTTCAATAGTTAAATCTCGGAAGAGTTATTAAACACCAATTCCATTTAAAGCAGAAACCTCAAAATAGAGAAAGCCTTCGTCAACTGCGTATTATCTCCCTTGGATGGATGATACTTAACGTCTATAAATAAAGGAAAAGGACTGTATACTCTTGTAGATCAATTTTATTGCAAACAAGTGCGATAACAACATCTTTAATTATTGAAGCTTCTACTCTCATTTCCATTATTCTTCACTTCTTGCACCCATTTATCAATTCCATTAAATGATTACATACTAGAACAATCATAACATAGAAGCACTCCTATTGCAGATCGATAGTATGAACGAATCAATGATCTAAATGTCTCTTATCCTGCTGTATCCCATATTGATAGACGTATAATTGAACCAGATATATTCATTTCCTTAACACCAAATTCTATACCAACTGTGATTTCATGTTCTTGTCTTGGTTGATCCTGTAAAAATTACTAAACAAGACAAGATTTACCAACAACTTTTATATTCATATCTATTTTACATGAATCGCCAATTATGATAAATTTGAATAAGTACTTAAATGTGGACATTCACTTTATCTAATTTATAAAATTTATTTCAATTAAGACAAACTATTTATATTTTCAAAATCAATCTCATTATATTTCAATAAAGATTATCAAAAAAACTAATAACTTTCATTTTACTTTACTATCATTAAATCAAAATGAATAAGATTATGTTGAGCATTAACATAAAAGAAATTTATAATTATCAAATTATTTTAATTGATGATCTACAGATAAGTAATATTCAAATAAATTAAACAAACAATTCATAAAATTTGTATTTCTAAAAGAAAGATGTCAAATTATTTTAATAATCTTCTACTTTTATAAAGATTTCCTAAATCAATAAGTAGTTCAAAGTGATTATTAGATAGTGAAACATAATAAATAGTATTTTAATTGAAAAAAATAGAATAATTAAATCTTTAAATAAGACTTAGCTGTAAGAAAGAATTATGTAATAATAAATGGAATTAGAAAAAACAAATGTATTAATAATTAATTCCAGATCAATATTATAAGAATACTTTAATGAATATTAATGCTTCAAAATTTATTTTTAAGTTTCTAAAAAGAAATTCTAAGAATTCAATAGTGTGCTTTTGATTTAGAAAAAAATGATTGTGATATTTATATAAATAATTAAAAAAAAAAAGTATGTACCTAAGAAGTGTAACTCGTTTAGAAATGTAAGGGTAGATTGATGCTTTAAAATTATAAATTGAAAATGCTAGATAGAACCATGAAAGAACAATAAAATAAATTCGATCAGAACATTAGAAAGAGGTAAGGATGCTCACATTTGATAGATTACAGTACTTTAAGATGAAATCAAAAAGACTCAAGAGATTGTAGCTAATGTCTAGTTTCAATAATACTTTAAGATGAAGAATGAGAACTAAAAATTAATATAAGAGAATGCATTATTGAGAGATATGCTTAGGGCTTGTCAAATTACAAATTCCACAAAGGAAATGGAAGTATCACGACTTAAATAGAAATTACGTAGAATAGAAGGGGGATAATCTTTAGAAGTTCGTAAAGAGTCTAGCAATTAAGTATGCAATAAGACGATATAATAAAGTCAAGATAAAATGAACATTAAATTTTACGTAAACACTCAAATTACAGACATCCAACATAGCCATCATTAAATGAATCGAATACAGAACCATCACCTAAATTATTGCCTATAAAATTCAAAGTTAATTAATGATATATAATTCATCTCTATGAAATCATTCGCACTTTTTGAATTCTCTTAAATTCTTATTGTTTCATCTATTGATAAAGCTAATTTAAATTTAGAGAATACATCTAATTTTTAATTTATATTAGAATAATTGATCTTATCACATGGATGCGAACTGTTTTACATAAGCATTCGTTATTTAACAAAATTTTCTAATTTCTATTCAAAAGTGTATTCCTATTTAACACTTGATTTCTAATTAAAATGTTATTAAGAATTGCTGATAGATGTATTAGAATTTAATCTTTATTTGTTAGTAAGATTAAAGAAAAAAGAAAGTTAAGAATTACATCTAGAGCTATTCTCATTTTAAATACTTTTTTTTATGTTCTATTTACGTTTAATAATTTATGAATCCGATTTCAATTATCTAAAGAGTTAGAGATATGCTTATTTATTTTAACCAACCTTATGTTCTGAGATTCTCTTTTTATTTAATTAAGTTTATTTATTTTCTTAAAAATTTGTTATTGCTCTTGTTCTTGAACTACTTGAATCATCAAGTATTTAATGATCATTTTCATTGACAACATCTTCATTTAATTAATGAGGAGATGGCTATGTGCATTATTTTTCAAAAGGTTCGAATAATGGATGCTGAATAACATCAATAATTCGCTTTTATTGAATATTTTTGAAAGTGTTCTCCTCTTTTAATTTACATAATTCTTACGTTAATCTCTAAGAATTAAATTTGGAGAATTCATATTTTTACATAGAAATTCTATCCCTTTCTGAAGTCATAACTCTTTAATCATTATCAATTTTTAATGTGAAACTATTTTCATGTCTGTCTTAGATATTTGTAAAACCAGAACCCAAATTAAATTTAACATCAGCATTTCCATTTTGCCAACCATTTATTGACCCTAATAATTGTTTAGATGTTTTCATTAGTCTAAAACTAGCAGGTCCATCATATTAACGCGTACTATCTATCTTACATAATCTTCTACTCCCAAATTATAAGGCTATTTTTCTATCAACATTCTTGTATTTTAAGAATTCATACATTTTCTTTAAGAAAGAGAAATTGAATTGCACGATTTATTGATGCAGGTTCTGTTGATCTTTCTTTAAATTTAGTACATTATCCAAAAAAAGAAACCTATATATGTAATTTATTTTTGATTACATCTTCTTTAGCAGCAACTTTGAGAGCTTCTTCATATTTCAGCCTTTTTCGTTAAATGGGTCTTTTTTACATTTATTTTAGTTTTATAATTTAAAAATGAATTCTGATGTAGATACCCCTAAACTAAAAATATAAGGATCCAAACATGATTCTACACTTTCATTCATTAAAAATTTTGATGAAAGTCAACAAAATTTACAAATTTTGAATGATCGAAAAGTGCTTCTCATATATGCCTCAGGAGCAGCAGCTGCAGAAGGTGAAGTGAATGAATCTCATATGACTATTATAAAAGGTAGATTAGAATAAAGATTAAAATCCATTTCTTATCTTTGTGATCTTGAATACACTTAGGTAATAATTCAAACTCTATCCAAAAGTACCATAATTAAGATGGATGCCTTACAACACCAATATCTGAGTCTGGTAGAAGAACAGTCTATAAAATTATGGAATTGGAACAAATAACAAACTCAAGATAAACTGTAAGTCTTATTCTTATATGTAGTCTTATAATGATATCAGACATATTGCTGAAATCATAAAAGAGAATTATGAAAAATATAGTGCATTTGTAATTTTAAGTGGGATTGCAACAATTACATATCTTGGGACAAATTTATCATTCATGTTAGAGAATTTATAAAAAACAGTAGTAATCACTGGTTCATTGATTCCTTTATCATTTATGAGAAATGATGCATTTTAAAACATCTTAGATTCATTAATTTTGGCTGGTAATTTCTTAATACCTGAAGTTCTGATTGTAATGGATCATAAAGGATATCGTGCTAATAGATGCAGATAATTAAAATGTGATTCTTTAGATTGTATTGAGAGTCCTAATTTTCCAAATTTAGTAGAATTTGGAATTAATATTGAAATAAAATGGTAATTAGTATTAAGAAGAGGTGAGTAGATGTTCACTAATGAGGAGAGCACTTTAGAATTAGCTCCTCCATTCATAACAGATATTATAATAATAAAAATAACACCATATACAAGTGTAGAACACATTAAACATATTTTAAATACTCCTAAATTGAAATGTTGTATTTTAGAATGCTATCATTTTAGTGAAATGCCACATAGTTAGGAATTATTTAATGTATTACTACATGCTCAATAATAATTGGGAATTATTTTGATTTAGATTTCTCAATGCATAAAAGGACAAACAATTTTGAACTTTAAAAAAACAGTAAATGGTATAATTGTATAATATGATATCACTCCAGAAAGTGCTTAAGCAAAGATAGCATATTTATTAGGGAAGGGTTATAGTAATTAAGAAATAATTCAAAAATTTCCATAGAATTTATAGGGTGAGACAGAATCAGTAAGATAATTTGAAAAATTTGAAGGATAGAAGTAGCATTTCATTTAAACAATATTGGAGACTTTAAGAAAAACATCTGGAGATGAACAGATTAGTTAAAATATGGATATAATGAATAAATATATAATACCAAATTTAGGATGTTTTTTAGCAACAACTGGATAATTAGAATTAATAAAGGATTTAAGGAAGAATGAAGGGAATTTAAATATTCCAGATTTCGATGGAAGAACTATATTACATTTGGCAGCTGCAAATAAATAGATAGAAATAATAAAATATTTAGTAGAAGAGGTTCATGTGGATATAAATCCAATTGATTATTAAGGATATTCTCCAATGTATGAAGTATTGATAAGTAGAGATAAAGAATTATTATTATATTTTTAATAAAATGGTGGAATTATTTTAGCACCTCATAATATATTGGTAGATTTAATATTAAGTTCAGGTTTGAATGGAGATTTATAGATGTTAGAATTGATATTTCATGGAGGGATAAAAAACTTGAATTATTTTGTCAATGTAGATAATCGTAATATAGGTCATATGGCAGTGATGTCAATGTGTTCAAAAATTATAAGATTCTTAAGATTCGTAGCTAAATTCGATTTTAGTGAAAGAGACAGATGGGGCAATACACCATATGAAAATATAATAGATATAAAAAGTAAGAAGATAAAAATGTAAAATATTAATGAAGAAGCAATTGATGAAATTATTGAGATGTTAAAAATGATTGTAAATGATTGAAAAATTAATTGACAATCTATGATAATCAATGAAAATCAATTAGTATAATAAAAATATTAATATCATATACAAATTCGAATCACCAATTAGGAGGTGGCATTCTTTTATTTTTTTAACTCTTTATTCTGGAGTAAATGTAGCAACATATCTATTAAAAGTGATTTAATCAAGAATGACATCAAATTCAATAAATGTCGGATCTCCTTTCTTTTTAGGATTGATATGAATTTCATTATGTATTCCTGATATATTACCATTATCAAATAGCCATTTCAATCTCTGGGAATGATGATCAATATTATATTTCAATTTATATGTTCGTTTGTTCATTATCATATTAGATTTCTCCTCCATAATTGATAACAATTTCTTAATATTCTGATTGTATAATGCACTAATTGGAACTATAGGATAATTCTCTTATTCAATATAATTAAAATCTATTGGGTTTTTCATTAAATCAATCTTATTCCAAACTTCAATCTAAATTAGATATTTAAATGATACCATTTTAGTACTATAGAATTATTGATCAAATCCTAATTAATGTAATACATCAAGTACTACTTATTTTTATTATTCTGAACATGGATGAGAGATATCTCTTATGTGTAATACAGTATCAGCATCTGATACCTCTTCTAATGTACATTTAAATGATTCTACTAAATCATGCGGAAGATCTGTTATAAATCCTATTGTATCTAACATTATTGCTTTCTATCCAGAAGCTAATCGAATTTATTTAGATGTCGTACTCAATGTTTAAAATAATAGGTCTTTACTTTCAACTACTTCTTTTTATAATATACAATTTAATAATTATGATTTACCAGCATTCGTATATCCAATCAAAGCTATTCTTGGAATTGTATGTATTAATTTCTTTTATTTCAACTTCCCTCTCTATTATCCTTCTTCTTCAATTTATCTACGTACTTTAGCAATTCTTTCATCTATCTTTCTTCTTTATATCTGTATTTCACTCTCTCCTGATCCACTCATCTTTCCTAAAGCTCTTCTTTATTTTGCAGATACAACTTCTAAGAATACTTCCTTTGCCATCATTAAATCTCCCAAAAATATTGATGACAAAGATGCAAATGCACTTCCACTTCTTACTAATTTAGTTTTTGCAAATTTTAAAAATGATAATTCTATTTATTATCTAGCTACTCCTTATGTAGATCTCTTTGCAAATATTTATAATATCATTGTAAATCTATCAAATACTTTTACATATGCATCTTCATATTCTATATCTGTTTCAGCATCTGTTGCTATATCACTATCATCAGGATTCTCACTTCTTCTAAATGTTGCCATTTCTCCTTTTGCATATTATGTCCATACCTTCTCTAAATTTCTTGTTTATAATGGAGTTAATTCATGATTTATAAATACTGCATTTACCTTTTTATCATATATATGTTCACCTTTCCCTTTTGTAAAAAAAGTTGAAGAATGAATTCTCTTTACTTTAACTAAAGATGATTTTGCAATAGAATTTCTAATGATTTTATTTCTCCATTCATGACCTAAATCATCACCACTATCATCAGATGATAAATCTACTAATAATTAACCATCATCATATGTTCCTGATAGAAATGGTATATAAACATATTCCCCATTTCTTAAATGTGCTTTACCTGAAAGTTCCCATCCTTCTGCTTTTAATTCATCTTCTTTATTCTCTACTTTTGCTTATATCGGATTCCTTCCTTAACTTCTACGTATATTCTATGTATATTCCTCTCTCCAAAAAGGTCCCTTCTCAAGTGTCCAATTTAATGATTTTGATAATCCTACTGCTTCCTCTGCCAAATATAATTCTAATTCTGGACCCTTATTTGGATAAAATACTGGATGGAGAACCAAACAATTTACCTATGTAAATCCAAATGGAGCATTTATTCTCTAAACATGTTAAGATTCTATTTCTTTTGAAAATCTTTACTTAAACAGTGCATTGCTTAATCTTCTTATAAGCATATTTATATATTTATAATTTATATGAACAAATTATCATTGCCTACAGATCTCAAAGACAATGAGTTCTTTGATGAAGATGCTATTTCTAAATCAACCATCTAGGCCTTAAATAATTCATTTGATAAAGAACAATTAGATGAATAAATTGAAAGACCATTTACTCCTATTGATAAACAAATCGATGTTATACCTAAAGAATAGTGTAAATTTTGTAAACGACAATTCTTTCAAGGAAAACTTGCACTTCATTTACGTAGTTGTACTGCTGATCATCCTTTTCTCAAAAAATCCAATAAATAAAAAACATTTATACCTTTAACTTAACCAGCTATTTAGCCCTGTCCTTATTGTCATAAGAAATTAAGAAATCCTTAAATTCATGCTTTAAAATGTATTGCTAGACCAAAAGCGTTAGATAAATATCAAGTTATCGCATCTATCAATGAAGAAGAAGAAGCTGATGAAACCTTACTCTAAGAACTATCATCAAGTTAACCTACCTTTTTACCTAAAATCAAATAGCGTCCAGAAAATTTGCTATCTCGCTCTGTACCCATCGTTAAGTGTCCTTCTTGTTAGAAAACATTTGAATAAAAAGCAGCTGATAAACATATCTAACTATGTTTTCGCATGAGTAGTGGCAATAAATTTTAGAGAAATGTATTCTGTACTAATTGTGGTAACAAATTCGCTAATAACCATAAGTACTGTGGTTCTTGCGGAAAAAAAAGACTATTATGACAAAATTATATTATTCCAATTTTATTCTCATGTAGTCTTATCTCATTTTAATACATTATTTCCATATACACGTCAGTCTTAAATCTCTTTAAATATTATCTCACTCCTTTATCTATTTATTCATAATTATAATTGATTTCATTTAAAATTATGTAATCATAGTCATAAACTTATATTAATTATATAAGTAGAAATCACATTAAATAGAATCTTTTAAAATTTAATAAGAAATATAAATCAAAAAAATTAATTTATTTTCAATAAATCTAATTTTTTTGCATTCTAATAATTTTACCTACAGAAATGTATACCAAATCTACAAAGCTACCCAATCCATTTCCTTAGCTTCTATATATTATTTTTCCCTTGAAATTAATGAAATCAATCTAATTTCTTATATCATTTTATACTTAAATTCAAACACTTAAATTATTTAAATTCAAACACCTAAATATATTTCGCATAATCAAGTGCAAGCATTTTCTATCCATAATTTGCGATCAAAATCAATTTATTTTATATATGAAAGTAGAAAACTATTAGTTAATTGAATTTATCAACAAAAGGATGGCCAAGTCGATTTTTAAATGATGAATCCAAGATAAGGTAGAAATAACACAGTTAAATTAGAGTTTATTTCTGATTAATAGGTATATAGGCTTTTTATGTCTAAAACTATTAATATTTTAAATATTTATACTAAATTTTAGCTTTATAGGAGAAATATTAAAAGCCTATTAATTTATATGAATTTTAAATATTAAGATACATAATATGATTTATAAATGAAGTGGTATGAAAAAATTAAAAATAACTTGAAAAAGAAAAGATATTGTAATAATAATGAAATAAAATTTTGGACAGAATAATAGGATAACAAAAAACAGAGGTAAGTATTAAGAATTTGTTTTATTTAAAAGAAAAATATATAATATAATTTTATAATTTAATGTAAGGTCTTAAGTTAAAGTCTTAGATAGGATTGATCTTAAGAAAAGACTTTGATGCTATGCCATTAATAAAATAGTTGATGGATTAATCATTGAATTAACCTCTATTACTATTAAATGATGAAGAATAAATGTGGACTTAAATTGCGAGAGCAATAGAGAATCTAAATCAAAAGAGCGTTAAAAAGTTAAAATAAATAGAAGAGAGAGCAGCAAAGATAGCAGGTTAAGTAGTAGAAGAGTAAGGAGAAGATGATTAAACAGAAGAGTAGTAGGAATAATAATAAGTGTAAGATGAAAATGAAGATGGGGTTGAGTAAGATGAATAATAGGAATATAATGAAGGAGATGGAAATGAAGAAGAAGGAGAAGAATAAGAAATAGAATAAGAATATGATGAAGAAGGAGGAAACTTTAGATTTGAGAAGAAGTAGAAATAAAAAGATGATTTTGATGAGTTTGAGAAATATATGTAAGATTATGATGATGGAAAGATGGGTAAAATAGATTTAGATGAGGAAGAGAATGAAGGAGAAGAAGAAGATGAATAAAATGAATAATTAAATGAAGAAGCAAACAATGATGGGTAAGGAATTAATTAGATATAATTATAGGGAGGATTCTGTATTTGATGATATGAGAGAGGAGGAATTAGAGTAGGAAAATAATGAAGTAGGTGAAGATGAAGATGAGGAAATAAAAAATTTAGAAGAATAGAGATTGAAAAAAAAGGATTGGTAATTAGTAGGTGAAGTATAGGGTAGATAAAGACCATTAAATTCATTAATTGATTAGGATTTAGATTTTGATGTGAATAGAAAAATATTAGAAGAGACAACTCCAGAGTAATAAAATAAATTAATAGAAATGATAAAGTAAATTAATTAATCGATTATATAATAGAAAGAGAGTTTAAGATGAACTTTTTGATGACAGATAGAAAGTTTAGATAAATTTGAATACTCTTGAGAAACCAATTGATTAAGTAGATACAAACAAATCATAATTTGGTTTAGCTGAATTATATGAAAGATAATTTAAATAAGCTTTAGGATTACCTACAAATACTAGTGAATAGAAATTAAAATAAGAATTATTCGAATAGTTTAGAGAATTATGCTATAAATTAGATTCTTTAACTAATTTGAATTTCGAACCAAGAGGATATGTAAAATAGGCAGAAGTTTAGGTTTTGGATAATAATGTAGTATAAAGAGAAGAGAAAGTGCCAATAACAGGAAGAGGAGAATAAATGGAAGATGTAGAGAAAATAAAAAAGACAGGATTTTTATCAAAAGAGGAAGCTGATCATTAATTAAATAAGAAAAGTAGGAGAATGGCTAAATAGAGAAAAAGAAATAGAGAGAGAGAAAAGAAAAGAAGTGGATTAGTTAAGAAGTTAGAAAGTAGAGGAGAAACTAAGTTTATGTACAATCAACATTAATAAGGAAAGAAATAGATGAGTTTTATTAAATAATAAAAAAATAAGGAGAGTGTTAAATTTGATAAGACTAGCACATTTTTTAAGAATTTATAAGAAAGTGGTGTTAATAAATAAGGAGGAGAGAATAAAAATAAGAAAAAAGGAGATAGATCAGAAGGAGATATAAAAATTAAGTCGAAATAAATAAAAAAACAATGAATATTTTTGTAAATAATTAATAAATTATATATAATAATAAATGTTTTAGAATGACGGTAATAGTTAATCACCGCATTGTTTTTAATAGGATAGACCAATATTTAAGATAATTAGAAAAAATGCTAGTTAATGTCCTGCTATAAAAAATCATACTTCTATACATTATAAGAATTAGATATTCATATTTGGAGGATATGATTCTAAAAAGAATCATAATGATATCCATATATATAAAGATGGTATTTGGACAAAATGTAAAGCAAATGGTAAGATTCCAGAGAGTAGAAATGGGCACACAGCAACTTTAGTAGAAAATAAAATGTATGTGATTGGTGGTTGGTTAGGAAGTGGAACATATGCCAGTAAGGATGTTTACGTATTAGATTTGGATAGTTTGAATTGGACACTTGTAAATACAATGGGAGAAGTAAAAATGCTTAATTTAATTTAAGGTACCTGGTCCATGTAATATGCATAGTGCTGATTTAATTGGTTAATTGATATATATATTCAGAGGAGGAGATGGCAAAGATTATTTAAATGATTTACATAGTTTCAATACTAAAACTAATATGTGGAAACTAATTTAAACAGTTGATAATTAAAGACCTCCACCTAGAGCTAATCATTGTTCTTCTGTTTGTTAAAATAAATTATTTATTTTCGGAGGTTGGGATGGCTCAAAAAGACTTAATGATTTATTTTGTTATGATGTGACTACCAATAAATGGATTGAATTAAAACCTCTCTAATCTCCAAGTGCTAGAGCTGGAATGTGCATGACTACTATTAATAATAAGATCTACTTATTTGGTGGCAGTGGACCATAAACTACTTGTTTTGGAGATTTGTAATGTTATGATCCTATTAAAAATGCATGGACTATTATAGATCTATAAGATGAAGAATCATTTGATAAAGCTAGAGCTGGACATAGTATGACTTCTATTGGTAATCTTATATATATTTTTGGTGGATCTTGTGGATCTCATTATTTTAAAGACTTTTTCATTATTGAAACAGATCCTCCCCCATAAATTTCTGTCCTTTACTTCAATAATATATCTATTAATCAATATTTTAAAGGCTTTTTCAATTAATAGAAATATAGTGATATTATATTCCTTGTAGAAGATAAGTAATTTTATGCACATAAAATTATTTTATCTCGCTATGAAATGTTTAATAAAATGTTTGAATGGGAATATAAAAATCTATAATAAAAAGTTTAAATTAATGATTGTCCAGCATAAATTTTTGAATAATTTTTATATTTCATTTACACAGGAGAATTATAATATGATCAATTTCAACAATCGGTTGAATTTTATAGATAACTATTGTAAATGGCCGATTATTATTTAATTTCAGATATGAAAACATTTTGTGAAAAATAACTGTCCTTATTAGTTGATAACTTTACCCTGCCTAAAATAAAGCTTTATGCTGAGTAAATGAATGCCATTTAACTCCTAAAATTTTGTGAATGGTATGAAAACCATAATAACTGATTATATATATATTTCTTTAATAATAATTATTCACTCAATAATGATTTGACTCCAAAATTAATTATGCCATTATTTAAATGTATCCTTAATAGTTTATCTAGTTTATGTCAAAACAGGAGGATCATTAGCACTTGGACTTCTTAAATCAACACAATGAGAACAATCATCACAATCAATTAAATAAGTAATGACTTTGCTATTAGCTTTGGTAGTTTTAGTCAAGGAAGCTCTTTACCAAGGATCTTCTCCTCCATTAGTCATAATTAAATGATCAACATTTAAGTTTAATCCACCAAAATAAGCTTCAGTAACTCTAACATCAGGCCAAATAACTTCTCCTTAAGAGTATGCATCATTACACCATTCTCTCCACCAATCCAAAGTTAATTCATAAGATCTTAAAGAATCTTTATTCTAAAATAAATTAATAGAATATACTTAAGGAGGTGTTTATAAATAAGCAACTTCAGTGCAGCATTAGAAATACCATTAACGATGTTAGGAGTTTTCATCAATAGTTTCATTTCGTAAATAGTAAGCACCATATTATTTATAACTATCTCCTTATGATAATGCAATTTCTCTAATATATTCAGCCATTCTCTCAATAGAGGGTAAGGATTCAAGAGTTTAACAAAACTTTGTTCGTTTTCCTTATTAGACCATTTAAACAATAGTATCAACCCAAAACCATCTAAATTCGTTATCTGTCATTTTGCCACATCTATAAGATTCTTTAAATGCTTATTTGGTATTGAAATTCTTTAAATTTTTATCTACATAACTATTCAATAATTATAAATAGAGTGGACATCTAGATAGATAATTTTAATATATTACTATTCACCACTTTTGCTTGTACTTTTTCTAATTTAATCATCAAATTCCCAAAAGTCTAGTATTGTATTAATGACTCCACTACTAGCTAGATTTCCTACAGTTAAATGAGGATACTTGTATCTAAACCAAGCTGACAAAGCTCCTGGATATGATCCACCAATTGCATACCTAAGTAAGATATCTTTCATACCAAGGTAATGTAGAATCAATATTATGTAATTGAAGTCTCTTCATTTATAATATAAAATATGCAAGATCATCTAAAGCTTAATGAACATTTAAATAAGCCAAATTTTCTAAACTCCATGAATCTTCTCCAAATGGTTAAGATTGTCCATAGAATCTGTGTTCTAATGCTATTACTATTGCACCTAATTCTTTAGCCAATTAAAATGAAAATGAATTGTCACTTACTCCTTAACAATTCCATTCTCCACAAATATATAAGATTACTCCACCTTTCGTAGAATTGTAATATTAAGAATAAACATGATATCTCTATTGCCATGTTTAATTATTAGCTGGATCACTATGATCTAATAGTTATGTGAATTAAAAAGTCTCTTTTGTTTCTGTAAATGGTCCTTACGTCAACACATGAGGAGCGATTGCGTAAGAGCAAATTGTTAATGCTGACAAAATCAAATACATAATTTATTAATTTAATTACACATTATTAAATTTAATATATGTAGTGTCATTCAATCTTTGTTTACATGAATTAGATTAAACAAACTATCATATAATATTAAATCACTTAATATATTATTATATTATATCATCATCATCAATCAACAAACATATCCTTACTTACTGTAAGTTTCTTCTGACAATTCTAAATATACTACTAAATTTCTTTTTTATTCTCTGATTTAGGAAATTAGATCATAATTGAATTAAACAATTAAAGAGCTGATTCGTAATCATTTAATTCATAATTTGCTCTCCCTTTTATCATTAATGCTATTTTACTTTTGATACCCTACCTTTTTCATTTTCATTATCGAAGTTTAAAGCCTCATCACACATCTAATCAGCCATACACCATTCTTTTAATTTTATATAACAAACTGCTCTATTTGAAAATGATTTACTTATTTCCTTTGAAATCTTCTTCCAAAATTCTTAATTCTTATCTTACATTTTTAATCTGGAAATCAATTAATATATAGATATAGCTTAAATATAATGTTATTTTTGAAATATCATCCCAGCATACTTTCTCACATCTTCAATATAGAATTCTAATTATTACTAGTTAAAATTATGAATATCCTTATACTCAAATACATTTTCTATTTTTAATAACCAGTATAATTTTTTTTACATTTTTAAAGGTATCATATTGTCTGTATAAATATCTATTTCTTTTTAAGTTAAAGCATAAACTTCACTAATCTCAAAAAATGCTTATTCTCCTTTCATCATAGTTTTTAGAGCACTTAATAATCCAAGAGGAATAGAATAAAAATTCTCAAATAAAACAATAGTTTTAAATGTATCTATAGATTATGTAATTTCTTATCCTTCTTGATTGAATTCTATTAATGTGTAACATATAAATTAGGAATCAAAGTTTATTAATTCTGAACCACTAATAAAAAGGTCTGGAGAGATGTATTTCCAAAGCATGTCTTCAACAATAGTTAACTTATTTGATTAGTATTATTATTGCATCTGATTATATTGATTTAAATTTTAAAATATAATATATGAGTAAGGATAACAAAGGTGAAATAGATGTTGATAGTATCATTGAAAGACTTTTAAGTGTTAGAGGAAGTAAACCAGGAAAAAATGTAAACTTAACAGAGTCAGAAGTGAGAGGATTGTGTATAAAAGCTAGAGATATTTTTATATCTCAACCAATTTTATTGGAACTTGAGGCTCCATTAAAAATCTGTGGTTAATTTATGATAATATGAGTTTGTAGGTGATGTGCATGGTTAATATTTTGATTTACTTAGATTATTTGAATATGGAGGATATCCTCCAGAAAGTAATTATCTATTCCTTGGTGATTATGTTGATAGAGGTAATTAAACTTAGTTTATTTGATAGGAAAACAATCATTAGAAACTATTTGTCTTCTATTAGCATATAAAATAAAATATCCTGAAAATTTCTTTTTGTTGAGAGGTAATCATGAATGTGCATCCATAAACAGAATTTATGGATTCTATGATGAATGTAAATAGATTAATAGTAATGATAGGTAAACGTAGATATACTATAAAACTATGGAAAACATTCACTGATTGTTTTAATTGTTTGCCTGTAGCTGCATTAATTGATGAAAAGATTTTATGTATGCATGGTGGATTATCTCCTGAATTATCTAATCTGGAATAAATTAGAAGAATAATGAGACCAACAGATGTCCCAGATACTGGATTACTTTGTGATTTATTATGGTCTGATCCTGATAAAGATGTATAAGGATGGGCTGATAATGAAAGAGGTGTTTCATATGTCTTTAGTCAAGAAATTGTTTAGGTCTTTCTTAAAAAACACGAATTAGATTTAATATGTAGAGCACATTAAGTAAAATATACTTAATCAATATTTATAGGTAGTTGAAGATGGATATGAATTTTTTAGTAAAAGACAATTAGTAACATTATTTTCAGCTCCTAATTATTGTGGTGAATTTGATAATGCAGGTATATCTATATATATTATTATTAAATTTATAGGATCTATGATGACTGTTGATGAATCCCTCATGTGTTCTTTTTAAATTTTAAAACCAGCAGAATAAGGATAAGGTGCTTCCCAATAAAATAAAGCAGGAAGTGCTAAATTTGTGAACTGAATCATCATCTATTATCATAATTAAATTCACAAATTTTCATTACTTTATTTTCTTTATGATCAAATATAAACAAATCACATTAGTTGATCTAAAAAATATAGAAATTCTTTTTGTTCTCCTTCTATTCAGTTGTTTAACATTCATTTGGTTTACTTTCATATCACTTAAGTTTACTGCCATTATTGCTTTAACTATTTGTTCTATAACTGTTATCTTAAAAATTAGATGGATTAGAATTAAGAGATAAGGATTCCTAAACAATATTTCTAATAAACTTAGAAAGATTTTATTAGAAAGATCATTATTTGATATACTATGTGATATTTGGTACTTTGAAACTATTAAGAGACATGTTAGAGTATTTTTAAGTCCATTTCTAATTAAAAAAACCCCTGAAGAAATAATAGAATCATTTGAAGATATCAATCCTAATTTAAAAGAAGCTATTCTTAGAAAAGGAACTATTAATTTATTTCCAGAACCAATAAAAAAAGAATTAATAGAAAACTACATTAAAGAAGATGAACTCTAAGATAATTAGGATAAATAATTACATCAATAAATCATACAACAACCACTTAAAGTTGAACATTGGGATAGATATTCAGATTATGAATAATATACACAAAAAAAAAGAAAAAATAACTCACAAACATTATTACATGTTATCTCTTTGCTTATGCATAAACCAATTGTTCATAAGGAAAATCATAAACTTAATTTACGAAAGTATTATTATTATTTGTTAATATATTATTAGATTATCTAGCAACACAAAAACTTTATTGATTGGATCCATCATTTGTATTATTATTTAGATGTATTTTTCGAAATCATCTCGAAGAATCTATAAAAAAGCTTTTACAGTTGTATCTTCCATGTCTTTATTGGCATTAGCATCCACTGCTTTAGGAGTTATGGCTTTAAGTAATAAAAAATAAAAAACATTATGATTTTTTGATCATATATTATATATAACAAATATATAAATTTTATATAATTTTACATGCAACAAAATATTAAAACTGAAATGAGTGACAGCACTTTTAAAAGAGGACCCACTTTTTCTTTAAAATAAATTTGTAATTCTCAAATCTTTTATGAATGCAGAGAACCTTCAACCAAAAAATCTCTTTATCTTAAAACCAGCCAAAACTAAATTAAACTACCTCACTTTTAAACTAAAATCATTCAAAGAAACGATGATATCAATTTAAATTAAAACAATAATACTATCATATCAGGTAAAACTTACCTTACTAAATCAATGGAGCATTAATATTTAAGACTTTCTTGTGAGAATTTAATGGCACCTTTTTGTTGTTTAGTTTAATGTACTAGTGAATTTTAACTTATGATTTCATAAATTCATCCATTCCCAACAAATTATAATTGTGAATAAGTTATTAATAATCGAGGATTTTTTGTTTCAGTAATTACAGGCGAATTTATTTATATTTCAATCATTACTCGAAAAGATTCAGAAATTTAATTCAATCTCTAATTTAATATATAACCTGAAGAAAATTAAAGAATTAAAACTCTTTAAGATTCACCATCTACTCTTGATTTCTAATAAATGCATAAACTTTCTCATTCCAAATCTTTCTAATATATAATCAATTCCAATAAGGAATTAGCAGGAATTAAAAAAAATAAATATCTAGATGAAATATCAAGATCAGAAAAATTCTTGAAAGTGTTATCTACAAGGAACTTTTAAAGACAATCAAAGACATAAGCAAAAATGTAAAAGTAATATCAAATTAAAGCAAAAAAACTAGCTAATTAAGAAAAAATCCTTACTAAAATTATAAATGAGAAGAAATGTCAAAAAACAGTTTTTGAATAATAATGGGCCATTATTATTTATTTTATTAAAATGGCTTCAAGAGTTTTTAATGTTTTCGGTCATAAAAAGGAAATAATTAGAAAAAATGGAGAAGTAGTTTTTCGACTAAAATCATTGCTACGTTAAATGAAAAAAAATGTTATATCTCCAAAAGGAGATTCAGTAGAAACAAGAGTTTTAGTTGATTGCTTCATTTCAATTCATGCTAAAACAACAACTATAAGAAGGAAAATAAGAACAATCTAGGTTTAAATATTAATACCTATTTTGAAATAAAGAGCTATAATTTATTTTTTAAAAGTGAAAATGCTAAAATTAGGAGACAAACTACTAATAATAAAAAAACATATCTTATAATTCGAAGAGAATTATACAAAATATAAAAATGATATGGTTGTTAAATGGGAAAATCTTAATGAAAAGATCAAAGATGAAGAAATAAAATGGAAGTAAGCTGCTTTGAGAAATAAAAGCCTTGTGAATTGGTTCTAAGTATTGAAAGATAAAGAATTAGCTTAATAAATGTAAAAATGTTTTATTTTTGAATTAATGAGAGATAGAATAAGGTAACATATTTAGGATCAATAACTTATAAAGAAATATAGAATGGATCTAAAATATTATAAATAAAAATTGAGAGTTTGCAGAGACTTTGTGGAAGCAAATACATTTCGAATGGAGATCTTTAAATTAACTAGTGATATATATGCAATGCATATGAAGAATTAGTTATTTATGCATGTTGATGTAGAGAAATATTTTCACTTGTTAGTAAATAAATATATATCTTTGGTTGATGAGCCAGACAATTTGTCAAGAGAATTATAAACTTAATAAAAATAGAAGTAAAGGTAATCTAAACTTTCCTTAAGAAGAGTAACAAGAAAATCTAAAATTTGATTGAAATAGTTTTTTTGTTTAAAACTTTTCTAAACATACTTTAAAGAATATTAATTAAACACGTACTAAATCGTATACATATATATCATTATTACTTTTCTTCTCTTTTTTTGCTTGCAAATGTTTTTTATCTCTACAATTCCTTTTTCTTCAATTTTGATAGTTCATGTCTTTTTTAGCGTCTTTCTTTGTTTCTCTATTTTTTTGCTTTTAATCTTAATTGTGTTTTAGATTTCATATTAGGTTAAGTTGGTAATAAAACAGGTTTTTTCTTAATAAATAGATAATTATACCTTAATTTATTTCTATTGATCGTGACAATATAAGCGATAGATGTTAGATAATGAATCAGCAAATTTATTAATTTATTATTTATTTGAAGAGGTAGAAATAGTTAATTTTTGTGTTTATGATCTAATGGTAATTTCATTAACATCATTAGCTGTTTTGATTTCAGTGAATAATTGTTGTTTTTATTTTCTTTTTAATTTTTTTCTAAGTTATGGATATTGATCTTTTAAATCTAAAAAAAAGTATAAATGAAGATGAAATACTTCTCTTGATAGTTAGTTTAACGATTTTTTCTCCATTAAATAATTTAGACATTTAGCTTAGAAAACTATCTGGTTTTTTCTTTCCCATATATTTTGAATAAAAATATTATATTTTATTAAATGCCATAGCAGATCAAATAGCAGGCAAATTGCCTTCCATAATTAATTTTCTGGCTTGATCAAAAACTTTTTCAGGATCAACATTAATTTTGGCAACACCTGTCTTCATGGCAGCAATAGCCACAGCTCTAGCAACATTAGCAGGTATTTCTGCAGTTAAAGCTCCAGGTAAAATTTTAGTTGTGCTAAGTTCTGATTCTTTAATACTATCAGCTATAGCAAAGGCAGCAGCAATCTTTATTAAAAAATAAAAACATACTTTCATATCTAAATTGATTTCTTTTGCTCTTGTATCAATAGCACCTCTAAAAATTCCTGGAAAAGCCAAAGAATTATTAACTTAATTATTGAAATCAGATCTTCCAGTAGCAACAATAAATGCTCCAGCTTAAATAGCATCATCTGGCATTATTTCTGGAACAGGATTAGCCAAGGCTAAAATGAATGGATCTTTATTCATAGTTTTAACCATTTCTTTAGTTAGAGCACCCTATATAATAATATAAAATATACAGCACTAGATACTCCTACAAAAAGATCTCTTTATTTAACTGCATCAGCAAGTGTACCTTAAATTTTATTTTTGTTTGTAAATTTAGCTAAATCATTTTTAAAATTGTTCATATTTTATGGTCTGCCTTCATAAATGATACCTGATGTATCACAAATTACAATATCTTCTATTCCATGTCCATGTAATAATTTACAAATTGCAACACCAGCAGCACTTTATTATTTTATTGATAAAAATTTACCCTGCTCCATTAATAACTAATTTTAAATCCTTTACATTCTTTTTAGTTAATTTAAGATAATTAATAACAGCTGCTAAACTAACAACAGCAGTTCCATGTTAATCATCATGCATTAAAGGAATATGTAAACTATGAACTGCTTCTTCTTCTATAGGAAAACAATCAGGAGCTCTTAAATCTTCTAAATTAATTGCTGAAAATATTGGAGCAATACTTAAATAGAATTAATAAGTTTATACCATTTAATAATTCTCACTAATTTATGAGGATCTTTCTCTTTAAGACATATAGGCATAAGATCTATACCACCTAATGCATTAAATAAGACTGATTTCCCTTCCATAACTGGAGATCCTGCTGATGGCCCAATATTACCCAAACCTAATATGGCTGTACCATTTGTTATTATTGCAGCATAATTCTTTTTAAAAGTTATCTCTCTTAATTTTGTTGGATCATCAATAAGGATTTATCTAAGTTATGCCAATTCATCTGATTAATAGGATGTTTCATAAATTCTATATAGATCTTCTAGAGATCTTGGATTAAACTTGAGTTCTATTGTAATCATTCCGTTGTATCTTTTATGTAATTCTAAGGCATTTTAATTGAAATCATTATTCTATAACAAATGATCACTCTTCCATTTGTTATAATAAGCAACTTCTCCATAAATATAGAGATCATTCAATTTATTTATGAATGTTTCTGGTTTTGTATTTTAAACAGTATGATGACACCATTTATTATTATAGATTTCTTATAATCCTTATGCATAAGCTTTGTTTAATGTGATTGTCAAATATGTAGGTAAGTTTGTAAAGTCAATTGTTTTTATTGCTTTTTTCACTTATTCACATTAAGAAGGCTTAATAATAGCTCTTGCATCAAGAGTTGCCTTGACTAATGCAGCATCCTAAAGTTATTCTCTCAAATTATGAGAATTAGAGATAATCACTGTGCATTACAAATTGGCATTTTCTACAGCAGTAAGAATTTATGAAGCTAAAGTATCTTCAATGTCAATTAAAACTATAGTCTAAAAATAGACTCTAAAAATATTACTTTATATGTAGTTGATAAATTATCCATAACTAATAAATAATCTGAGACATCTGTCATAATATGTCTATCTAAGATAATTGGATAAGCATCAACATCATAGAAAGCTTTATACAATGCACTTATAGCTTCTAAATTTGGAATCATTTTTGATGATCGCGGAAGATCAAATTCTCATAGGTAAATTTAATATTCATACTTGATCCATCAGCAAGCAATGCAATTGAATTTCCAGTTATTGTTAAATCATACAATTAATCTGGGTCTTTTTCAATCACCTTGCAAATATGACCAACTCCTGGAGTATATACAAGAGAAAGTGTATAATTGTCAGTAACTCTCACTTTTGGCTTAATTCTTATTAATCCATTGGTTCTCAGAAACAAATTTTTTAGACTTTGTTGAGGCTGCATATTAATTTTATTAATATGATATTTCCAATTTTTCTTATCAGTATTTATTATATTTATAATGTTGTAATCATTTGCTAGCAATGTCAGTTGTCCTAATCATAATTAGCCTATAACTTATATTGATACCAAGAAAGATACAACTCTTAGTAATAGGGCTAAATGTTTGAATTGTACACCTTTAAATGACGCTCTTCCAATAAAAATTGCTTTAGATAAATTCAAGAAACTAAAAGAGGATGAAAAATAATAGATTAGAAATTATAGAAAAAACAAGATCTATGATTTTTTAGAATTTAAAAAGGTTATTCATTAACTTTCAGAATCCATTTCACAATCTCTTAATGAAATTAGTAAATAAATTAATGAAAGAATTGAAAAGATTGTTGGTGTCATTCAATAAGCCTAATCAGTCTAATGGTAATTTGATATTAATGAATATTTGACTATAAGTGGATTGCAGAATGTAGGATTACAATTAAGTTAATAAGGAAATGAATTTTCACTAATTAAAGCTGGTTATTCTGTAGTTTAGATGAAAAAAGAGTAATAATTGTAGACAACTCTTTCCAATTATTAAAATAATATTAAGTCAATCCAAAGTAATATGGAAATATTAAAAGAATCATTAACAACAAATCTTATTATAAATGAAGAAATAGTAGGAAAAGCTGCATAGAAAGAAAAATGTCTAGCCACAGCATTTAATAAAGATAATTCCATTATGATTAGTACATCAGAAGAGTTAATAAAGGTATGGACTTTTGATAATGGAAAATTGGAACTATTTTAAACATTAAAAGGGCATGATAAAGAAGTAACCTGTTTATATTTCAGTCGAAAGAATAATTGGTTCATCTCAGGAAGTAGAGATAAGACTATTAGAATATGGAAAGAATTTAGTAATAGTGAATGGGGATGTATATAGATTTTAGAAGGAAATAGTTTTTGTATAAATTGTGTTATCATGAACTAATATGAAGATTAAATATTTTCTAGTAGAGATGATAATAAAGTTAAGATATGGATGTAAGAATCCTTACTTGTATCATAATAACCTCAATGGAAATGTTACTAAACTCTGCAAGATCATAAAAAAGATGTTTATTCTTTAAGTTTAAATTAGACTGGTAATTTATTAGTTTCTGGCTCTTATGATAAAACTATAATAATCTATGATTTAGATGATCAATAATAATGGAAACTGAAGTAAGTGATATCAAATGATTATGAAAATTGGGTACATACTGTTTGTGTAATAAATGATAAGTTGATTGCTACTAAACTTTATAATGGAATCCTCATTCTTTATTAATATATGGAATAAGTTGAATCATATGAATAGATATAAGAAATAGAGCTTAGTAAATCAAAAATGAGTTATTTTGATTTCTTCCATATGTTTTATAATTTACAATTGTAATCTATCTTTTGTCGTCATTTAGAGTGTATATACATTTTATTCTAATAAACGACTGGAAGATATGGAATTCAATAGAAAATTTCAGATAATTACAGAGGTGGTAGTTTGACTGATAATGGAGAATATATTGCATTATGGAATAACAATAGTAAATAATTAGAAATAAGATAACAAGAATGAATAATTATTCGTATAAAATACAAAAGATATAAATAGTAATTTTATTATATCAATCTTCCAATTTTAATTTGGCTTCATTTAAAATAATCTGATCAAATATATCCATTAATTTCTATGCTAAACGATATCCTCCAATAGCCAAATTCTCTTCACAGAATTATTATGCTTATAGAGTATAATCCTTATTGTAGCTATTTGATGTTGCAATCATTGGATATACAAATTGCATTGCTTATCTATATCCAACATATGTCCAAACTGTTGGATTGCTATTTAGATATTTATAAATACAAAATACCTCATATCCAAATTACTGTATTTTGTATATTAATACTTTTTAATTACATCTAATGACCATGAATTTAAATATTCTTGATCACTTTAACTTAAAGGTCTTACAAGAAAAGAATTGTTTGGATTAAATGCAAATGCTCCTGCATCCCAAAAGGAATGTAAATTCACTAAAGTTCCATTTTCTAACTAAAAATATAAATTTCAAATTTACTTGCACTTTCATGAAATTTCCTCCTTAATCTCCATTAGGATAAGTTGCATTCCAAAATGTAGTATCATGTAATGGTTAATGTAAATCTCCAATAACATGAAGTAATACTCTAAGCATCTAGGCTTTAAACATAGTATGTCTATTTCTAGCTGTTTTGGTGTTAGTGAGTACAGAAACTGCTTGGTTAATTGCATAAATAGAATTAATATTCCTAGTTTGATCATCTAATTTAATTAATAAACCATCTGGATTTATGGGTCGATCTGTATAGTGCCAATCATTCATAAATGAAGTTCCTGTTTCTTTTATGTCATCCATCCATACAGCAGCTTCTGCAAAAGTGTTAGATTTTCCATCTGTAAGTGGGTTTAAATCTTAAACTAATGAATCAGCCCAAGCTAAAACGTCTGGACGATTTTCTCTTAAGTAATTCTTTGCTATTTATGCAGTCATCATATGACCTACATCCCACCAACATTGAACTACATAGCTAATTGCTATTAGAAGAAGAACTTTCATTATTATTTTATTTTATTAATCTATAACCTATTGATCTAAGCTTATATACTTCCCTCTTATTATTATTAACTTCTTATTATTCTAGATATTACCTCATCATTTGAATTTATATTTTGGCGGCTATAAATAAATAATTAAATTTCATAGAATGCTCTTTATATAAATTAATAATAAAATAATAGTATTATTTATTTGNTTTAAAATAATCTGATCAAATATATCCATTAATTTCTATGCTAAACGATATCCTCCAATAGCCAAATTCTCTTCACAGAATTATTATGCTTATAGAGTATAATCCTTATTGTAGCTATTTGATGTTGCAATCATTGGATATACAAATTGCATTGCTTATCTATATCCAACATATGTCCAAACTGTTGGATTGCTATTTAGATATTTATAAATACAAAATACCTCATATCCAAATTACTGTATTTTGTATATTAATACTTTTTAATTACATCTAATGACCATGAATTTAAATATTCTTGATCACTTTAACTTAAAGGTCTTACAAGAAAAGAATTGTTTGGATTAAATGCAAATGCTCCTGCATCCCAAAAGGAATGTAAATTCACTAAAGTTCCATTTTCTAACTAAAAATATAAATTTCAAATTTACTTGCACTTTCATGAAATTTCCTCCTTAATCTCCATTAGGATAAGTTGCATTCCAAAATGTAGTATCATGTAATGGTTAATGTAAATCTCCAATAACATGAAGTAATACTCTAAGCATCTAGGCTTTAAACATAGTATGTCTATTTCTAGCTGTTTTGGTGTTAGTGAGTACAGAAACTGCTTGGTTAATTGCATAAATAGAATTAATATTCCTAGTTTGATCATCTAATTTAATTAATAAACCATCTGGATTTATGGGTCGATCTGTATAGTGCCAATCATTCATAAATGAAGTTCCTGTTTCTTTTATGTCATCCATCCATACAGCAGCTTCTGCAAAAGTGTTAGATTTTCCATCTGTAAGTGGGTTTAAATCTTAAACTAATGAATCAGCCCAAGCTAAAACGTCTGGACGATTTTCTCTTAAGTAATTCTTTGCTATTTATGCAGTCATCATATGACCTACATCCCACCAACATTGAACTACATAGCTAATTGCTATTAGAAGAAGAACTTTCATTATTATTTTATTTTATTAATCTATAACCTATTGATCTAAGCTTATATACTTCCCTCTTATTATTATTAACTTCTTATTATTCTAGATATTACCTCATCATTTGAATTTATATTTTGGCGGCTATAAATAAATAATTAAATTTCATAGAATGCTCTTTATATAAATTAATAATAAAATAATAGTATTATTTATTTGAAATCAATATCATTTTCTTTTGAATTATTAATCTGATTGGTTTTTCTTAAAAATTGGTTTGAGCCTCTTATCCTAAACTTCCATTATATTAAATACCTTTTCTTACATTATCGTAGAATATTGAAAATGTCCTTATAATTATTCAACTCCTTAAATCCTTGCATAAGTTATTTCACAGATCTAAATTTATTTTCTTATACTTACTTTGTCTGAATTAAAGAGTTTCCATTTTTTTCCATGGAATTCTATAAAAAATTTAGGAATGAATTTTTAATCCAAAAAATTGATAAAGGCATAACCTACATTACATTTATTCTTTGATATATGAAAATTTTACAGTAAAATCAATTGGAAGATAAAAAAAATCATATTTGTCTTTATGATTGATATCCATATTCTCCAATAACATAGGCTAGGTATATTTATTTGGAATGTTCCTTATCATTAAAGTGGTTCTCTAATCTGCAGGAATCTAAGATAGTGTTTTAAATAATTACTTAATCTAATTTAATTTAATATTGTGTAGTTTAAATTTAAGGTTCATATCTTCTTTTATTTTTGAATTGGAATTACTAAAATGAAGTAGGCATAGTTTTGTAAAATATATCTTCTTTATTCTATTCTAAAACAGATTAATTTAGTTCATAATTATGAAAAGAAGTAGATAAAGTCTCAGGCAATGTTGATGTATTTGAACATATTGTTATTGATCTATTTTTGATAAGTTACTAATTCTAATTATTTAGATGATATTGATCATCAAATTACTATATATTAGATAGTAAATTTACTTTAAGTTCATCATCAGATTCTGGTTTAACAATTTGTTTAGGTTGTGCATTTTATTTAGGCCGAACAAACTACCCAAAACATGATGGGTTAATAGTAAAAGATGTCTTCATATAAAATAATATATTTAATATATAAAGATTTTTAATGAGTAAAGCTTATTTAGCTGTAAAGAATTTTAAGTGGTCTGAAATGGTTAATTTACTTGCTTATGGAGTAAAGCATCCTGATACTCTTTCTTAGACTCAAAGAATTACAAGATTATACAGGTTTAATATAATTATAATTTTAGAGCAACTATTAGAAGACATTATACAACATAATTAGAGAATTTTAAAGGTGACCATATAAGATTCTATAATGAGATGCAAGTAGCCCAATAAGATTTCAATAGATTATAAGAATTGAACAATAATTATGCATGTATCAATCCATAACAAAATAATATTAGCTTTAACTAATGAATAGAAGGTTGAATTTTCAGAATTAGAAAATAAATGGGTTTCATGGTTAGAGAATAATTATGATGCATTTTTATATGTCGATGAATGTAGACCATATTCTAGCACCTCAACAAGATATATTGTTTATTCTGATAAACAGTTGAAATTTGATCCTTTGGGTTTCTATAAACCAAGACCAGTTCATGATGGTAAATTTGATCCACATTTACCTTATTTCAGAGATTACCCATACAATGAATCTTGGTGGAGTATGAATGAATCATTCCCAACAGGTAAGACATTTCTTTTCTATCTTTCTTAGATTTCGATGATATTCCATCAGAAAAACATTGATTTATTATATTCCAAATACAAAAACAAAATATAAAATATATAATACAAAATATTTTTAATTGTATATATCATTATTCTCTTTTCTTACAATTAAATCTTTTTCAAAATTCTTTTCCTTTTCTTTTATACTTTTTATTAATGATATTCATTTTGCAAATGAAATTTTATAATAAATGAATTATAATATTTTGTTACTAATAAAATAAATTATTTATTTAAAAGAAAGATTCAGAAAAAATAAATATTTTGAATTGGATTCAAGTTAATGAGCTATAAATGAAAAAAAAAAACTTATCTATTAAGATAAAAAATAAAATTGAACAAACAAAAAAATAAATTATATTTTTGCAGGAAATCAAATATAAAGTGTACACCTTATTTAAAATCTTATTCTGAAACTCTTTAAAAAATAAGAATCTATACATTCATACATTCCATTATTTCATTAAAAAGGATAATATACTCATAACATAAAATGTAAAATATTCTTATACTTTTATTTGAATCCTAAGTTATGTAAAGATTAATCATAAAATACTTTTTGAAATTCTTGCATCTATATTCATGATAGAGGAAATTATAAATTAAGATGATAACAAGAGAAGAATATACAAGAAGAATAGAATAAATAAAGATAGAAAGAGAAGATTCTGAATTTTAATAGAAATTAGTATTTACTAATAATAATTAAATTAACCAGGATATTTTGTGAATAATTCATAATAAATAAAAAAATGTTTCCTAAATGTGATAGGATGAATGGTGGAATTTTTATTTCCTGGTAAAAATAATTTAAGAAATAAATACAAATCAATATAGAAGAAAGCAGATAATAAAATAAAAGATTAAATGAACATCATTGAATGATTTGATTATTATATATATTTAAAGAAAATCATTTTTATTTCTTTTAATTTTCCTGATCAAACACTGCATCAAACACTTCTTTCAATCCTTCAAGATTAAATTAAATATTTAAATATGCAAATGGAATATTTATATTAATAGTTCCTTAAGCTATGAAATGTTCTGCCAAAATAAGAAATAACTATTAATACAAATATAAATACTTTATAAATAAAATGATATTCTGAATTTGGATTCTTAATAGATTATAATTAATAATCCCCTTTCATTTCATCTATTAATTATCTTGCTGTAGGTTATTCATCAGCTAATTCTTATAATCCTAATGCATTCAAAAATTAATTAACGTCTTCCATATTTTTAAACTATAAATGAAATTTGGAACTCTTAAAAAGCATAGGCCATATAAATTCTTATTAAATTCTCTATTTCTATTTGACAGCAGCTACTTTTTAAGCAAATTGATGTCCAAAAGTAGCTAAAAATACACCAACTACTTTTTTGGCTAAATCACTATTAAATGCTGCTTTAAATTCAAAAATAAATCCTTCCAATAAATACTTAATAAAAATTTGATCTTTTTTCATTAACTTTGTTATTCCATTTTTAATTCCAAAGAGAAAATCTACTAAAATTTCCATATCTGTGCCTAATTTTTAGCAATATGGTAAATATGCTTATTATAATGTCATTTCTATTAATGGATGATTAACAGTAATTGAAATAGCAACTGAATCTTTTCTCTCTTGAAATTCTACATTCAATGAATGTTCAATTAATGGAAGTATAATTTAATCTTACTTTTCTTTTAAATATTATTTATATTCATTCCATAGTTATTCCAATTTTTATCTTGCTTAAGAAGGTTTTATTGCTCTAAAAATAAATACAATTTATAATGAATCTGATTATTAAAACCCAATCTCTTTTTAAATATCTTCTTAAACTCCTGATCCTTTATATTTCATTCTAATGTTAAATTTAAAATGAGATTAAAAATCTCCATAATTTATTGCCCAATAATGATGATCTAATTTTGGTTCATATTTTTATTCAAGAGATACTCCAAATCTTGTAAATTCAGAATTTATGGATTTTAGCATATTCATCAATTTCAATTTCATAAAAACTAATTTCTCTAATTTTTCATTCTTTCCAAATTACCACCATTCCCAAAATTCTTCAAATGATATTTTTCCATCTCCATTTGTATCAACTACTTTCATTAACTAATAATCCAATATATAAATATACTCTATCAACATCTTGTTAATTAATTTCCTCGTTCATTTATTTGGCTATTTCAATTAATTCATTCGATTCTACATAACCATTACCATCTTTATCAAATTTCTTAAAAACTTCAAAAAGTTATGTTTTTGTTTAATTAATCATTTTTTATTTATCTAATTTTATTTTTACAGATTTATTCAAATCTCATCATCATTCAGTAATATTTTATTAAATACAAAAAATATATATTTGTATAAAAATTAATTTTTAAACTTACAAAATATGTGTCAATTTTTCATAGAATTCAGCTCATTTTGACATAAATTTTGTGATATATATATATACAATAAAATCATTTGTATAAAGTATTACAGTTAAAAGGTAAATTTAAAAATTCTTTTTTATACCAAATACGTTTATCCGCAAGAAGTAAAATTTAATAATAACCTTTGAATTGAAGAGATTATTCTAAATTATGGTCTACAAAATGAGTTCTTTAACCTTAATAATAGAAATTACTTAAAAGTTTTCTTTATTATGAGAAAATGCGAAAATTCATACACGAAATGAATATTTAAATTACACGTGCTAAGTAAATGCATTTAAAAATGCTAAGATTTCCATTCAATAGTTATTCAATGATCTATCACTTAATATGACAGTGAGTGTGAATATTTATATGAATTTATCGATGAGAATCAATTTAAATTGAAGGAGAATAATAGAACATGATGATGGATTAAACCAATTTTAAAATGTTTAGGGTATAGTTGATAAATTTAAATAAAGAAAAAAGTGAAATCAATTTCTTGCATGATTTACCTGCATAGTTCCCTCCAAATATGCAAGTTATTATTTTGCATTTTTGATAAAAAGTTCAAGGTTCCAAGCTACACATTTAAGATCTGTTATTTCTTTGTTTTATCTTCGATAATCAGATTATCTATTGAATTAATCTTCTTCCTCCCATCCATCACATTCAGATGAGGATTCTTCTGGTGAAATATATTTATATATTTTTTTCTGTTTGTATTTTTTAGAAAAGCAACATTTCCCCTTCTTTTTAATTTTCTTTGCAATTCCTTATCCATTTTATTGGTTTAAATTAGTAGTACTATTGTCTAGAAGTATGTTTAATATTGGAGCTACCTCAGTCATTTAATAAATATTTATATAAAAATTATTAACTCAAAAACGACAATTGATTCTTTTCTACATTAATTTAACTATCCGTTTTGAAAACCTTCATGCTTGATAACTTTAATTTTATCATTTGACTGTTGCTAATTATAAATTGAATAGAAACTTATAGTTCTACATTAAAAAATTCCTCAAAACTTAATTGAAATACATATTGAAAAACTTTTCTGTTATTTTACTTTCCAATTAATTTTTAATATTTTGTAATTTAAATCTATACAATCAATAGAATATTAATAACTTTATATAATAATCAAATAATAAGTTCATAAAAATGGAAATCCTCTAAAATTGTCATTTCCCTTATTTTATCCAAAATAATTTTAAAAATTGTTCTAGAATTATTGTCCTGATTGTTATTGTTACTGAGACTATTATTATTAGGACAAGTTCATTAGTTCTATAAAATAGACAATAATGTACATTAAATCAGTGCTTAACTATTTTATTATACCATAAAATTTGAATCCATATGTTATGGTTGTCTTTAAAATTAAGTATTACATTATTTTTTCATAAAACTATTATCATATTAAGAAATATCTTGTTTAACTAATAATATAGCATAAAATAAATATACTTGATTACAACTGCTATTCTTATTACTATTATGTTTTCATAATTTTTTCTAGAAATGAATTATGTTCTTATATTTATTTTGGATCCTTTTATTATCCAGGTTCTATTTTATATTGAAATATTATACTATTTTGGTTGAGTTATTAAAGATTCAAGAGATTATTAAACTATTGATCAATATGATTATCTATTTTTTAAATAATAAATTACTTGGTTCTTATGGTGGAATTTAAGTCTATTATGGCACTTAGACACCTACAAGTTATTGAACAGTTTATTAGTTTTAAGATTAATTCATATTAGTAATTAATGTGGCTAATAAGTAAGACAAAGTATCTATTTTTCTTTCGTCAGTTTCTCTTATTCTTTTGATTTCCTAAGGAAATTATTGAGTTATAATGGATTACTTGCCACAATAATTTATTTTCATTGATCAAATGATCGTTTTAAGTCATAATTAAGATTAATGCTTTTTGTAATTCATGTTACTTTCCTTTAATGCCTAACATTTCATTAAGAAAAAATTAATAATCATTTTTTAACTTAGACATATCTACTTCCATGGAATTATTGGCTATTATAAATGACAAATAATTTTACAATTCTAACTTGAATTTTAATTTCTTTCGTCAAACTATTCAACCTGTTCTCCTTATTTTCTCTTTATTTCACACAATAAATGTCTGTTTATCATAAGAATTAAAGATTACTTATTTCCTCTCTAAAAATATTTATGTCTAAATTCATTATCTCCCCCTTCATTTTTCATTTTATGAAAATCATACATATTCAATTATCTTACAAAAGAAGCATAATTATTATGCTTAAAATGGTTTGGTAATACCTAGACTATTTAACGTAATAATACTTTCTCAGCCAATTCGTTAACATTTTTTACAACGAATGCGGTGCCTTCTTCATTCCAAGATATAATTTCATTGTAATCAGGATTCTAGAATAAAATGTAGACAATATCTGATTACTTCTAGAATGTCGTATGTTTTAATTAAAAAAGAAGGAGTTGATGCCTTTTATTTAATATTATGTTCTTCTTTTGCTCTATCCATAAAAAATAATTAAATATGATTTTTAGAAATTTCGATAATTCAAGTGATTGTTAGAATTTCTAAGAATAATCTTAATTTAAACTATTACTTTATATGCGTAATTTAGAATGTGTTTATTTCTTAGATTTATTAAGATCAAAGGAAAAGAAAGAAAATAATTTATTACTAATATATTGCAATTAATTCTTTTGGACAAAAACATAAATTTAATAATTTGTGTTTTTTCACATAAACATTCCGTAATTTCTAGCATAAGCCATGGGTGGTAATTTAGGATGTTCCTAAAGGATGATAAAAATACTAAAAATACCACAGCATCAAATTATACAAATTTAGGTTTCATTTCACCCCCTTTAAAAATAATAAATGCTCCTTTATTTTTCATTTGATCACAATAATTAGGAGCAGAAAATATAGTAATAACTCTTCCATCTGCTTCTACTTCATATCCTTAATCTTTCATTTCATGTGATCTAACAAGGAGTGCTTAAAAATAGAGATTAATATTTTTACATAAACCATTTTCATTTAAAAATTTATGAGCAATATCAGGTCCAAAAGAGATAGAAATACCTCTTTTACTAGGATGTCTTCCATTTTATTTAATAGGATCACTCCATAACATATCAGCCATAGGACCACCTTCAGGAATGTCTCTAAAACGATTTAATTTTTATAATTCATTAATTGTTACGCCATCATTAGAAAATAATCCCTATATATTAATAAATCATAAAGTATACTCCATGAACAACCATTACTTATTTTGATAAAGTATAAGCTAATGGTAAATAATTAAAAACAGTTTAGAATAATTCATAAACTTTATCATCATATTTATGTTTAACTTCACCTTCAAATCCATATAATTTGTTCATATTTCTACTTTCATGATTTCCTCTTGTTAAATGCATTATATCTGGATTGCATACTTTCCAAGCAAATAATGTCATTATAACTTCAACACTCCATGATCCTCTATCTACAAAATCACCATTAAATAAATAAGGTCTTTTTATAGATGGATTACCATTTATTTTAAATATGTTTAACAAATCAAAATATTATCCATGAGTATCTCCACAAACTGTGAATTCAAGATCTCTATTTTTTTATTTTCATATATATTTACTTAGGAATATTATATTCCACTACATTTTATTGAGATTTCAATATTTCTCCTACCTTTTATAGTATCATTACTGCATATTTTTTATGCAATTTCTTTTAATCTTTAAAATGATTCATTAGTTTCTCACACCTTATAATAAACTCTTAAATTTTACCATTCTGGTGTAACTTCACTGATATCATTATCAATTCTTGGTCCATCATATCCTTATTCTACATAAATATCTTTAATATCAATTGGCTCACTTGCTTCATCTGGTCTTTCTATAGATTTTGCAAATTCTCGTTCAAATATTGCCTATTTGATTTATTTCAACTTTGCCTATATATCTTCATCCTTTCCTTAAGTAAGTGAGTCTGCCTAAATAAATTTATTATTTTTTTACCTTTTTAAATTCTTTTCTAGCATCATCAAATTTACCCAACATAAAATAAGCTGATCCTTTTCTATAATAAGCTTTTATGAATCCAGAATTCTCTTTCAATATCTCATCAGCATCTATTATAGCTAAACCATAGTTTTCCATTTTTATATGAGCAAATGCTCTATTTGACAAACAAAGAAGTCTTTAATTTCCTAGAAATATTTTAACTATATTTATTACCAGTAGCAGTCTCAATACCAGCAGTATAGAATTCTATTGCTTTTTAGAAATTACTCAATTTAAATTATTCATTTCCTTATTCTTTAAATTTTTCAGCTTCAGGTGAATTTGCAATCATTAATTCTAATCTATAATAAAATCAAAAATAATTTTAATAAATATACATTAGAATAATCTTTCATTAAATCCACCACATAATTTTAAATTAGAATTTAAGGATCTAATTAGAATATTAGATTATAAAAGAATAGATAATTTAAATATTTTTAAATAAATAAAAGATGTTGTCGTTTATTTTCTAATAAATATTTGTTAATTTGCTTATTATAATCTTAAATATCACATTTTTGTAAAAACTATTCAAGATAAAGTTTAAAACATTTATTAAAAAAATAAATTATTCAATGAATATTTATTCCTCAAGCCAATAAGATTAAATCGCATCACCTGATAATTTGAGTTAAATTAGTTGGAATAAAGCACATTAAAGCAGTGAATAAATTTTAGAAAGGTTTATCATTTAATTATATAAAACTAAGGTCTAAAAAAATACAGAAAAGATAACCTTAAGATTTTTAATAGAAATGGTTTTCAATTTAGAAAATATCAAGTTGTAAATTAGATATTTCTGAATAAAACGATATTGATTTAAGAAATTAGAAAATTTATGATTTTGATTATCTAAAATTAGATAAAGATCTATTTTCCAAAAAATGTCCTATTATTGTAAATAATCTTATATATAAGGAGATTGAAGATAAAAGATCTAAAATAAAATACTAAATTAAACCAATTTCAATTAAATCAGACATTATAGATGTAAATATTTAGGCTAGGAATATTTTTAGAAATTATTTTCATTAAATAATAAATTTATAATTACCCCTGAAAACATTTTCACTTATACAACATAGACTCAAAAAATTGATGATTTAGCTAAAGAAATAAGTATAAATTTATATTTAATATAGAAATTGTCCATATTACCTTCTAGTTATTATTGTATTAATATTGTTGTAAAACAATTCTCCATTTCTTAGATGAATTGACGAACAAGCAAATAAAAACAATATTCTTAGATTTAATTTAAGGTTTGACTTCTGCTCATGATCACTAATTAGTTTTAAAATCTATAACTTTAGATTCCATTGTATATTCTGAAGATTCTAAGTCTTTTAAATTAAATGATTATACTGAAGCATCAATAGGAAATAATATAATTAATTTTAAAGACTTAGGATATTGTTTAGCCTAAATCTTATAGATAAAGAATTATCATCAAAATCCAAAGAATAAACTTTAATAAATTAATTAAATTGAATGGTTAAAAATGCAAAAAGAAGATCCTTTTTCTTTAATAGCATTAAATTTGATTTTGAATGAATAATCAATTGAAGAGATTATGAATTTATTGTAATAGATTGATTGTTGATCCTCTAAATAAATAAATGAAGGATATCTCAAATTATAAATATTAAATATGTTTATTTTAACATAATTTCTTCTTGTATTTTCTCAGGAAATTACTTGGACTAATTACTCCTTTGCTTTTCCATAATTCATACCATTAATTGCAGATAAAACTGTTTTTTCAAGAACTTTTGAAGATTTTGGATAGATATTGTACACAAATATTTCATTAATATTAGAAATATATCAATAGAATATAATGGAGATTATGAAGAATCAATCTGTAATTTTGAATATTAATCTATTGTTTTTCGTAAACATCCAGAAACTTTGATTGCTCTTATTAATGATATGCAGTATGTTGATATTGATAATTTGAAAACAGAAGATATTGAGTAGGGATTTTCAGAAGAAATAATTTCATATACTATAAAGAATAGGGATGTGATTCTATTAGAGAAAAATGGTACAATTTATCATTTATAATATAATGTTGTCCCTAAACTTGCAAATTATACGACTCATTAATTATAAATTATTTAAGATGGCTATGAAAACTAAATTGTATTAGCAGATAATGATTCATATTATTATGTTGATCAACACTAACTTATATAATTTACTATTAAAAATGACACTTTAGAATAATTTAAAATTCTTAATTGGAAAAAAGTAAATGGTCATTTCAAATTTTTTGTAAGGGAATAACTATTTTATTTAATAAATGGTAATTAAGGCTTAACTGTTTATAAAGTGTTAAATAATGTTTTAATAAAGATAAATGAATATGATATTGAAGTAAATAAAGATAATATAATTTAGATTTTTTCTAAAAGCTTTAGTAATACTAAACTAAATTTAGTAGATTATGCTTTAGAAGATGATTTTTTATATTTATTAGATTAAGAAAACGGAGTATATCGTTTAAATGTTACATCTATGAATCTTGATAGAAAATTCTTTATTGCATAAAAAGGATGTAAAGTGATATCAGTAAGAAATAAATAAATAATTTTAATCTAATAAAATCAATTATTTTCAGAAGTATATGAAGGTAGAATTATAGATGATGGTTGGGTAATAATTAGAATGAGAACAATTTCTAAATTAATTATAAGAAATATATATTAATTTAATAATTTTGCTCTATTAATTAGTAATCCAACAAATAATGTATATTAGAAGAGTTTAATAGATAGTTTAACTGATCCTTCTCTTATAAAAGGGTAATTAATTAAAGTATTATTAAAGAGATAATTTTTATTAAATGGAATTGTTGGGTGTGAGTGAGTTAGATGAAAACTTTGTAATTGGTATTTATAGATATGGTGTTGCAATATATTTTAAATAAGAAAGATCAGCTTAAATAACATGTTAAGCTAGATTGAGTTAATAAAATAGAGTCACAGTAAATGTAATATTTATGTATTAGATAAGACTTAATAGTACAAATTGTCTTAATAAAAATTAATCAGATGCTTTTAATTATTGTTAAAGTAGACTTGATTATGTATTTGATATTCATGGAGTTTTAATGTCTTCATAATAGGAAGATTTATATATTTATTTATGTGTTGTTGCTTTTTCAATAGTTGTAGGATTGTTCTTAGCTATATTTTTTATAATCAGAAGATATCAAATGAAAAAAGAAATGATATATAATTTAAGAAAAAGCAGAAGAAGTTTATCATATTGAAATTGATTATAAAATTCTAGATTTTTTGAATTTATATTATTTTATCATTTTAGAGAATTTATATATAAATAAAATAATGTAAGCTGGTTAAGCATAAGGTTAAGGATCTTAAGATTGGAAAACAAAAAAAGTAGACAATTTCGTAGTTGTAAATAAGAAATTAGGAAAAGGATAATTTGGAACAGTTTATCGTGGTCATTATAAAGATGATTAGACTAAACAGGTAGCTATAAAGACTATTCCTATGCATGTATAATTTTAATTTAATATTTGTTATTAGGTTGTATAGAATAGTGAATAATTATAGTAACATATAAAAAGAGAGATTGCTATTCTAACAAAAATAGATCATCCAAATATTGTTAAGTTAATTCATGTTACAAAGACAAGCTCAAATTTATATATGATTTTAGAGTTTTGTAAAGATGGAGATTTAGCTGAATATTTAAATAAGAAATTAGATAAAAGATTATCTGAATTAGAAGCAGTCATTTTTTTTAAGCATGTTATTAAAGGATTTGAGATATTACATTAAGAAAAAGTAATTCATAGAGACATTAAACCATCAAATATATTATTAAATGATGGAGTCGCTAAAATTGCCGATTTCGGATTTGCAAGAATTATTGAATCAGAAATTGATAAAATGAATTTAAGTAGAGTAGGTTCACCTATTTATATGGCACCTTAAATTTTAGAAGGTACTCATTTCACTTCTAAATGTGATATATGGTCTATTGGAGTTATGTTTTATGAATTATTATATGGAGTAACTCCTTGGATTGCTAATGGATAATGTGAATTATTAGAAAAAATTACTACTTAACCTCTATCATTTCCAGAAATTCCTATTAGAAGTCAAAAAGTTAAAAATTTATTAAAAAAAATGTTAACTGTTAATGAAGCAGATCGTATCAGTTGGGAAGATTTATTCGTTAATGAAATTATTGTTATTGATGAAAATCAAATTCATTATAATATGTAATAAATGGAAAAAGAAAAAGATAGACTTATGAGATCTATTAGTCTCAATAAAATTTATATCAATCAAAATTTGATTCTTGGATATATGAAAGATATTAATAAAATTGATGAAGAATAATCTGAAATTAAAAATAATGTCCAATAACCTATTTATAATGATATATTCTAATAGTATAGTGCAGAATCTGAAGAATCTAAAACCATCTAAAAGTTAAATACTATTTGTAAATATGAAAGAAATTTAGCATTCTTTTATAGTTTTCTTATTTAAGGACTTTTTGCTATGTTATAACAAAATATTATGCCTATCTCTATTGAATTATGTTTTTAATTGATTTTTTGTATATCCAAAAATCAACTTATCAAAATGGAAGAACTATATAGAGAAATCACCAAATCTCAAAATCCAGAATATGAAATTTATATGAGATCTCATGAATTCAAATAAATGTGTAAACATCTACAAATGGATATTGATTAAGCTATGAAATTCTTTGTTGAAATTTTAAGAAAATGTTTAAGTCTACAAAATTAAGCCAAATAAATTGTCCTTAATGAATAAACTAAAGAATTCTATTAACAATATTTAAGCATATTAGACAATAGTTTAACTTTAACTGATTAATTTCAATAAGTATATTATGGCACTGTTAAACTTGTATTAGATAAATTATCTCAAGATAATGTAGAATTAATGAAACTCAAATTTTATTTAAATATCTGTTTAAATCCTAAGATTGTTTTTACTGATTTTAATTATGATTTCAGTAAATTTTACGAAGAAATTCAGTATGCCACAGCAGAAGATTGGAAAAAAGCCCTAAAAAAGTTCATTTGAATAATATATATATTATAATATTCTATATTTTCAAATAGTATTAATTATATATATTTTACTTATCAATTTGTGGGTAACCATGACATATCTTTTTCAAGTAGCTTTTTAACAATTTCTCTTTCCACATAATTTAATTCCTACTTTTATTATAAACATATAATAAAAAACAAATATGCCGACAATTTATGAACCTTTTCTATATGCTCTTGCCAACTTATATTTCTTAAAATAATATATTTATATTACTTTTCTCGACATTGATAATAAGATATATTACAAATTTTACAGGATTTATTCTTTTAATTTTTAGATAGTAGATTTTTATGAGAATATTGTCCTGTAATAATGCTTATTATTAAAGCAAAACAAATAATAAAAACAACTATAAATAATGTAACCAAAAAAATATAATTGCCCCATTATTCATTTGGATAGACATCAATTTAACTAAAAGCATTCTACAATCTAAATCCATTCCCAAAAAATCTCAAAAAAATTGTAATAAATGGAAGTTCTACACTTAAATCCTCTTCCAAAAATAATTAAATATCCTCTACTACAAATGCCAGAAAAGCATAACAATGAATTACTATTAATGCTAAATATAAAATTAAGATAATCTTTCCAATATTCACAAAAACAGATTCTAAAACCTTTTTTAAGCCCTAAATATTTATAAATTTATTACTTTTACTCTTGGAACTATATCAAAAAGTAATAAGGAAATAAATGGTGATGCTAAAAAAGATAATGCTGCCAAAACCAAATAACATAAATGATACAAAAATGTAATATTAGTGATTTATGCCAAAATTCTATTTTAGGTTAAATATTAATGCATTTTTATTTTCTTTTTTTAATTTGTTTTCTTTAAACTTTGCAAATTTGGATAAATATAATTTAAGTTATCATTTCCTTTAAATTCTAAAGAATTATCTTCATAATTTTATTCTCTATAATAATTAACTCTAAAAGCTATATAAGGTTATTAATTAATTATTTCTATTATTAATACAAATGCAGATAATAATATTAAAATAATAGTTAAAATTATTACAATAATATGTACTGTTTGATTTTTGAAAGAATAAGTATTTGATTACCTTTCTAAATCTGCTAAATAGCAAATATTTAGTGTTAAAACTATTAAATAATTAAATGATTTTATAAGATGGATATTAATTGAAAACCAATTTAATTTTGGATACATAGAAATATGTTATCTAAAAATAACTTCATTTTAAAAGTAATCTGACATAGTTTTTAATTGTTCATATCTCCCTCTTTTCATTCTTAACATTTTTGCTTTTTTTGTAGTTTATTTTAATAAAAATGATGATTAAAAAGGTAAAACAAAATATTATAATTTAGTTTGTTCATTTCTTTAAATTTCAATTTATCCAATATACTTACTAAAAAAATTAATTGCTTCTGCCATTTTTAAACACATATTTTATTTAATAATATCTCTTTAATTATGTTATTAAGTTCCTTCAAGCCAATTAATAGCAATTTCTTCTAATTTTTATTCTATATTATTTTCTCGTTTTCCATGAGTTTCGATTATCATATCTTATTCTTCGAATTTTTTAAATGGAATAGCTTCTTCTAAGGTTTATTTGACTTATAATTTTTTATTTGTAATTTTATAAAAACTTTCTTTTAATTTACTCTTAGGACTTTACATTTCAGCAAATGATGTTTGTTATTTATTTAAAATTGAAGGAGATTTAATACTTGTTAATTTTTTTTTTACATTTATTCTTTATTAAGATTTATACTCTTTGATTTCTAATGAAGTAATGATAGATTCATTAGATTAAAGATATTCTCTTAAAAGTTCTTTTCTTTTTTGATCAAATGGTTATTACTTAACAAATTATTTCATACTTAAATAGATTCTTAAGAAATTAATATTTTACTTTTAATTCAATGATAATTCGTGTATCTAATCTCCAATTACTCTATCTCTTAATGTCTACCAATAATCTCTTTTAATTTCTCCTTTTCCTAATTTATTGATTTTTTCACAAAGAATGTTAAATAAGATAATCAAATCAAAACATATAGTAAAAACTTCAAATTCTCCTGGAGCTATTAAATCATTTTAACATTTTAGATATGTACAATTGATATTATCTATATGTGTGCATTTTTAACCTTAAATAATAATCTAAAGTCTAGGAGCAAATGTATCATAGATTGAAAGAAGTTTTTCAAAAAGAATTTAAAAATTTAATTCAGAATAATTTTAATGTTAATCCAATTAAACTAATAATAGTAATTTGATTGTTGCTTTAAATAAAGTTCTGTAATTATTGTCTTATAAATTATCAGCTAAAATGTCATACTTAGGAGTTGTAATAACAAATTGAATAATTTAAATTAATGGTTTGTGACTAAATATTAAATTTTGATTTTAAATATTTCCTTCACAAAAATTGTTTAAACATCTAAATGATTCTGTATATAAAGATAAAATATCTGTTTCAGTGCATATATGAGTTAGTTAGGATCTATTTATATAATTAAAATAATTTGTAGTAAAATATAAAACTTCTTCAATCAAAGAAAATTGATTAGCAGAATCTCCAAAATGAGAAGATGGATCCAAACATTAGATTAATTTTCCTATGATTCTTAGAATAGAAACAATAATTTTAAAGAATTATGCAAGCATTTAATTCTTATCATTACTGATATCAGACCTGTTCATGAATAGATTATTATCATTTCTTAATGTACTCTGTTTAAGTTATTACTCTAAACTAAATAATCTATCAACTTAATTAAATATACGAGAAATAAACTTATTAAATTAAAACCAACAATCAGTTTAGATAACTGTAGCTAATTACTATTTATCCATTATTTGAATTTATTCAAAAATAAATAGTGTTTTAAATACTTTCTTAATACTTTTGAGTGTATACTCATTATTACTCTCTTCTAAATACAACATTAAAAAAGGTATTTGTTTGAGACAAAAATGTAATAATCTATCTTTTTCAATTATGTTCTATTCTCTTTACAAGCATTCATAAACTATATTTAAGGCTAATTATTTTTATTAAATAGCTTCTTCTTTAAGCAATCTTGAAAATATATAAATAACTTCATCATCATTTGATAATTTCAGCAGAAACTATTCTTATAGATCATGAAATAAAGCTTTATCTAATCTATAAAAATTATAAGGATTGTCTGGATTAATCAATAATTCATATTGATAAGTAAATTAACTATAAGTTTGTTATATAAATAAAGACTATTTTATAAATATTAAAATTACTTCTTATTGATGATTTTTTTGTTGAATCTTTTTTTTTTATATTTCCTTAAGTTCAACTTTATTATATTTAATTTTCTAACTATCAAAATAGTTTATCAATTTCTAGTAAAATTTATCTATAAATAATATAACTATATATTTTACTTATATCTAAAATATTTTTAGTGGAATCTCTTAATTACATATAAGATTCATAATATTTAGATGCATCTTCATATGTCAAATATTTACTAATATCTGGTAATGTTTTAGAGAGTTTAATTTAGATTAATTATTAGAAGTGTTCATCTAAGATCTGATTAAACAAATTACAAAATTTATCCCTACCAATTAATTTATCTTATGTGTCTACATTATATTAACCTTCAGATTAAAGAAGTTCTACATGAAATTTAAATTCTCCTTTTATTTTATCCATCATTTCATTAATAGTAAGATGTTTTTCCATCATATAATTTCTTAACTTTTCATAAAATTAATTTAAATTTTATTTCAATTCATCTTAAGTTGGTTTTGGAAGTGCTTTTTATCTATATTCTTTTATTTATGTTTTAATCGCTCTTTGAGTCTTATATTCTTATGCATATTTAACAGTTTTAAAATTCTTTAGATTAGATTCTAATGGACATAACATAAGACATTTAGAAATATAATGTTATAATTATGCTAAATACACTCGATATTTAGGATATTAGATTGTATTTTCGATTAAATTCAAAGTTTATCTAATATTCTCTAAAATTAATTTAATTAAAGCTAATGGTTCATAGAGAGAATCTTCAGATACTTAATTCAATGATTCAGATTAATTTATTAATTATAGTTATTAATTTTCTGAAATATTCCATTTACGATTCTAAATCTCTTAAAATATTTATTATAATAAAATTAGGACACCAAATTAAATATTTTACCAATTTGAAATCTTAAGGAAATATTTCCAATATTCTGTATTATCATAAACAATTCGTTTTTATTCATTTAATTATTATACCTATTATTAAGCAGCATTTGTTTAATTAGGCATACCAGGTGTTGTGGCTAATAAATTCTTTTTCTTCTCTTCAGTATCTTAAAACATTTTTTATTTGATCATATCAACTTATTATTTATCCTTTTAAATTTTTTCTTTATCTTCTTCAGTGTTAGATTCGCACTACTTTAATAATCCATCTAAATATTTTGGGTAAGCCAAAAGATCATTTAAAAGCAACAATAAAAGTTCTCTCACATCTTACATATTAAATGCATGTATCTATTAAATTTAAGTTATGTAAACTAATTTGATTAATTCATATTTAATTAAATAAGATATAGCAGGATTATGAATCATTTAATTTATTTATTCAGTAAATAATATACCTTGAATTTATTGAATTCCTAAAGTATAATCTTTAATGACTTAAGCTGTTAAAGAATTTGAAGCTGAAAAAATCTAAAATTCTATTCCATAAAATTATTATTCCTCCTTTTTATTCTTAACATCACTAAATTACTTATAATATTATAAATCATTTATATAACTTGGAATCTTAAATAGATTACTCAAGATTTCTCTTTTTAAAGCATTCATACGATCTTAAGATAATTGTCTATTTTATAAAATTGATAATAAAGCATTATAAAATTATTAACAAGTTCCTTTATGTTCATGCATTGTAATAAAAATAGATTTTATTAATTGTTATAATACATTCCACTTATCATTTAAACTTTAACAAAAAATACCTATTAATTTTGATACTTTTAAATTGCTAGAAGCTAATTAAATAATTGTAAATATATCTTCCTATATTTCTGAACAATTTAATTTATTATTCAAAAGAAATAAACATAAAAATTTAATAGATATTTGTGTTGTATCACTCTATTCTCTTTATGCTTTTATCAATCTTAATATTTATTTATGAACTCCTAAATTTCTTAGAATATTTTATGTTTTTGTTAATTTAAATGAATCCATTTTTATTTCCTTAATTCTATTAATTAACTTATTTAATTGATTATCAATTTCCCAATTTTTTTCATCTTTTTATTTTCCTCCGCCTTCTTAATTCTTCTTCTAGGAATCCTCTAATTATTAGATTTAAACTTCTAATCGAATAGGAGAGAAGATTTATCCAACTAATGAATTACCAGTTAATTATTAATAAAGTTCTAATTCATCACCATCTAAAATTATTTCAGCTTATCTCAATTATGAAATCCACTATTAATTTACTCCTTAATTCAATGCTTCTTGACATAATTTAAAACCTTTACTTTGAAATAAATAATTGGAACAATAAAATCCTAACAAATATCCTAAAACTAAATTCTTATTCTATCCTAATTACATTCTCATTATAATCTCTCGAACTTCTGATATCAATTTCTCTAATGACTGCAAACAATAAGTTTAATATGATCTCTAAAAATGTCTTAAAAATTCCTAAATTTACACATTCAATTATATAGTAAAATATTATTTAAACAATAATCCAGCATTTGTAAAAAGCTCATCTATTAAATCAATCAAACCCTATTACTATAGAGATTTTGCCGAATTTATCAATTCATTTAACCAATTTTCTTTTACTTCCAAAGCCTGCTTTTCTCTTTATGATAGGAATGGTACAAAAATCTATAACATAGGCTTAACAATAGAACAAATTTATTCTTCTGTTAAATATCCCAATTATATTATCTTATAAATTAAATGAAATAAAGTTGTCAAAAACTTAATTTTTTAAGAAATCTTACTCTTCTATTCAACCTTCTCTGTTTAGACTTAATTTCCACTTAGAGAAGGCAATCTTATATGCATCTTCTTTTTCTTTGCTTTTATTAATCCTTCCTAAAAACTATTGCCTTAAGTTAATAATTCTAATAGCAATGGTAACATTTTCTCTTCAAATTCTTTTGTCAATTTTCCTACTTCCACTGCTTCAACGTAATGATTAAAAATTTATGCTATCTTTTTATCTTTTTCCATTAATAACTATCCCCATACAAAGCAGGTTTAGGAATATATTGGTAGAAATGGATCTATGTCTATATATAAAACTTCATATAATTTTAAATAGCTATTTTTCATTGACAAAGGAATTTATGTTGATTTTATTACATTTTAAATATGATAAGAAGTTATTCCTAAAAATTGAACCTTTTTCATACATTTTTTATTTCTGCCTTTACATAATTATGCCAATAAATTAACTGAAGCTGTTAGATAACTTAAAAATTATAACAATGATTTTTTGATTAATATTTTTTCACCTAATTCTTCAAGTGAAAATAATTCCATTTCATTATTTTCTGAAGGCCTAATTAAATGTAATTAATTTAATGATGGATTTTTTAATAAAAATTCAGCTAAAGGTTCTTCTCTATATAAATTAAATGTAGGTTTATCTAAGAGTATATTGAATTAACATAAAAATTTAGTCTTTCCATTTTTTCCTTATGAAAATAATTCTTTACAAACTTTGTTTTAATATCTTATAATTCCTTGATTACTAGAATCCACCATGGCTATTGAGATTACCTTTAAATAAATAGTCATATCATAAATATTATTGCCTACTTCATCTAAAGGTTCTAATAAACGAACCCAATCTGATAAATCTATATTTGGTTAGTCTTTTACAGCTTCCCTTAAAATGGCTGAAACATGAGGTCCATAACTTCTAATTTATTAACATAAGAATTCATCATTATCCAAAGCTATTTTACGATTACTCTAATTATTTTTGATAGACAAAAGAATTATCTTATAAATATGTACAGGAACAGAAGCCAATACTTTGAATGCCACATAAGACTACAAAAATAGATTATAACAATAATACAGCTGTTTATTATGATGGTAAAGATCTATCTGTTTTATATAATCTACTTTTATCTTTATCTCTAAATACTTTCTATTATGAAAACACTATATTATCAATTAATTTTAATAATGAAAAAAGCAATTCCAAAATCTTTTGTTCTCTCATTATCTTTTATTTCTATGTTTAACTAGTTTAAACATTATTGTTCATTTCATATTAATTAGCTTTGTTTGAGAGATGATTACTAAGGGCTTCTAATTGTAATTACAAATGATAAACCTCTTATTCTAATTAACCCTTCAAAGATAAAGATTTTAAATAATCAAATACAAATGTATCCTCATTTTACTTTTTCTTATCTGATAAAATTGACCATTACTACAAGTACACATGAAAGTTTAATACTCTCATATGAATTTCATTTAGATCTTCTAAAATAATTGAAGAAAAAGGGTCAATCTATTTAATTGAAAATAGTTGAGGAGTTTGATCATTAGGAAGTGGTTAAAATTATAATTTTCCATTTTAATTCAACATTAAGAATGTTCCTAAAGAACTTTAAATACTAACAATTTATTCATTATATTCTTATTGTTCTGTAGATTCAGGATTAAAATAAAATATACTATAATCATCCTACATATATCCTGATGTCAATTTGAGTCTTTTTTCATCATTTGGATCTACTGATAAAAACTACTAGGTAAATAAGGATTTTAATTTACAAGCTTTAGGACTAGCTTGTTATTCTGTAAAAGGAAATAATGGCTAAATTTCAAAGTAAGTATATGAATTTAAGAGATTGCTTGATTATACTTCATAATCTTGCATCAAATATTTATTAAGATCTAAAGTTCTTAAAGCAAAGGTATCTTGTTATTATTATTGATCATTATTGAAATTATTAATTATAGCATTTTTATTAGTAATAAATTATTATAATTATTTTTCACTTGTACCAATTGCTATCATTGATTATTAATGAATAATTTATACTATGTTATTTTAATGACTTTTAACTTTATGTAAATGAAAACTATCAGGTCTATCACTTGCATTAATATCTATAAATTTATTACTTGAATATCTTGATTCATCCTTCTCTAATTTCAAGTAATATTGTCTATTAGAATCTTATTAAAACAATAATTAATCATTATATTAAATCTTATCTCCTATTTTATTTGCACTTGAATATGGCATTATTCTTAGAATATTTTAATGACCAATTTAGGATTATAAATTAACTTAAAATGATCCTCTCTCTTATGATGGCATATCCAAATTAATCATCACACTCTATTCAGATTTAGAATGTACTAAAACTATACGTTGACCATAACAAACATAGCTTTAATCACTTGTAATAGTTCTTGGATTTCTTATTGTAAAAAAACATTTCTATTGATGTGAATATGGATTGTTTATAACTTAATTAGTCATATTTACACAATTTATTGAACCAGAATATTATAGATTTCCAATTATTATTAATTCATGTATTTGTGTTTCACTCTATTTTCCACTTATTGATACATTTGTTTTTATTACAAAAAAATCACCAAATTTTAAATATGGATGTTCTGATTATCTATGACCTTAGATTTCCTTCTCTAAACATTTATTTTAAATAAATGACTTTTTCTTTGATTTTGTAATTTCTTTCTGTATGGAATTATTATTAGAAATCTCATTGTCAATAATTTCATCCTTCTCCTATTATCTCATGATATCCTAAACTCATTCAACTGAAATTACTTATTAAGGTGATGTTGAAGACCTGACTTTTGTTTATAGAAATGTCAGTTATTTTTATTTCTTTGTTTCTTATTCGAAATCATCCCTTTATTATATTTAGGCTTCTTATCCATTTTTATTCCCTAAATATTAACTTGTTGCTTATATCAATGTAGGTGATCTATTTATCTCACTCTAATGAAGAGTATTATATTTTAATGTTCTAAACCCTATTTTTAGAATAGCATTTTTTATATGCTCTGTTCCCTTCTTGCATGATTGAACTGCTACAAAAGAAAGGCTCATATTCATTTATTTATGAAACTAATTTTATTATAAATATTCAAATTATATAATTATTTACCTCAACAAAATCATCTAAATAATCTAAATAATCAAATAATCAAATAATTTATATCTCAAACAAATCCTAAACTTCATATTTGATTGAAAAAATCAATTTTAAAAATAATTTTGAATCTCAGGAATTTAGAACATTTTAAAAATAGAAATGAAGAATTTAGACATACTAAATTCAGCTATTCTTCTAAAATTTTAATAAAAAATCTAATCTATAGTAATAGAGAATTAATAATCTATAAATTTAACTTTATGTAGTATATTCTTCATCTAAAAATTTTAATAAATAGAAAATAATCAAGATTATATTAAAAATAATGAATTGTATAAGTTTAGTCTAAGTAGGGAATAATGATTGATTAGTATTTGTATTTATATTTTTAAGGGGGGTTGATATAAATATATAATTAATATATAATTATATATTGATTAAAATAATGAGTAAATTATGTTAAAAGAGAGTTGAAGTGAATAGAATTGATTATGTCAAATGATTTTTATGAATAGATTTGTGGAATCATTATATTATGTGTTATTTTTGATCATAAATAAAATTAATTAGCAAAATTTCTTTTATAAATAGTATAAAAGATTTTTAGGAATTTCATTTTTTCGTCAAAAATATAAATAAATGAAAACAGATGGTTCTGCTGAAAATTAAGCTCTAACAAATGGGAATGGAGCTAATGCATAACCATAATAAGAACCAATGGTTCCATATTTTGAGCTTTTGAGGTATGCTAGCCCAAAAGACAAAATATTAATGTTTATAGGTGGGTTTGCAGCCTTTTGTAATGGAGCAGCATTTCCAAGTTTTTCGATAATCTTTGGAGATATGACTGATTCATTTTCTTAGGCAGGTGATGAAATGGTTAGATAAGCGGGATTGAACGCAATGTAAAAATATGAAGAATGAAATATAGATATTTTCTAATAGTAGCAGTGGGTACAATGCTTATGTCCTTTACAATGTTTGCAACTTGGATGATAACAGGAGAGAATTAAAGTATAGAGTTTAGAAAGAGATACTTTGAAGCAATATTAAAATAAGAGATAGGATGGTTCGATACTATAAATCCTAATGAATTGAATAGTAAAGTAGCAAATGAAACATTTGCAGTATAAGGAGCAATAGGAGAGAAAGTTCCAACATTTATAATGACATTTTCAATGTCTTTTTTTGGTTTCTTAATTGGTTATATTTAGTAATAAATTTAGTAATAAAAATTTTAGTGGTTGGTAATTAGCATTAGTAGTAACAGCTACTTTACCAGCAATTTCAATAGCAACAGCAATATTTGCAATAATAATTTAAACATCTGAGAATGCAACATAAAAAGCATATTCTGATGCAGGAGCATTAGCAGAATAAGCAATTAATGCAATAAAGACAGTAAAGATGTTAGATGGTGAAGATTTTGAAGTTGAGAAATATAAAAAATATCTTCTTTAAGCAACAGCTACAACAATTAGTTATTAATTTGGAGTAGGTATAGCATTTGGATTTTTATGGGCAGCAATGTTATGGGCATATGCACTTGGTTTTTGGTATGGAGCTAAATTAATTTCTGATTAAGTAATAAATAATATTTATATAGACTTTAAATCATAATATGAATTAAGTATATACAGTAGGAGATGTAATGATTATATTTTTTGCTATTTTAACAGGTGGATTTTCTTTAGGTCAAGCAGGTCCATGTGTATAGAATTTTGCAAAGGGTAGATAAGCAGCTGTTAAAATGTTTGCTATTTTAGATAGAACTCCAAAAATAGTTAATCCTATTAAACCATTAAAATTGACTTCATTTAATGGAAGAATACTATTAAAGAATATTGAATTTAGTTATCCAAATAGACCAGATTAGCAGATTTTGAAAGGATTAAATTTAGATATACCAGCAGGTAAAAAAGTAGCATTAGTTGGTGAAAGTGGATGTGGTAAATCTACAGTAATGTAATTAATTGAAAGATTTTATGATTGTGATTAAGGAGAAGTATTATTTGGTGGAGAAGGAGGGATTAATGTAAAAGATTTAGATCTTATTGATTTAAGAAGTAGAATTGGTTTAGTAGGATAAGAGCCAGTATTATTTGCTACAAGTATTAAAGAAAATTTATTGTATGGTAAAACGGATGCAACAGAATCTGAAATGATAGATGCATTAAAGAAAGCGAATGCTTGGGATTTTGTTTCTAAAATGGATAAAGGCTTAGAAACATATGTAGGAATTGGAGGAGGATAATTAAGTGGTGGATAAAAATAAAGAATTGCTATTGCCAGAGCTATTTTAAAAAAACCATAGATATTATTATTAGATGAAGCTACTAGTGCTTTAGATAGAACCAATGAAAGATTAATTTAAGAAACATTAGATGAAGTATCTAAAGGAATTACTACTATTGTCATAGCTCATAGACTAAGTACTATACAAAATGCTGACATAATTTATGTTATTGATAAAGGAATTGTTGTAGAAATAGGAACTCATTAGGAATTAATGAATTTACATGGAAAATATGAAGTCTTAGCTAAAAATCAAATCTAAGCATAAAACTAAGAAAATGATTCTGGATCTGAAAGTTCTGGTTCATCTTAAAAAAATCTATAAGATTAGTAAGTTGGTTCATAAAGATCTCTTAAAATTAAAATGAATATGGTTGATTAATAAAATATTGCTATTGCTGTTAAAGAAGAAATTGATAGATTCAAATAATTAGAAGTTCCAGAATTAGTAAAAAAGGTTTCTGGATAAGGACATCATCATCATCATCATCATCATCATCACCATAAAAAAAATGAAACTGATTTAGAAACTTAACCATTACCTAAAAAAGATGAACCTAAATAAGAGGTAGATGCTTAAATGGGTAGACTCTTCACATATAATTCTGATGAAAAACCTTAATTTTTCATTGGTATCATTGCAGCATTAACTAATGGATGCACATTTCCAGTATTCTCTTTATTCTTAGCTGAAATGATTACTGTCTTAGTTGAGTCCAATCCTTCCTTTGCTGATTATAAATGTTCACTGACTTATGAAAATCCAACACCATAAATGTGTCAACTCTTAAAAGACAATCTAAAGGATGAAGTTAAAACCAAAGCCGATAGACTTGCTCTTTGGTTTTTCTTAATTGGTCTTGCTGCTTAAATACTATGGACTATACAAATGTATTTCCTTGCATATGTAGGAGAAAAACTCACTTGCAAACTTAGATTAGATACTTACAGAAAATTATTAAGAATGCCAATCCCTTATTTTGATATACCCAAAAATAATGCAGGTACCTTGACAAGTAGATTGTCTGTAGATTGTAAATTAATAAATGGATTAACATCATCAATTTTAGGTATTAACATATCGAATGTTGGTGCATTGATTTGTGGTTTAGTTATTTCATTTGTTGCAAGTTGGTAAATGACATTGATAATGCTTGGATTAGCACCATTGTCATATGTTGGAGGAATATTATAAGCAAAGTTTTTGTAAGGATTTTCTGATTTAACAGACGAAGCATATAAAGATTCAGGTAATTTAATAATGGAAGCAGTAACAAATATAAGAACAGTTGTATCTTTTGGAAATGAATAGATTATTCTTGGAATATATTCAAAGAAGGTTTAACTTCCATTAATTAAAGCAAAAGAAAGAGGAATTTATGCTGGTTTGGCATTTGGTTTTTCATAAATGCAAATGTTTATAATAAATGCAATAGTATTTTATATAGGAGCAATTCTTTGTAGAGATGAAGTAATTACTATAGAAGGCATGTTTAAATCAATTCTTGCAATAACATTTGCAACAATGAGTGCAGGAAATAATGCAGCATTTGCAGGTGATATAGGAGCAGCAAAGAATGCTAGCAAAAACATTTTTGAAATATTAGATAGTGAAGATGAATTTTAAAGAGAAGAGAGATTAAGAAAATAGAAGATTACTAAACCAGTTTAAGGAGACATTAATTTTAATAATTTAACCTTCAAATATGTAGGAAGAGATAAGAATGTATTTGAAAATTTGAGTTTGACAGTAAAATAAGGATAGAAAGTAGCATTTGTAGGTCCATCCGGTTGTGGTAAATCTACTTTGATGTAAATGTTAATGAGATTTTATGAACCAGATTAAGGTGTGATAACAATAAATGGTATAGATATTACAGATTATGATATCAGATATATTAGAAGATAATTTGGTATTGTTTCATAAGAACCTGTTTTGTTTAATGGTACTATAAAAGAGAATATTTAATATAATCTACCATAAATTACAAATGAATAAATAGAAAATGCAGCTAAAAGAGCAAATGCATATGATTTTATAATAAAAAATTAATTTGAAGAAACTTAAATTGAATAAAAAGGAAATGAAAAATAAAGAGGTTAAGGATTTGATAGATAAGTGGGACCTAAAGGAGCTTAGATTTCAGGAGGATAAAAATAAAGAATTGCAATTGCTAGAGCTATCCTTAGAGATTCAAATCTTCTATTACTAGATGAAGCTACAAGTGCATTAGATGCTGCCAGTGAACAATTAGTTTAAGATAGTTTAAATAAATTGATGGAAGGAAAAACTACTGTTGCTATTGCTCATAGAATATCAACTATCAAAGTATATTTTAATTGTTAATATATTTTAGGATTCTGATGTTATTTATGTCTTTGAAGATGGTAAAATTGTTGAAGAAGGTAATTACTAAACATTAGTTGGTCTCAAAGGTGCATTCTATAGATTAGAATAAGGAATTGCCAAATGATTTAAATTGTTATATTTTTAATTTAAATTTTATAATGAATCTAAAAGATTGATTTCTTAACTAGAATACAAAAAAGTAATTAATTTTTCATTTCATAAAAACCTCAACAACCATATCCTCTGTCAATTCCTCAAATAAATAATCTGCAATCTCCATTAAAACTTCTGTTTATTCCTGAGTAATCTTAAACCATTTCCTCTCTCCCTCTTATAACTAAATTATATTATTTAATATAATATACTTCAATCGAAAGGCAATTCTATATCCTCTCTTCATTTATAAAAGCCAAAGAATCATTTCCTTAACACTCCTACATTATTAATAATTGCTCATAATTCAATTGTCTCACAGATATGACAGGTATCTCATCAGATAATAATCCTAATTTTAAATAATAATTTAATACCGCATAATGTCTTTGACCACTCAAAAACTTTATGTCTTGCCCTATCTAGTATATTTGGGATATCTTCTAATCCATAATATAATCTTTATGATATATTGGTCTCAATACACCATGGATAAGGAATTCCATCATCTTAATAAAAGGGTCTCAGAGTATTTAGAGCTTCATTGAAAGCATCAAATATAGCCTAGTTGTGAATTTTTTCATATTAATTTTATGTTTCCATAATTTGTTCTATGATAGATTTCTTTTATAACTTATTTAGTAAAGTGGTTAAATTTCTTGATGATCTTCGAAATCATCCTAATTATGTAATTATCTCAATCTGTTTATTGGCTTTCTACCATACGGAGTGTTCATTCTCTTTAGAAACTCCTCCTAATTACTTTCTATTTCTCTTATATTAATATACATACCTAATATTGCAAAACACATTAAATTTATAAAATTATTTATTACACCTAAATTTGTTAAAATTCCAGCATTAGTTTATTATGCATATTATTATATTAATTCTATTTTATTTAAACTTTTAGATGCTTCATCTATTAACTACTCCATTATCTATTCTGTCTCTTCTTCTACTTTCAATGCATAATTTAAACCATGAATTACTACTTATGGTTCACGGTAATCTGTTATTATTTATTTAGATTCATTATTAGGAGATACTTATAATGGTCTTGCTATTTAATTCCCTAAAAATAGTTCTTCATTAAATGTTGATATTTCAAAATCCTTTCTTTTTGGATCTTACTAAAATGGTTTTGAAAATTAATTCTACTTCTATTATGATGACATTGATTGTTATTAAACAATCTTCATTTCATTTCTATCATTTATCTAATTCTAAAATTTTGTATTTGGTGTTACTATTTTTGGAGAATTTGGAATACTAAATTAAAGATCAGATTAATCTAAGAAACTTTCATCTTTTATTTCAGATTAATCAAATGAAATTTATTCTAACTATTAAAGTGTTAATACATACATAACTAAGATAACACTAACATTTAATCCTTCTTTAAATCTTTAACTATTATTACATCTTACTCAGTCTTTTTTAATAAAGTATTTGATTATTTTTAAACCTTCTATAATTCACATTTAAATTTCTATAACTAATCTGCTTACTTTGAAAACCACGATTAAACTAATTGTTTATTATGATGAAATGATCTTGGAGAAATTTTCTATTATTGTAATAATGTTTAAAATGCCTACATTTAGCTATTAACTCTCAATTTTATACTCTAATTATTTATTATTTTTATTATTTACTTTTTCTCTTTGTTAACAAATCTCCTCAATTTAAGAATTTGTCAAAAACTCCTTTTTAAAAATAAAACTGCTATTAGACATAGGTGATGAAGCATGCGATTTCTTTGGAAATTCTTCTAATGCCATTTTTAAATGAGTTTCTATTACATTATTCTTTTAATTTGAATGGTTTTGTACTTTTTAATTCTCTACAACTTAATTCAAATCTGGAATGGATGTCTGCAATTCTTCATCTTTTCTTTCAACTCTAATCTATTTTAATATTTGCTAAAATTATTATATCTGATCTTCAGATAAATTCTTTAATTCATGAAAAATATTCATCAATACACTATTATCCTTTTCATCAGATCTTTAAATTGATAATGTATTAAGTCTTACAGAACTTGGTTTTGAATCATCTTTTGGTTAATCTTCGAGACTTTTTATTTAAGGAACCTTTTAATATATTAAATTTAATACTTCAATCTTATAATCTCTTATTTATATTGGGGATTCAGTTGTTCTTATTTAAGTTCTCACTTTTTTTTCTTATTTACTTGATTTTTCTCTTAATAAATTCTTCAATCTCAAAGTATGAATCTCAGATACTTTACCTGGACTTGGATTTGTTATTTATTATTATTGAAATTATTGTTTAGATTTACTTTTTCCTTTCTTTTTACTTAATGTTCTCACTTATCGTAACAAATTTGGAGAATAATCTATATTTCTCATTTGAAATTTATCTTATATTGGACTAAATTAAGAAGTAATTTATTCATTATACTAATGAATTGCTTACTCTCTTGATCTCGATTTAGGTTTCTTTTTAAAAGAAGTAGATTCTTTTTCAGGAGATTTAGATTTGGATTTAGACTTTGATTTAGACTTTGATTTAGATTTTGACACAGTTCTACTTAAACTAGTTTTTGATGAAACAAATTTTTTCAATATTTCATTTAATAATGGTTTTTGTAGATTTTATTATGGTGTTTATTGTTTATTCTATTTTATTCTCGACTTCTATGGTGATCGAGATGTATTTTTTGTTTTTTGTTAAACAGGAGGAGGTATAAGAATTTTCTTTTTCTCTGGATTCTTTTTTAAAGTCTTATCTTAAGAAATATCATCTTTCTTCTTAATATTTTACAAAGATTAACTATTCATTTAACTACTAAAATGATTTTTTTCTACTTTTTTTGTTATCTTTAATGTGTTACTTTATGTATTTTTTTACTTTGCTTTATTTGCCTATTTTATTTATTTCTATTCATAAGGAATGTATGATTATTTCAAAAAAATATTTTCAAAAACATCTGGTGATTCTTTGCTTTATTAAGCTCCTTGATTTGCTTAAGGAACATCAAGACTACTGTATCTATTAAAATTAGCAAAAACTTGACTATTATCGAATCTGTCTGTTGGTGATGCCAAATTATTATCTGTAAATAAACATGATGATCTTAATGATTTTACTTCCGTAGGATTCTTTGTCATTGTTATTTTTTATGCTGATGTAGAATTTATTATGTTATTATTTAAAGCCTTTAGTCTGCCTTAAAGTTTTTGAATATTTTTCTCCAAAGCATTTGAGTAATTTTAACGCAATTATTTGAAATCGTTAAATTCATTCATTTGATTTATTAATAAATGAATTTTAATAAACTCAACATATCATTTTGTTTATTCTTGTAATTCCAAGAATAATAACTTCTACAATTTTTCATTTAAAATGATTTATACATAATGTGATTCCAATTTTAAATCACGTATACAAACTACAAGAAAATGAATTCATTTATATTAATGTCTTGATATTTTCTATTTATACTTTATTTTCAATGTTATAAAATAAATTATTTTTTCATTAATTAGCTTTTAACAATTAAATTATTGTGATAATTCGCATTATAAATTAATGATTTATATAGATCAGAGATAACCTAATTTTGAAAATTCATTTATGATGATTGAATTAATATTCAAGAATTTAGCTCAAAGTAGCAGTCAGGTAATTTCAAAAAGAATTTTTCGGATCCTTTAACTTTATTTTAAATCGAATGAAAAACTCAATTAGTCAAGATAGTATTTAAGATTTTCATCCAAAAAAATTATAAGCAATCTTCTTTAAAATATTTTGGATGAAAATTCATGAAAATTTTATTGATAATTATAAGTGTTTTATAATATGTAATGGTAAAATAGACGATTATATAAAATTAGGCCATATATCCATATAACCATTCTATTAATAGAAGCCAAAAATTGCTAAAGAACTTTAAGAATTCATTATTCATAATTAAATAAATTAACTTGATATCAAAATTAAATTTTTGATTTTCCTTCACTCTATTTTTGAAAAAATTAGCATTTCGAGATAATTTTAAATATTGTGTTTATCTTTTAAATTTAATGAAATTTATTATTTTAAATAATTCCTTTTAAATTTTAGTGATGCATTAAATAATTGGAGTGATTCATGAATTTAATTAATAAAAATATGGTTGCAATTTAAAAATAAAATAGAAATAAAAAAGAATATTATTTATAAATTAATTAGATGGATAATTAATAAAAAGAAGTTTGTGATAATCTTTAGAATGATAAAGACAAAAAAAATTGCTAATAAGAGGAATAAAATAAAGCAGATAAAAATATGAGTGATGAAACAGAAGATTAAATTAAAAATAATGTCAAACAAAGATATGGAGAAATTTGTGAGTAAAATAATAAAATATAATTAGTTCTATTAGTTAATCAGGAGGATGTTGCAGTTAGACAGGTTGTGGAACAATAGATTATGCTGTATTTGCAGAAAATTATGAAAAATAATAAGGATATATACCAGAAGCAGATTTAGGTTTAGGATGTGGAATTCCAACTGAATTTGCAGAAATAAAGAAAGGAGATATTGTTCTTGATTTAGGATCAGGAGCTGGAAATGATTGTTTTATTGCAAGAGCTTTAGTTGGAGATACTGGAAAAGTTATTGGAGTTGATATGACACCAAATATGATTAGAAAAGCTTAATTAAATTCTGATAAATATAATTTTAGAAATGTAGAATTTAGATATGGAGATATAACAGAATTACCTATATTAGATAATTTTATTGATGTTGTTATTAGTAATTGTGTTATTAATCTTGTACCTGATAAAAAAAAAGTATTCTAAGAAATTAAAAGAGTTTTGAAATCAAATGGTCATTTTTCTATAAGTGATGTTCTTGCTACTGGAGATTTACCATTAGCTATTAGAGAAGCTTCAGAATTGCATATTTGTGGTCTTTCAGGAGCTCTTAGAAAAGATATATATTTAAAATAACTTGAAGAAATTGGATTTACATAAATTTAAATTAAAAAAGAAAAAATAATTGAAATTCCTGACGATGTCATTCTGTAACATGTTTCTTAAGAAGTATTTTAAGAATTTAAGAAAAGTGGAACAAAAATATTAAGTGCAACCCTTATTGCAAAAAAATAATGATTCAATAATATTTAGTTTTTATAATTTAAATAAAAAAGAACATAAATAAATTAAAATTTATACATCATTTAATCAATAATGCATAAATTATTTTATTATTATAGCATATTTAGACAAGTCCTTCTCTTTGTGAGATGTGGCTTTCCTAAATTGTATTAGGTGTATTGCAAATAATGGTTGGTATTTATAATTCAGCCACTTTGTTTAACTTAACTAATAAATTATCAGGATGAGCTTCATTAATGCTTTATTAATTAATAGAATAATCTATTTCTTTAAAGTATTTGCAACTACATGCAATCAAAATGTTAAGTAAAATCACATTTGAGACTATAATAAAACATGGAAATAAAATGTAAGGCATAATTATCTATTAGGATTCAAATACTGGTAAAACATTTGCATCCCAATCTAAAAATAAATTTGACATTTACCATCTAAAGTGAGTAATTAAACAAAAGTATAAAATGCTTATTAAAGTGATGTATAATATGTTTCACCTTTGAATCCAATAAATTAACTATAGAATCTGCTTGTATAAACAGCCATCAATAATATTATTGCCAATAGTACTGTTATAATAGGAAATAGAATTGGAAATATTGAAATTGTTCCTGAAAATATTCCTCTTACAGTTGGAGTAGTTGCTAGTTTACATAAATTGCAAAGACAAGCTAAATCATGAGATAAAAACAATGCTAAGGGTCCTGCGATAAAATGGAGAAACATTCTTTCCCATTTAGATCGTTCATATTATATTCTTGGTTTCTTTTATTATTATGATTTAAAAATACATCTAAACACAATAAAAATATAAAATGAATAGAATATAAAATATCATCTAAAGCATCAAACATTCTACCCATATCATCCACAATCAAAAAATTATTATAAATATTAAATATTACACTTACTATGCTAAAAACCATAACAATTTATTAATAAAGTTATCCTAACATTAAATTACATATATGAGTATTATCATATAATTTTTTATTAATTTATCTTTCTTTGATTTCGTGCTCATCTAAGAAATTCACTTAAACAAATTATTAATTCTATTCAATTTACAAAGTTTCTAAAATAAGTCCAATAAGAATATTCATGTAAAAATAATTCATTAAGAACACATAGGCACATATAATTATAGATGGAATCCCTGTATATCCTACTTGTTATTCTAAAATTCTTCCTCTTGAACCCCATGACTAGTTTAATTCATAACAAAAATACATCTAAAGTTAATATTTCTAACATTGTTATACAAGTGTTACTGAAAGTTCCAAAAAGTCCAAATGTTTGTTCATATGAATGATATAAATAAGTAAACAAATATGATGTAAGCAAAATTATGAAAATAATAGTAATTGATAAATTCTTTATTTTTTTAAGTAAGTTCACACTTTTTAAGATTGTTGACAGATTATTTTTGAAAGAAAAAAAGCATAATGATAATATTATACTCTGTAACTGAGGAATAGTTTGTCTAGAAATTAAAGCACAAAAACATATAGTTAGATCAAAACGATCAATATTTGATATTTATATTTTAGTACTGTGTCTCCATATTTAAATCATTAATAAACTAATGTTCATTAAGTCCACTATAATTTATTTATTCTCAAGTTAAAATATTCCAACAAAATATAGCAGAAATAAAATTTTCTTTAGAGTGCTGCTTTTTAATTAAAACTTTTTCTATTGATATGATTTTCTTGTTTCTACTTTGCTATTTCTTATTTACATTGACAATTAAAGCATAAACTAATAAACAAAACAATCTATTTTTGTTAATTTAATTAAAATGAGAAATTAAGTTCGTTTTAAAGAAAATGTTTTTTTCTGTTTTATATTGATTTAGAAATACTTTGAATTTTTTTAAATGAGGAATAATATAAAAATTTACATAAACCTGTATTAAAATAGTTACTACATAAAAATAATAATCATTCTGTTTTTATTTTAAAACAGTTATCTGCTATACAGTAGTAAATCAAATTTATCAGAAATAAGCCCACAACAAACGCAAGTGGCCAATAAATAAATTTTAAATAGTATTAATAATCAAAATACCATTAAGCTGGTTAATATTTATCATTAGGTATTTGATTATCTATATATTTGTTATGAATTTCTAAAAATTAAGTCTCAAAAATATTTATTAAAGTTTGTATTTAATATGGATCTAAAATTTCCTTCTAATTTTCTGAAAGGCTTTAAAAGTACGCTTGGGCTAGTCTTTGCTTTTATTTTGCTACTTCATAATTTTGAAATTGTTAATAATATATGAAAATCTCCTTCATCTTTTTGATAACTGCATCTTGTTTTGGTTCCCAATTAATACCTAACTCACTTTCAATTAAGTAAGTGAATCCAAAGTGCAATATATATCCTAAAAGCAAAAATAGTTTCATATGAGAATTATTCTATAAATAAAAATTAAAAATAAAATTCAGTTTCTTAAATGCTATCTAGCATTTTACTATATTTTGTTTTTTTATTAAACTTCCAAAAAGATTTTTTTTCAAATATTTACAAAATACTCAAACATTTTATTTATTTTTTTATTTTTTGAAATAGAATGTCTTTTGATAACCCAATTATATAAAGTTTTATATAAACTTTAAGAATTAAGTCTTAATAATGTAAAGATTTATACTCTGGATGCCTTATAAATATAAAAATTTAATAAATATTTATCATGACTATATTGAATATGTTTAAATATTAATAGTTCGAATTGGAAAATATAAAATAAATTTAGAATGGATTTTACTTGGTTACATTTAAATTTGAATTTTATGATAGAATCATTAATTTAATATGGTTTTCCTAATGTATAATTCTTCATAATGTAAAAATTAAAGCAAATAATACACGAATAATACAAATTATAGGAACAACTATAATTAGGATTACACTCAGGTTCCACTATTTTTATGATTATGGTTTTTGATTATGTGTGACACAGACCATTTTTCTTTGATTTCTGAATTGATTAGCAATTTATTTAATTGAATTGTATTACTATTAATATGAAGGGATTGTCTTGTTCATGAAATTGTTCCATTGTGGAGTTGACTCAAAGAATTTTAATTTAGCTTATTTTACAGCATCTTTGATAGAATGAAAATTAGATTTGCGCATAGAAAACTTCATTTCATCATTGTTTTATTCTTAAAAGGAATATTTATTAAAGTTATCATATTCTTTCTATCTTTTAAAAAACTCTGCTGTAATTTCAGAAGCTGGAGCTGATATTTTTTTTGGTAATGATGTTTTTGGTAAGGTGTTAGTAAAAGAGAAACGTGTTTATCTACGTTTCATAATTTTTTCTGGACCAGAATTCATTTTCAATGATAATTAAATTAGAAATTAAATTTTACATTCACCAAAATATTTTGATTAGATTTTAAAGATGTTAATATATATATAAATATATATATATTTAAGATTATTAAAGATATGTTTAAGAATAAATAAAATTGGAGAATACAAATATATGAAAAAATTCATTTTTAATGTATCAATAACATATTATGATGATTTACATATGGTATTTAATGGTAATCATAAAAATCTGATTGAGATTTTTCTATTAGAGGTTATATCATTTAGTTTGATTTCTAATTTAATTCTAAACGAAATAATGATGACTTCTTGCTTTTGATATCTTACGAATATTATCTTTAAATAACCATTGAAATAGGTTATTAAAAATTTTAAGAACCTTTTTAAAGATCTATTTTTTTAGTCCATATTGGAGATAATTCAATAAAATCTGTACCTTATTATTATTATTCATTTTTATCCTCAACCTCATCTTCAAATAATTTAAATCCATTATTTATAGTAGAGAATTTCATATCTACATTTTGAAAACTTAAAGAAGGTCCTGATCTTTTTATATCTGAACTAAAATAAATAATTTTGTAAATTACAAGGAGTCTTAAAATATCATAGTTAAATTTGAATTGGATTATTCAAAAAGTATTTCATTAAAAAAATCATGTTTTAATAATTCAGCAGCACTAGGTCTTTATTTTGGATTCTATCTAAGCATCTAAGTTATAAGATCTTTGCAACTTTAAGGAACTTTAAAAGAATCATCAAATTTGAATTCTACACAGAGATTCTTTTATAAGATTTTGGTTTTATCAAGATCTTTAAATGGATGATTATTATAAATCCTACATTAAATATATTAATGTAATCATTTACAATTAATACAATATTACTCCTAAACTGAAAATATCACATTTCTCTGTATACATTTTAGTTCCTTCTTTGTATTTTAGTATTTCAGGTGCAACATATCCTGTTGTTCCACAACGATAATAAATATGTTATTTGGCTTTTATCCATGTTGCAAGACCAAAATCAGCTAAAACTATATCAACAGAATTATTTTTGCAAAGAATATTTTATGGTTTTAAATCTCTATGCATAATTCCTTTCTAATGCATATAATCCACACATATTGCTAATTATTTTATAATCTATCTAGCATCTCTAATATTATATCGATGATTCTTTAACAATTCTCCTCCTTCAATCAATTCTAATACCATATTGATATGCTCTAATAAAGAAACAATAATTACTATTTGTTTCAAAAACTTTATACAATTAAATAATATTTGGATGAGATAATTCATTCATTATTTAGATTTCTTTCATTAAAAATTATGGATTCAACTTTTAATTTTTCCTAATTCTCTTTATTGCATAACATTTATTATCTAATTAGGATTTAGATATATAAACCTATAATTTTATAATAGAATTTAAACCTAAGCTGTTGACCCAAACCCTATTTAATTAATAATTTTAAATTAAGTATGAAAACCAATTAAAATACAGTATTACTCTAATTGATTCTTAATCTATTTGTAACTTTGTTCTGAATTAGAATATAAAATGACTTATGACTGATTATGAATTAATTGAATTTGATAAGGATAAGAACTTGAATCACAAAAAGTTCTCATATAGACATTCTCTAATTTTCGAAAACCTTTCACATCCTGAAAAATAATAGATCTCTTTGTATACATTATAACCATATAAAATATAAGCTCCTTATATTGTGTAATATCTTTGGATAAAATGATTTAGAATTTTTCCTTTTTTGTACAAGCATATACAATCTTCATTATTAAGTATAAAAGCCTTTTCATTTTGTAATAATTTTCTAAAATCTTTATCCCAAAACGAATTAGATTTACAATTTTTGTCTACAAAGAAATGATTTGAAATCAAAGATAACTGATTCATTTATATAATGTTTATTATAATAATATAAATTTCAATATTTAAAATTCACTTTTATAGACTAAAGAAAAATAAATACATCATTATAAAAAGCACATTAAATTTTATAATTCACTTTTTCTTTTTTTTCTTTTAATCTTTTTCATTAAATTCTAAAGCTTGAATTTCAACAATTCCATTTCCAATCTTATTTGTATCCAATTTACAATCTCTTAATGATAATCTCCATCTAGTAATATCTTTAAGTCCTAAATTCTTCTCTTAATGAATATTGTAGCTAGTACACTCAGCATCAAACATATTAAGTTTAGTAGCTTTATTTGTTTTTTGAGTTTATTTTAACTTTTCTAAATTAGCTTCCCAAACCTCCTAAACTATTTAACCAATATTTTTTTCTTTCTCATATTATTATCTCTTGATTTCCTGCTCATCATTACAATCATCTTCTTAGCTCTTTTACTTACAAAACTCCTACCAAGCTTCTTCCAATGCTTATGCCAATTAAGTATGAGCCAATATCCAAGTTGAGATTTCTTATTTTTTTTAATTCATTAAAATTATAATATTTATATATATTAATTATATATAAAAAATAAAAATACATTTTTTAATCTAAAAATTTAAATTTTTTATACTCAAAACTTAATCATTATATATGTTTAAATAAATGATGATCAATTATTTTAAAAATATTCTATATACTATTTCATTTTATAAAGAACAATCTCAAAATTTATAGATATATAATCTAATTTCTATTATGAATTAAGGTTCATAATTCTATAAGCATCAATAATTGTAGAATGTTCAATTTGATAATTTATCATTAATTGAAAGCATCACTAAATAAAGATTTAAGGAACCTGTAATATATAATTTTATATTAGGTTGTAGTTAAAAGTTGTAAACACTTTAATACATGTTTTGAATATTAAGAAGCCATGTTATCAATTTAATAATATGGATAATATAAATGTTAATAAATTGCCAAAAGTCCAAACGATCTAATTTAGGATTGGAGAATGCAAGCATATCAAGAATTTAATGTATTAACTACTGAAATAACTGTGATATGTGGAATTATGATTAATAGATATATTAGAAACAAATCTAAATATCAGAATTATTTTTAATTAGACATATATAAAAATGAATTTTTACGTATGTTTGGCAGGGCCAGTCAAGATTCATCTATTATCTCTCTGATAAAAAGCAATTTAATTAATAATACCCCTTAGAATAGAAATATATAAATTTGGAGCTTTTGTTTATAAAATAGAGAAAAAATTACTATTCCAATTTGAATATTGGGATGTAAACACTACGAATGCTATGAATTAACAAGTTTATTATTTTATTAGGATTAAAATAAGAAGAAAAGTCAATTCTTAGATTGTAATCAACCAGGATGTTCTAATAGATTAAAAATTGCTCATAGAGATTACTCCATTATAGACCCAACTTTAGAATAAAATAATTAAACATAATAAGATGTTGCTTAGAAAAAACTTATTGAGGACAAAGAAAAAATTTTGGATATTCAAACATTATTTTCTTGAATTTGTGGAGACATTGATTTATCAAATGCAATAAAAAAAAGTAATCCAAGTTAATACAAATTTTAATATAATTTTAATACTCAATAATTTGAAGAAGATGTTAGAATAATAAATAATAGAATTGTTGATCCTTACATAGAGAAATATTATAATAGCAAAGAAGATTTATAATAAAGACTCAGTTTTGAAGATTTTTAATTTTCAGTATAATAATAGGCAACATAGGGGATTTAGGGAGATTTATTATTAACTGATAAAACATTAGGCACAAAATAGCCTTATATAGATATAGAAATTATAGTGTTAAGATGGAACATCGGTTTACTAAAATGACCATTGAATACCCGGTAAGATGTAAACTTTGTACTGATTTAAGTGTTTTTATGGATATGAGAAGTTATATTGCAGATTTTATTTATTAAAAAAAAATGTTTGCTAATAAAAATTTTATTTGTCCTCTATGTAATGCTCAATAATAGTAAAAAGTTGCTATTGCATCCATTTAAAATTTCATTTATCTTGATTCAAATATGCTTTCATATATGTTTAAGGATTTGTTCTATACTTAAGGAACTAAAATATTTAAATATAAAGATGAATCATATATGCGTTAAAAATTTATGGATAGATAAAAAATCAGAAGAGAAGACTATATTGCAACATAAAAGGATTCTTAAACTGAATTTACAAACCTTTATTGTGTAGTTAATCAAAATTTGAGAATTAAAGAACCTTTAGTACTTTCAAATTGTCCTCAAAAACACATTGTCGATTTTAAATCATTTTATGAGGAATTAAAAAAAATTGATTTTGATATTGAAACTAAAGGATTAATCTTGTGTAGATGTCATACTTGTAATGCAAAACCTATTAAAACTATTACTAGCAACATTCATTTCCATGAAGCATTTTATGAAGCACTTAATAAATTTTGTAAAATAGAAAATTATACATAAATGAAAAGTTTCACTTATTAATTTTAGAACAAAGTGGAAGATGGTTATATTGTCAGAAGTGTAATTTTTAATCATCCTAAAATTAAAATTGTAAAATAGCCTAAATAAGGTGATATATAAAATCTTCGAAATGCTAAAACAAACGAAGGATTTGTAGATTTAATGAATGATGAAGAATATTAAAAGTTCTTTGGAACAACATAAATTTAAGGGTACATTTATAAAGCCTAGGGTATATAGTAGAATATTGGAGTTTTAGAATTTAAGTATACTTAAAACGGTATTAGTTCAAACATTGAAGAAGCAATTTCTATATTAAATTAGAATGCTATTAATAATATTTAATTGAAAAATATGGATTTTAAGTATCTAGAATGGAAGTTTAACTAAAAAATGATGTATTCAGTTAAAACAAAGGGGAATTCAAATATTAAATATGAAAAATTATTATTAAAAGATAAAAAATAATAGCCTATTTATATATATTTAAAATTTCATTATGATAGAAGGAAGTTTAGTTATTCATTTTTTTGTTATCTTTCTTAGTCTTATTTTTACAAGATATTCAACAGTTAGACTTTTTCCTTCAAATTTTCAGAATTATTGATATTAAATAAAAATAATATTAATATAAATAGATATATTGTTATGTTTTTGTTGTTATTTATAAAAAGTATATATTAAATTAGATTCTATCTTAAAATCATAAATCTTTAAAATATTCATGTTGTAAAATATCTTTAGCAGTTATTCTAAATGCATGATCATAAACAAAAATTTTATTCAGTAAATCAATAGCTTAAGGTGTTGCTAACTCTTTATTTTCATCATTTATAAATTTTTCTAAAGGTATTTTTTCATAGCTCCTCAATTTTTGATAAAGATCATTAGGAACACGAACATTGTATTTATAGCAAAATTTAAAGAAATCTTCAGAACCTAAAACTTTAACTACTTTAAGTAGTTAATCATCATTATTTCTTCCATTAAAGAATGGATATTTCTTAAAAACAGCAGTTGCAAAAATAGAACCAAGAGCCCATACATCAACTGCATAATTATAGTATTTGTAATGAATTAATTATTCTGGAGCTCTATAATGACGAGTACCTACCCTAGTTCGATATTCTTTCATAGGGAAATAGAAATCACTAACTCCCCAATCAATCAATTGAATTTAATCATCATTGATAATAATATTTGCAGGTTTGATATCTAAATGCATAATTCCTTTTGAATGACTTGTAGCTAATGCTTGAAATAGTTTATAGTATAATTATTTAATATCCGAAGAGGTTAAGTCATGATAATAATTGTATATTCTGTAATCAAAAGTTGTACAATTCTAAAGTTCTTTAAAAACAAGAACTGGACTGGATTCATTAAAAAATGCATCAACCATTTAAACAATATTAGGATTATTCTCTTAATTGAGTGTATTTAAAACTTTAGCTTCCATTTTAGCCCACCATGTATATTCTTTTTTGATTTATTTTAATACAACAGGTAATCCATCACTCAATCTAATAGCACTTTAAACAAAAGCAAATGTACCATCTCCAAGATATTTTTTAACCATATAGTTGCTCATATTACCTTTTTAAATATCGTAAGGCAATACTTAATTTTTATTAACATCAGGATATATTCTAGAAACTCTTAAATCATTAAGATCAATAAATTAATCATAATCATAAGGTTCTAAATATTCTATGAATTCAGGTGTTCCATCATCATCAAAAGTTGTTGAATCATCTGGAAAATATTCGTTTTTTTCTTATCTGCTTGATGCATGTACTACAACATTACCAACAAAATAGTGTTTTAATTGACCATTTAAGACTACATTTATTGACTATGAAAATACTGCATCATTAGGATCTTAACATACTATTGTAAAAAGTAATCCCAAAAACTAAAAAAATAATTACATAAATAAATTAATTATAAAAAATGATCACGGCCAGTCTCGAACTGGCGGCCTCGTCCTTGTTAGGGACGCGTGATAACCCCTACACCACGCGATCAATTATAATAATATTGACATATTTTTATAGATTAATACTCATTGTTATCAAACAACATTCTTATTTTTATTTTTTATTTCTAATATTTGAAGTCATATTGATCTTATAATTTATTGTTTTCAGTAAAATTAGGAAGAGGTATCTTTTCATTATTTTAAGACTCAAACAATTCAGCTAATCCTTATAGTACTTTAAAATACATTTTTTCCTGTTTTAGCAGATATCTTAAAATAATCCACTCCCAATTTATTATATTACCTATATCTTATCCTTTTTATTTTTAAAATTATCCTTTAGTCTTCAATAACTCACTTTTACCAATTAAAATTAAAGCCGCATCTATTTTCCTATATTATTTCATCCTAATACTTATTTCTATAAATGAAATAATATCATCTATAACATTAACTAACAATACTCAATAAACATATTCTTATCCTCCTTGTATCCAAAATCTACATCTTCATGGTTTTACCATTTTCTTTCGCTTCCTTCAATCTAAAATCAACCTCAACTATTGTTATATGACTTTTACTATAAATACCATCAGTAAAACGAGTAAGCAGATTAAATTTTCTAACTTAAGATAAACAATTATTAGAAATTAACACATAATATCATATTAAGGCTTTTATACATAATTTATTATATAATATAAAAATTAATCATTTGATGAACCTATTCTTAAAATTATTCTTAGTTTTTAATAAAATTAAAGCTTTAATAATTAAAACATATTCATATCAATGTACCATATAATATAAAATTTGAATAAGAAAATTAATGAAAATCAAATAAGATAAGATAAAAATTTCAATTCCCCTAAAAGAGTAATTCATCAATTCCATCCTTTAACTTCATTATTATTATCCTTTGAATAATTCTGTTTTATTTTGCTTTTATTTTTTAGGATTGCTTTAGCCTTTGCTATTCCTTAACTTTCCTCTTAATTCAAACAATTATTTGGATGAATAAATAGTCACACCTATTAATTAGTTTTGGTATATCGAAGTATTAGCTCGGCCTGACTTTATACTTTAAGGTTATATACCTAAATATAATTTCTTGATACCTCTGATCTTTAGCATATTGTTTATATTTATTCCTTTATTGTTAAATATTTCAAAGAAATGGAACACAAATCATAAACCAATTATTAATTAGCTATCCTTTTATATGCATTTAAGTTCAAACCTATTTTAACTCTTTCCAATATTCTTACAAATACCATTATAATGTCTTTGTTTTCAATCTCTAAGTTATAATTTAAAAAATGATGGTATTATTGAACTAAACTACCTTTATATCACAATAACAATACTGACATTACTATTTCTATTTACTATTAACTTTTTGATCATTATGCTATGTAAAGAAACCATCGACTTTAATTTAAATTGTTTTTCTAATCTCAAATTGACATTAAGTGATTTCATTATTTGGATACTTAATATATTCTAAATTATCATTTTCTATTATCTTAAAAAATACAATTAAATTCTATAGGCCATTATACTTTTGATGATATCTATTTTAATGTTAAATAATACTTTAAGTCTTTTAACATGTTTGAAAAAGGTTATTTTTACAACTTTAATTGTAATTTCATATTAATTTATTTAATCTTTATTGATATTGGTTAATTTATAATCAGACATTAATATCAATATCAATATATTAATTTATATCAATGTTCCTTTATTAAATCAAATATTATACAAATTTTTTCAATAAAGAGATAATAAAGTGATATCCAAAAATTAAAAATTTTCAATTTCAAATTGTAAATATTTACTTTCAAAATTTTTGAATGATGAATTCATTTCATTCTCCTAATCTATTTTTATTTATACTAAAATAATAGATGATTATCAATAGAAAAAGCTTCAAATAGAACCGCAATAATTATTACCGTTAACATAAATAAATCAAGAATTTTTACCAAAATATTTGTTGAATTTTTATTACAAATCTTAAATGAAACAATATATTAAAGAACTTTAAAAAGTAGATTAAAAAAATAGAAATGCCAATCATTATGTTCATTATGTTTCTCTTCTCTATAGAATTGGATTAAATAACTTAGCTCTCAAATAAATTAACATCTTATTATTCAATATTACAATAAGAACAAATAGTAAAAGTTTGGTTAAAGAAAAAATTAATGAGTAAATTAAATCTTTTAATACAATACATTAAGCCAGATAATCAGTAAGTAAATCATCAAAATCTTAAGATATATATGAGACTGGTTAATAAAAAATGAATAAGCTTAATAAAATGCTTGTATTTACTGGAAGTCATTTATTAAACTTTACTCAAAAAGTAAGAATAATGATATTGAGAGAAAAAGTAAGGTAAAAATTACAACTATCATTTTAACACAAAGAAATGATTGGGGATACTTATAATCTGTAAATTGGTATAGAATTAATTTTAAAAAGTGAAAAGAGAAATTAAAGCTTAAAAGAATAAGTCCAAATTTTAGTAAATTCTAAATTAGGTTTCTATCTTCAATTATAATAAGTAAAACATATTAGATCTATTTAACTTTTTCAAGTATCTAAATAATTAAGCAAGAAAATTGAAATTTTGGAACAGAAACTAATCAAATTATTCAAATATTTTCCAAGTCAAAGAATCTAATCATTATATACTTATTTTTAAGGAGAACTTTTAGAAAATTATTTATAAGCTCATAAAATAACATGTTATTCTTCAATTTCGGATGAGAAGTTAATAAATGTACATAACAATGCAAACTAAAAATTTGCATTAATTAATAAGAATTTAATATATATGAATATAAAATTATTTGAAGATACATAAGAACTACAAATATAAAATATAACTCCTGAGATTTGTATGTTTTTTGAAAGAAATTATGATGATTTTAGAGGAAACTGTTCAATTGATTCTTTACTGCCAGAAGGAATAATTAATGAACATTAATTATTAGTATAAAGATTCTTATAAACATCTTAATCTCGGTTTTATTTAAAAAAGGGTTTAAATTTTTATAAACTCCATAAAATGATAATGAAACCATTTGAATTCTTTTTTGAGGTTAATTTTAGTGATATATCTTAAATATAATTTTTGGCATTTTTAAATGAAACTTTTTAAACATCAGCTTTTATATTAGTAGATGTAAATTAAAAAGTAGGTGGAATAACCTAAAATCTTTTGGATAAATTATAATTTACTAATTATTATATAGAGAATATAAAAGAAAATTTGTTATAAGATGTTCCTATTGAATATATAATTCCAAAATTTTAATAACTTCGTTCTAAAAAAGAACTTTTAAATTTAACAGATTTTTAATTTTTAAAATAATCTATTCTGATAAATCCATTAGAAGATAATTAGTTTAGAAATAAAAAGTAAGATTTTTCTGTATGGTAAATGGAGGAAAATATAATGAATTTTGAATGTTTATTAACAATATAAAGTCGAGAGTTATATGGATATTAATATTATATTGTAGAGATAAAAGAGTTGAAAGTAGAAGATTCATATTTTGAGAAAGAATATGCAAATAATTCATTAGATTAAGAGTTTTCTCCAGTGTCAGAATAAGAAGGATTTGCTAATCCTCCTTGTAATTTAAAAATAGAGAAAGAGAAATTTGAACCTTTTAGAAGAGATGATCATTAATTTGAGATTAATTTAATTGTCGATAAAAGTTAATAATTTTATCAACCAGATCAATTAAAATATGAGGTTAATCTAATGAGCCCTGTAGATATTAGTTTAAATCCTATTGCATTGAATTCAGCAAATCCTCTTTTAAAATAATAAGAATATTATAGTTAAATAATATAAAATCCTGAAGGTATTTCATATTCATCTAAAAATCAAATTGGTAAAGCAGTTGATATGGAAGATATAGAATAAGTTAAGAAACCTTAATTTCAATTGAAAGGAGAAGATACTAATTCATCTTAAGTTGGATATGCCAAATAATCATAATTTTATAAGAAATATGAAATGATTTAATAGATATTAAAACCTCATAATCCAAAATAGTTAAGAATATTTATAATATTATTAATAATGTATTTTATATTAAGTTGTATTCACTATATAATAATAATCACTAAAAATTAATAAGATTTAAATTAATTTGTATCTGAAATAGATATGATAGAATTACACAGTAGTTTTATGGCCCCTCATGATATATTTGTAGCTATGAGAATAGCAATAGTTGCTTATAATTCTTATGTTTAAGAAGGTGCACTAACTGCTACTTAAGCTGCTGTATTGACAAAACCTTTTTATGATAATATATATATAGGATTTGCTGAAATTAAAGAAATCTTTATCAAATAATTAAACAATTAAAATTTATAGCCTTTTTTTGAAAATAAAACTATTGATATGGTATTTATGGATGCAAACGCAAGTGATGTTTATAAGGTAACATTAAATATTAGAGAAGCATTACAATAAATTATTCAAAATTTATATTAATATAAATATAAATATGAAAATAGAATGAGCACAGCTGGTACTGCTATTCAAGTATTTGGAGTTGCAAATTAATTCCATCTTCATTATTGGTTGGAAGAATTAACTTTAGAAATTATGGATTACTCAATAAATAGAAGTATAAAAATTGAGTAAGATTGGACTATTATTTGGGCTATTTTTATTATTATTACTCTCTTAATTACATTATTTATAATTTATTATTTTAAATTGTTTAATCATAGATAAGATTTGTATTTAGGAGTTTTCAAATTTTGTAATGTGCCTAAATTATAATATGAAATAGATAGATATAAAATTATTTAAAAATAATTATTAAAAAATCCAGATCAAGTTTTTTAATATAAGTTTGACTTGTAATCAAAAGAATAATAACTCTTAGTTCAATAAAAGATATTAGAATAATTAAATAGAAGAAATAAAGATTAATAGAGGAATGCTTTATTATAATATGAATCTTTATCAATAATAATGAGTGTTTCATTAATCTTAGGAATTTGGATTATATTTTTAGGATTGAGTATAATAATATTCTTAGGAGAATAGAATTATTTAAAAAAATATCCAGATACAATTGATATTTATAAATTAATCTAGGATATGACTTATTCATCAGCAACTCTATATTAGAATAGAGATTACTATTTTATTTTCCCAAATTTTACCTATTTAACAGAATTTGATAATAAATAAATGTTTTCATTAATTGATTAAGGAATAGAAAATATAGTAAAGTTTAATTTGTTAACTTAAGAATTTGATTCTACTAAATATTAAGTCAATAATGATTTTGTAAATTTTTTTAGTTAAGTTTAAAAATAATCAGTTTGTGATATTTTAAATAAAGATCAGATGGGATTTTTAGTAGATTTTTGTCCAATATCAATTTAAGGAAATTTTTTGAAAGGAGTTATTGCTGCATTGAATTTTATAAAGAATTCGATTTAAACATAAATTGTAATAAACAAGTTCAGCAAAAGAGTAGAACATCCAATTTATGATAATGAAGCTGGAATTATTATGGTTAGAGTGTTTTAATTAATGACATAAAAATTAAAATCAAGTATGTTAGGTGTAACCATTGATTTACAAACTATATCAATTGTAATTATAAATTTATTTAATTTTAGGTGCTTTCTTCAATTTATTTAATATTTGCTATCATATCTATTTCAATTATATTTTTAGGATTTAAAAAATACTTAGAAACAGAATTTAATATAATTAAAAGATTTATACAACTGTTGCCATCTTCCATAACTATGTTAGATGATTAATTTGAAAGATATATAAGATCATTATTAATTGAAGAAACATAATGAAATATAAATATATATTTTTATTAGAGATGTAATATTGAGCATATTCATATTTAAAGAAAGATTCAATAGCTTTAAGCAAGTTTGGCTTTGGTTAAATTATCATTTAACTCTTTATTTATATCTTATATTTAATCTATTATTTGAAGTAGATATTATCTTTTTTCTCTTTTTATTTTAAAATCATTTGATTATTAAATTTCAATTTCAATATCTTCATATCTCTGATTAAGTATTTTTAATTATTCATTTAAATAATGAATTCTTGATTAATTTTAGATGTATTTTTAGTGTTTATTTGCACTTTATTAATCCAGATATATTCTTTCATCTGTTGAATTCACAAAATTATTTCTTTCATCACTTTTCTATTGAGTAAGAAAATTCTCTTCTTAAGTCTTTACAATCAATCTACTGAAAACACTACTTTATGAATCATTTTATTATTATTTAAAAGATTCTTATTAACTATTCAATATTGAATTGTATGGTTAATCTAACATTTTTATCTAGTTATCTTTATTTTGTTATCTATGATTCCTTAAGTTTTATATTTTATTTCCTATATTTGCATTCTATTTAACATAATCTTTCTTTTATGTCTCTCTTGGACTTTATGTATGAATATTTGAATTTGAAGATAAACTAATTAATTGTTGTTTTAACATATCTATCTATATATTAGATTCTGATAATTTCTTAACTCTTTTTAACTCTGATTTTTATAACTCTTACTTTTTATGATCTAAACCTAATTATAATTTTAAATTTTGTTCCTTATATTAATCCAACTAATTTTTTAATTCATAAATTTATGCTTTATATTTTGTTGTTTCTTCCTGTAATTCTTTAAATAAAATATACATTATACTTTAAATTGTTGACTCATCATATTATTTTGTATACCAATTCATATAATTGTGTATATCAAATAATTATTCTTTTAATTTACTAATTTCATCTTACAATCGTTCATTCTTTTCTACTAAAAATTTAGTTTCCCTCTTTTCTTTATCTAAAATAAATTCTAGATTATTATTATTCTATTTATATAATTATAAAAATTACTTATTTCTCATGCTATATTGCTTGAGTTTATTAGTTAATTTTATCCCGATAATTTTAATTACTTTCTCCCTATAATTATAATTAATCTTATCTAATAAGATATCAATATTATATTTACAATTTTTGTATCTATTCTAATTGCTCTCTATATCGTTAATCTGATTATTAAGTAATATTTATTAAATTTTATTGTAATTACAAAATTTTCTATTCATATTCATCTCTTGTTTAGTTTTTTTCTAATTCCATCTAAACTAATTTTAGTTCTTTTTCTTTTATTTACTAATTTTCATTTATTTTATTATGGCTACTTATTTATCTTTATTTCCCTTCTGTTTATTTAATTAACTCTTTAAAACCTTATGACGACTAATTGAATGGATATAAGGTATAATTACAATTTTGGATTGGAGATTTTAATTTTCAATTTCCAAAGATTTAATTTTATCTTATAATGCTTTCATAGCATTTACATAACTTTAAGATGTTGATAAATTTTATGCTAATTTTTAGTCATCTGATGGACTCAGTTAATTATGAGATTTATTCTAACGATCCTTAGTTACAACTCGATAGCAATTAAAAAGTTAAGAATTAATGAATTGGGAGTATTTAGGTTATTTATCCATAATATCTGAATGAATACTGTTTGTTTTCATTAGTAGTTAAATATAAATATTTATATAAAATTAAATAAATAATTATTAAATATATAAACAACAAAAAGATGTATAGTAAATTTAATCACGAAACAATTTTTTCTTCTTAAGATTTCAAGCTTGTATTATTTTTTTTTTATTCTTCTAATTTTTTATTAGTTTCAAAATATTTTTTAGAATCTGAAATCAAAAATTGAATAATCTCATTTTCATAAATTTCTTATGTACTAAAAATAGCATTAAGATAAACTTCTAGATCTTCTCGTCTTTTTTCTATTGTTTCTAAAAAAATGAAAATAAATTAAAACCTGGATTTTCATTAGTTTATCCAAATAGTTTACGAGTTGGAAAAGGTGGTAATTTTCCTCTATATCCTTAATCAATTAAAGCATCATGAATATTTTTAATTTCTGAATATCTCTATTTAAAGATCCACTCCTCTTTTGTGATTCTATTTTTAAATCTCATAGAATAGATAACGACATCATCATATACTGTGTAACTTTCAATTGAGATTGAGATTTTCATTCTAGAGATAGATTAAAATATATACTATTAATTTAATGGGGTTTAAATGGGTAAATACAATTATACAGGTGGTAAACTAAGTATTTTATCAATGCTAAAAAGTTGATTGAAATAGATTTCTAATTCTTGTTATCTTTGAATAATTTTTTCTTAATTTTTATTAGTTTTAGAAAAGATTGATCTTTTAGGGAATTCAGGTAATTACAATTAAAGTTTGAGTAAATTAATATTTTTGAGTATTTATTCATGAAAATCTTTGAGTTCAGAATATCTGTTCATTGTAGTTTTGATATCAGTAGGATTAGATAGAGTAGAAACAATGACTTGATAATGAACTTTATCATTTTGAATGAGATAATTAATTTTGACTGAGTATTGGTTTTACATTGGGAAGTGTTAATAAAATAAATAAATTTATAAGTAATTATTAAATAGGAAATATTTAACTCAATATATTACTTTAATTAATTAATGGATTTATTTGGTGTTTTTGAAACAAAGGGAAATGTTGATGAAATATAATTAGAGAATGAAGTGGATGAAGATGTGTCGATGAATGTAGAAGAAGATGAGAAGGTAGAGGCATTTAAAATAATAAAAAACTAAGAAAATGAAGGATGTATTCATGAATGGTACACTCCTGAAGATTACAAAGCAATTTAAGAAAAGAAATAGAATGCAAAATAATACAAGTTTACTTTAGATGCATTTCAAAAAGTAGCTGTAAAAACTCTAGAGGCAAATGAATCAGTATTAGTGGCTGCTCATACAAGTGCTGGAAAGACAGCAGTAGCAGAATATGCTATAGCTATGGCTAAGAGAGATAAATAAAGAGTTGTTTATACATCTCCAATCAAGGCTTTATCAAATCAAAAATATAGAGAATTGTAATAAGAGTTTGGAGATGTTGGATTAGTTACTGGAGATGTAACTTTAAATGAAAATGCTTTTTGTTTAGTTATGACTACAGAAATTCTAAGGAGTATGTTATATAGAGGATCAGAAATTGTGAGAGAAGTAGCATGGGTTATTATGGATGAAGTACATTATATGAGAGATAGAGAAAGAGGAGTTGTTTGGGAAGAAACTATTATCTTATTAAATTAGAATGTTCGATTTGTCTTTTTATCTGCAACAATTCCTAATGCTAGTGAATTTGCTGAATGGGTTTGTAGAATTAAACATTAACCTTGTCATGTAGTTTATACTGATTATCGTCCTACACCTTTATAACATTATTTATTTCCAAGTGGTGCTGAAGGATTATTCTTAGTTGTTGATGAAACAGGAAAATTTAAAGAAGATAAATTTTAAGAGGCTGTAGCTAAATTAGAAGAAAATGTAGAAAATACAAGAAAAAGAAAAGCTAGTGAAGGATCAGATTTATTTAAATTAATGAAAATGATATAAGATAGAGAATTAGCACCAACTATAGTATTTTCTTTTTCAAAAAGAGAAGTAGAAGGATATGCTATAGGAATGTAGAAATTAGATTTAACAAATCCAAAAGAGAAAGAGAATATTGAAACAATATATAAGAATGCAATGAATTGTTTATCAGAAGAAGATAGATAATTGCCATAGATATAATTGATGCTTCCAATTTTAAAGAAAGGAATCGGAATACATCATGGTGGATTATTACCTATTGTGAAAGAAATAATTGAAATATTATTTTAAGAAGGATATTTAAAAGCATTATTTTCAACAGAAACATTTTCTATGGGATTAAATATGCCATCTAGAACAGTAGTATTTACTTCAGTTAGAAAATTTGATGGTGAATAATTTAGATGGATTTAAGGAGGAGAATATATATAAATGAGTGGTAGAGCTGGTAGAAGAGGTATTGATGAGAAAGGAGTATGTATTTTAATGTGTGATGAAAAAATGGATTAAGAAGTAGCTAAATCAATGTTAAAGGGAAAATCAGATTGTTTAAATTCTTCATTTAGATTATCATATAATATGTTAATTAATTCTATGAGAATGGAAGATACTGATCCAGAATTTATTATTAAGAAATCTTTTCATTAATTTTAAAATGATAGATAATTACCTGAAATGAAAGAAAAGTTATAAGATTATAAATCAAAAAGAGATTAAATAGATATTAAAAATGAAGATAAATTATCTAATTATCATGACTTACTTTAATAATCTACACATATCTATAATAAGATTAGAAAGATTAGTTATTAACCTTAAATTGTATTACCCTTTTTACACATTGGTAGAATTATTAAAATTAAAGGATCTGATGGAGATTGGGGATGGGGAATTGCAATTAATTTCATGTAAAAGAAATTTGGAAATAAAAAGAATAAAGATTAAGAATAAACTATTATTTTAGATGTTATGTTGTATGTTTAAAAAAGAAAGAAGGTATATATATATATATATTTATAGAATGAACCATTGTAACCTTAATTATAATATGAATAAGATGGAGAATTAGAAATTGTACCTATTTCTATGGAGTAATTATATGAAATCAGTACCATTAAACTGAATCTACCTAAAGATCTTAGAACTAATGATAGCAAATCATAAATTAGATTAACTATGATTAAATTAATCAAATAGTTTAAAGGACAACTTCCTCTTATTCATCCTATTAAAGATATGAAAATTAGTGATGATTCACTTGATAAATTGTTAGAATAGAGATAATCATTATCAGAATAAATTGAATAAGTCAAAAATGATCTAAATAATTAAAATCTTGATAAAGAATTATTAATCTATGGTGAAAAAGTTAAACTTATTCAAACTATCAAATTACTTAATAAATAAATAGAAGAAAGTTCACAAATGGTTTTAAGTGGAGATCTAAAAAGAATGAAAAGAATCTTAAGAAGATTATAATATATATCTAAAGATGAGATTGTTTAGATGAAAGGAAAAGTAGCTTGTGAAATTTCAGCAGGCGATGAAATTATGGTAATTTATCTATTCTTAATCCTATTAGTTAACTGAATTATTAGTTAGTGGACTCTTTAATGATCTATCTTCTGAAGAAATTTGTGCTGTTTTAAGTGTCTTTGTACATGATGAAAATAATAATGATAAATTCCAATTAAAAAATGACAAAATGTAATAACTCTATACTAAAGTACTTGAACATGCCAAATATCTTTATTCTGTTTATATTGAATCTAAAATGAACATTGATGAAGTAATTTTAATCATATCATATACTTCTAGAAAGAATATTTATCAACCTTCAAGAGTTAAATGATGGAAGTTACTTTGGCTTGGTGTTAAGGATAATCATTCCTTTAGATTTGTAAAATGACTGATCTCTTTGAAGGATCAATTATTAGATGTCTTAGAAGATTGGATGAATTAATAAAATAAATGGAGGAAGCTGCAAAAGTTATTGGAAATAAAGAACTAGAAAATAAGTTTAAAGAAAGTTCTAAGAAACTTAAAAAAGGCATTGTTTTTGCTGCATCTTTATATTTGTGATTATGTATTTATAGAATTATTATTAATCTATGAGTGATAAAAATTGTTTTGAACCTATTTGTGAAAAAGAAGACATTCTAAATTTCAAATCCAAAAAAAGATCTAAGCTATAATTTGAAGATGAATAACCAATATAGGAATGTCCATTAAATAGAAGTACATATGGAAATTATACTTGGAATATGTTACATACTACAGCTATATATTATCCAGATGAACCAACACTAGAATAATAATAGAAAATGAGAAATTTATTTGATGCAATTGCAGAATTCTATGCCTGTAAACATTGTAAAGCTCATTTCTAGAAGGATATTTCAAAAAGTAATAGAAATTTTAATCTATTTTAGATCCTCCATAAGTCACATCAAGAAAAGATTTATCTATTTGGTTGTGTTATAGACACAATGAAGTAAATTAATTGCTTGGCAAACCTTAATTTGATTGTAGTTTTGAAAACCTTGAGAAGAGATGGAGAACGGGATGTTAATGAATAAATTTATTTGTGTTATTTTTGTTCTAATATTTTTTTATCAATAATTACAATAATTCAAATAAATTGAATTAATGAATGAATAAAAATTAAGAGAAATGATGAAGATTTATACTGTTTCGAAATAGGTGAACAGAAAGGCTGAAAAGAATTTTATCAAATTTTCTAGTTAATATTATAAATTGCATAAGAATGAGATGACTGCTGATTTATTGAGTGAAGTCAACTCTCTAAGAACATAAATAAAGTCGGATAGGGTAGGATTTTCTAATTAAAATTCTCCTTAAGTAAGTCCTCGTATTACAACTAATTCATAGTTCAATTGTAAATAATGTATTTAAATTATTATAGTCAAAGAGGAGAGGTAAAAACTAAATTCTATCTATTCAGAGGACAGAAATTAAGAAATCTATAATCTTTACATTGAAGAAATAAGCGATTTAAAATAATGTTAGAATATTAGTTATTTCTAGAACTAAATATGGCGAATTCCATAATAAAATAATAATAAAATGAATACGATAAAAAGATAGTAGGTAATATTTATGATTAAAGAAAGATTTAAATATCAAATTAGAATCTGAGAAAGCAAAAGTAATAGATCTCACTTAATAAGTATTGAAGTGAATAAATTAGATTAAAGACTTGAAGAGTAATTAATTCTAAAAATAAACTATGTCTATAGTAAATTGTAGCTTTGATTAAAGGAAATCTACTTTGAATATAGAAAAAGAGCAAAGTCGAGAATTATTCAAGTCTGAAATTTGTAGAGCCCTAGAGAAATACAATAATAAGTAAGATTTGTGTAAAGAGAATAAATGAATAAAAAGATTTATTGGTTTCAATTTGTGTTGTTTGTATGATTATAACTAAATTAATGTGGCGTAATCTCTAAAGCATATTTGATATTTAAATTTAATGGATCAGCAATAAGCAGATATTAAAGAATTGTTATCGCTTTATAATAATGCTATCTAGATCAAAAAAAGAGCTGAAAAGAAACTGATCCGTTTTACTAATTGTCTTTCAGAATTAGATAGAAGAAATTGTGGATCAGATATTATAGATTAAATCAATGTGGTCAGACAAAAAATTAAAGAAGAAAGAAAGAATTAAGCAGAATAGACTGTTAGAAATTCATATGTCTAATTACAAAATTAAATGGATTAAAGTAGCTTAATACTTAAATAAAAACTTTCAGAAAAAGAACTATGTATTTCTTTCTTATATTATTATCAAGAACTTGAATCTATGGAATTAGAGTTTAAATGTTAATTATAGTAATAATAATAAGTAATTAACAATCTCAATCTATAAATTGAAGAGGTCAAAGATTGTAATTATTATTCTTTATTTTAATAGATAATCAAGAACAAATTTTTAGTTTGACTCAAAAGAATCAATAACTACTTAATCTCATTGAAGACTTAAATAAACAAATTGCAGAATTAAAATAAAGTACTTTTATCTGTGACATTTTAGTTTTGGAACTCTATCAAAACGAAGAATTCAAATCTCAATAAAATAACAGTATTTTTTTGGTATATTTTAGGTTCCATCAGAATTTCTCAAAATTCATAAATAGTCTAGAATAACAAAAAACGTGGAAGCCAAGGAGATAATCAAACTACTGAATCAATCGATCAGTGTTAATTTGAAACTTTGGCTTCTGATGTCAAGTATTAAGAAACTTGTGAAAATTTTGATGATGAAATCCTATTAGGATCATCTAATCAATGTGCTGAATCTAAAGGTATTCTTCTTATAATTTAATTTAGATTTCTAATCTCCTATTAGAATTTAGGATCAATTATGTAATCAAAATTAAATTAATGAATTAACATTTACAATTGAAGAATTAAAAGAATAAATTCAAAGTAACTTTAATTGCTAATTTAGATTTACAACAGGATAAATAAAAATTAATAGATAGTTTAAATGATAATCAGAATAATTTTAATAGTTTTAAACAAAATACTTAACTAAATGAGATAAATTTAAATAATTAAATTAAGAATTTAATCGAAGCAAATTAAGGTATTAGTAAGTTAATTCTGTTTAGAACTTCTCAATAAAGAGTAAAACTTTTAGATTTAGATTATTGAATAGAAGAATGAAATTTTGAAATTACAAAAATTTAATGAAAATTTCGAATTATCTTAATAGTTATTAAAATAAAAGGATGAATAGATTTCTAAATTAAATGAAGAATAAGAAATAACTAAATCTTAAATACAATCATTTGAAGAATAATTGGCATTTATTCCTAAATTAAAAGAAGAAATTCAACATCATTAAAATACAATAATAAAAAAAGAGGAAGAAATTTAAAATTTATAATAAAGCATAGAAGGTATAAACAATTTTAATTTTTTAAAGGTGAACAGAATCTTAAAATAGAATAATAAAAATGTAATTAGATTTTAAATGATAAGATAATCGAAACCAAAAATTAATTGGATTAATAAATTTAATCAAACACTTAATTGTAAAATGAAAATTAAAGTATTTAAGAATAATTAATTTAATAGGTTTAAATAAAGAAAAGGAATAATTGACAGATGAAATAATTTAATTTAAAAAAGTATCAGAATGTAATTTTAATTAATAATATTAGAATTAACAATGAAAATAAAGGATCTTGAAAATTAGATTGATAATTTATAGATAAATAAAATAGAATTAGATAAAAATTTGATTTAAAATGAGAATGTAAATGAAAACATAAATAAAAATCATTAAAATTTGGCAACTTAAGTCTAAGAATTAATTTAATAATTGAGTGATTTAGAAATATTAAAGAAAGTATTAGAATAAGAGAATAAGAAATAAAATAAAGAGATTGAGAAATATATTGAGTAAGGAGGTGAGTTAAGAGTTTAATAGGAAGAGTTGGAATAAAAATATTAAAAAATTTAATAAGATTTGAATGAATAAGTAATAGATAAGGAGAGAATGGAGAATGAATAAAATGCTTTAAGAAAGGAATTAGAATGTAATGATTATAAATTAATTTTAAGAGTATAAAGTATAGAATTAGTAATTAAAAGAAGAGATAAATGGGTTGAAAAAGAATATTGAGGAATTAAGTAAAATAAATAGTAGTAAAGATTTATAAAGAGATGAATAAATAAAGTTTTAGAAATAATTAGAAAATTAATACAAAAGTAAGATAATTAATTAAGAAATAGTTCTTGAAGAGGAATTTAAGGAGGTTAAATAATAATCATAAGAAGAATGTAGTAAAATAGCAGAAAGCTATAAAGAAGAATTGAGATTAATGTAGGAATAATTAATAAAAAGTTCTGAGAATATTAAATAATATTCACCAGTTCGAGATACAAAATTAGAAGATAAATATAAGGAATAAATTAATAGACTGAATGATGAACTTAGATTAAATAAATTGTAAATTGCGTAATTTTCAGCAGTAAATAATTAATTAAAGCAATAACAAAAAGATGTTGTATTAAAGTTGTAAAATGTTTTAAAATTGGCTCCGGCTGGTGATTAAGATCTAAATGATTTAATTTAAATAATAGAAACCAATTTATCAAGTAGTCAAAGTAGTCCTGTAAGACCATTTCCAAAGAGAACTAGTTTTATGGATACAACAAAAATGTTAATAAATAAATCAAGACCTTCAATAGGTTCTAATAGAGGTTCAGTCCTTATGTCTTAGAATTAATTACATGATAATGGATACAGAAATAGTTTAAATATTTAAAAGGTTCCATCGAGCAGTTAAAGCAATACAGATTTACAAAAGATTCTAGATGATGTATCAGATTAGGATATTATTTAATTATGATTTAGAATGTTTCGTATTGGATTTATATATATTTTACAATATGTTTCAGCATTTTTCATCATGATAACTCCATAGAAAACTTTTAGGTCCTCTACCTGCTGCTCTTTTTACAAATTCTGCATCATTAGGAGGTTTCATCTAATTATAATAATATTATTCTTAACTTTTTTTGTAGCACTTGATAACATAGATTGGATTGATAAACATACTGATGATACAGTTAATGCTGCAGACCATTCTACAATATTATTTCATTTAAATATATACCATCAAATAATATTGATAAACATATGAATCCATTTGAATATATATGTTCATGTTCAGGTGGCTTACCAATAAAAATGACCTATTTTTTTAATTATTATTTTACTTCAGGTGATTCGATTGGCTAATTTCAGTTAAAAAAGAGCTAAATAAGAATAAGTATTTCTACATAATCATTTGAAAATTTGAATTGCAATCTAAAATATATTTATCAATTTTCTTACTCGAATTTCTCCCCTTGATAAAGTGTCCCTTTTGCTCCTTCAAATGCAACTATCCAATGTTTTATATCATTATTTGGCATCTTTACAACGAATTAATCAGTATATGTCTTTTGCATCTATTCTAAATCTCTTTAAAGTCTCTTTGCCATTCTACTCTACATTTTCTATTTTTTTATATTATTAAGAATTATTTAATTATTATTTAATAATTATTCTAACTATATAATAACACATAATTAATTCATTTTTACATTATTCCATTTTATATTTCAAATTTCAACTTTCTTCTTTATCAATACATTATTTTCTATTTATAAATAAATGAGTTAGAACATTTTTGCATCTTTTTTATTTTATACAATACTCAAAAGATTTATAATTACTCATTATTATTATCAAATAATAATCTAAGTAAAAATTATCAATATTTCCCATTATTGCTAAAATAAAATGACAAAAAAAACTTAACTTACTTCAAAAAAATTTCATTTATAACCATATTCATAAAATTTACTTTAAAGTACTAAATTTGAATGTTCGAATTTAGATTTATATTTAGATTTAACAATAATACAACACTTTATTTTAAAAGATTAAGAAATTAATTTATAAATAACAATGATTTTTAAAATTGAATTTCTAGATTTATTTTTATTATTTCTCTTATTTGAAAGTTATTCATCTATTTTTTGATCTAATTAGAGCAAAAAGATTCTAAATGGCTAGTTTAGTTATATAATTTATTAATTATTTTTTGGTTATATTAAGGTATTCATGAATAAAAATATAAAATATCAGTAATTTAATTGAAATAAAATAAAGAATTTTCAGTAACTAATCCTCTAAATTCAGATATAAAAATCCTCTAAAACTTCATTAAATAATATTACGAAGCCATGTAAATACAGAATTCAGCGGATAAATTTAATTAATGAATAATATTTATTATACGGCATTTTAAATAGTATATCTTATTTTGGTTTCTAATTATAATATTTCGAATTAATTTACAACTAAATGTATAGCTTTTTGACTAACTAACTCATCTTTGATTTCTAACTCAGCTAATAAAACAACTATTGGAATACATATTAGAATCAGCAACAATTTTATTATCCTAATGTATATGGATATCCATATAATAATCAACCTTAAATATACCCTTAATATCAAGAGTAAGTTCCTGTTTAACCAGAACAAGGTATTTGTTCTAAATATATATTAGTTTTATATAAAGAAGACTTAATTACAACATAAGGTACCAGAAGATGCATTTTCGAAACTAAAGAAATTATGCCTATCATATCAAGTGATACACTAGAAAAATATATCATTATGATTGTAAATGAAGATGACGCTGTGAATCATCTAATTACTTCGTTAAAAAACCAAAACTAAATTCCTTTGTCAAATATCCTTGAGACTCTTTCCTTGAAGCAGAAATAATAACATAAAAGTAGAGAAGAACTTATAAAGTTTTGCTTAAGAAAAGCATTGAAGTTCATCTTTAGAAAAGTCTAAGAAGAAAATGATAAATCAAGTAATTATTTTTATAATTTCTTAGAGACAAATTTGAAATCAGCTCAAAAAATATTCATACAAGCATTAGAACAAGAAACGAATAAACATATTATCTTACCATTTAGAAAAAATAGCAAGAATAAAACTATGAATTCAGATTTCTTAAAAGAAATTTTTTCATCTCAAATCTTTGTTCATTATTATGAGCAATTTTTAAGTAAAATAAATTTTAAATATCATAGATTGTTTGGATGAACAAATCCAAAAAGACTCAAAAAAAAAAATTGCTTCCTTATGTATAAAAATATAGAATAAAATTTCAGACGATAAAATTGTATAAAATTTTTTTTGAATTTAGTTTTCATTCGATGTCAAAAGATTGCCTTGGTCTCTTTCAAATATTGAGAAAGTTAAAATAACTGCCAAAGAAATTTTATTATATTCTAAGAACTAGATTAATTGACATTATGATTTTATTCCCATATCTAAATTATCCATATATTACATTATTAAAATTTATTTTCTCTATAACCTCAGTAATGCATTTTTTTTAATTGATGAACTAAATACATTTACAAAGAATTAAAAAAAATTTGGGAATAATTGCCTCTTATATTTTTTATCCCAAGCTCTTTTATAGATGATTTAATTTTAAAACCATTTTTTGGAAAAAGCCACTGATTTTTAATTATAACATAAAATGATTAAATAATTAATTATTGATATTCATAATATTAAATTATTTAATAAGAATAGTTGAAAAGTAAGAAACTCAATTAATCATCTATTAATATTGCATTCATCTAATGTAACTGCTCTACTTTACTTTAATTACCAATGTATTTCTAAAAAGCAATGTTGATTAAACTAATTTGAAATTAGTTCAAGACTAAATTTCAAATATTTAAGAAGCACATAATTGGATAAACAAATTGTTAATACTCAAAATTAAATTTCATTTGAATAGTATCAAATATTAGTTTGATAATTGAATACTTAATATATTATCATTAAATTATATTAGAAAAATAATAAAACTTTAATTTAAACATGCTGAATTAGATAAACAAATTTCTAATCTGCTTTCTTTTTTTTTTCTAATTTTTTCATCATCTTAATAAAATGCAGGCTTTAATTATTAATTTTTGATCTTTTTCTAAGGAAACATAAAAAACATCTGAATTTATGAACTTTATTTATTCTTTCATTTTTAGTTATTGAGTTATTGAATTGTTTGGTATTCTCTCACTATATTTAAATTATAAAGCACTAATTATTTTATCAATCAAAAGATACATCTATAAAAGACCTTCATTAACGGTTAATTTCTACAGAATTTTAATCAGTATTAATTAATAAAGGACCTTCTAAAGTAATTATAGATGGATGTCCTTTGAGAATGTAACAATATATATTTTTAGTTTGAATATTAATTAAGTAAATTACTACCTAATATCAATACACCCTAGCAAACAATTCACAAATAAAAATATAAAACAATTGAGGATCCTTAATTTATTTTTATTAATACTTAGTAGATTTGAGTAATAAATGATAGGAGTATTGCTCAAGAATGAATTTGAATCTATAAAATTAATGTAAGTAATGTATATTAAATCATTTTTAAGATATTCTAATTAAAAATGATTGGCAATTACCAGACTAAATATATTTTTTAAAATTTAAATATTGACTATGGTTTATTCTTTGTGAATTTAATACTTTTTCAGATTAGTATCCATTTCAATGATCACTAAGACGATTATTAACCAATCAGCAATCAGTGTTAGATATGATATCTAATCATCTAATCATTTAGCATTATTTAATGTATATAAATAAATCAATCATCAATGACTATCGCATAATAATTGTCAAATTTATTATAATTGAATGTTATTTAGAATCGATTAACTCTCTTATATCAAACCGAAATAATTGGTAATACAAAGAAGATCTTAAGTTTTGATATCTAAAATTGTTTTAAATTGAATTAATGATACCTGAAATAATCTTTTGATTATCAAAATTATCAAAAATAGAAATAAATTTTTGCCAATGAAAGGTTTGAAGACTTGCAGTATTATTTACTAACAATTATTAAATTTTAATCAAAATTATATGAGTAGTAAATAAGAATTAGGAGTCAATTTTGATTTTAGACTTTTTCTACAATTAATCTTCTTTATTGGTATAATTATTTTATATAATTATTCAAAAGTATCCTGTCCATATTTTTAGTACTATTTATTTCTTTTATTAACATAATTTATTCAAGAGTCATTATATTAGAATTTATGTCAATAAAATTTAAGAATTTTGGATCAAAAAAATCTACATTCACTATTTATTTTATATCTAATTTATATATATGGCTCTTCTATTCAAAAATTAATCCATAATTTTTTCAATGGTTTTCAAAAATAATTCTTTTAAACTAATATTAGGAAATTGTAATTTTTTAATAAGTATAATTATCTACCAAGACTTTTTCATTTAAATGAGTTTAAGAAATTTTTAAAGTAAATTATAAATTAAATCTCACTTCAATCTGTTAGACCATTTTTGTAATATTTGTCTATAGATTCAATTAAGAATTCATTTTTTCATTTTCAAATAAATTTAAAAAGTTGAATGTAAGATGGATATTTGATCACATTAGTTGAATCTCTAATCAAATATCTTAAGTTAATTGAGGATAGTGTAATTAGGTTTATGATAAAGTTCTTGAAGGAGTTAAGATTACAATTATTGAAATTGAAAATTACATTAAGGTAAATTTATACCAGTCTCTTTTTATAATTAGGATTAGAAAAGTATGTAGGTTAGTTAATTTTTATGAGATATTAAGTTAAACTTAGGATTGAAATGATTTATAGAAGAATAATATTAAACTAATCAATAAAGCAATAAAAATTGCATTGTATACAGTTTCTATTTAAGAATTTATAATGTGAAAATGACAAAAGGTTTTTAAGAAGTCTCTTAAAGTAAAAAAATAAGCAATGGAGAATTTGGGAAGAAGTAGAGAAATGTAGATTTTTCATTTTTATTTTAAGGGGATATAAAAAAATATATTAATAAAATAACTAAAAGAAACACTAAATAAGGGAATTTTTTAAAAAAATTAAAAAAGATACGACATTCACTTAAATTGTAAATACCACAAAGTTAAAAAGTTAAATTAAAGATGGGGGAGGTGTGATAGTAATGACGAATCTTTTTAGTTAAAGATCAAAATTTAAATATAAAAGAAACAGAATGTCTGGACAACCTCATTTCAAGTAAAGAAGCATCATAATATTTAGTTTTCTGAATATGTCGAATTTCGGGATGTTAAATTCCTAAAACACTTAAATAGTTTAGATGTATGAGAAAGCAATTAAAGATGCTCTGAGCAGTGTGCATTTATAAAAATTAGGAAAAAAACAACTATAATAAATTGCAAAAGAACTGAATATACCAGAAAAAAAAAAAAAAGAAGAAATAATAGGATTGATTCCCAAATAGCTCCTATAAATTTTGATATCAATGGAGCCTTCCAGACCTGTAGAATAACTTGTGCAACACCATCCAAGCCTCCAAAACAACGAGACTATTATGGCCATATTAAAAAAGTTATAAGGAAGCATAATCAACAGACCATCATAATTCTAACAATAACCTCAAATGAGAGGAGCTGTTAATATACCATAAATTCTACCTAATCTGACTAATCCATACCTCAATTATGTATTGAATAGATTTATATTAAAGATGGTACTCCCATAAGCACAATAACAAGCTTAATAATAAATATTAGCATAATACCCTCCAATTATGAATATGAATCTGTATCAATAACAAATGAGGTAAAATCCATAGCAATAATTTTACTATCAATATAACAGTATGTTTTATGCATAATTTAGATCAATGGAATGATCCACTTGTTGTTCCACAAACTGAAATGTAATAACTCCTCATGTGTCCATGTAAGTAAGAAAATTCTTAATATTCCCAGAATAATTCCCGCCAAAAGACTATCAAATGAGGAAGTTAAATGTATTAATTGCGATAACAAACTACACATTTCTTGTTTAAAATTGCAGCCATAAGATATTAAGATGTTTGAATGTCCTGTTTGCATTCTCAGTAAAATAGATCCACTTAACTAAATCATCAAAGTTCTCTCTAAACCAACTTTGATTAATACTACATAAAGCACACTTCAATTTTAACTATCTCCAGAAGAATTTCAGTATTATCCATATATAATTAAACTTAGTCAATTATAAGATCGATCGTTTTAATAGTAGGTTGAATTGAGATCTATTAGATTAGATGCTAAATATATGAATGAAATCACTTGGCCTGATTTTTGTGAAATTTAAATCAATCAACAACGTCTAATTGAATTTAAACCACTTAAATCTAACAGTAGTCTTAAAAAAAGAAAAGATGAAATTTAGATCATCCCTTTATAGCAAAACAATTTAACTTTATCTCTCAAATCAGGTTATAATCAAATCCTTATTAAAGAAGCACAAAACTTTTAAGAACCTAAATCCCAATTTAAATTATGTGAAGAGTATTTATATTAAATTTATTTTAGTGGTGTTTATGCTTAAGCTATATATCTTACCAAAAAACGACCTCATTAAGAATTAATCAATTAAATTAAATAGAATAAAGATTCTCATAAAATTAAAGAAGAATGTATTCAACTTATTCAAAAAGCATGTCTCACTGAAAAAACTGATAATGATGTTCAAATTGATAAAATTACTATCAAAGCTTCCCTTAAATGTCAATTTGATTCTTAGATGATTTAAGTATATTTATTTTATTTATTATTAGACTCCTGCAAGAGGTAGGTTTTGTACTCATGTTTAATGTTTCTCTCTTGAAAATACTATTACTATTAATGCTGGAACATCAAGAAAGTGGAAATGCCCTGTTTGCAAAAAAAAGATTTTTGATATCATTATTGATTAATACTAATTGTAGTTACTTGAAAAATATAGAAATAATAAAGAAAATATTAAGGAAGTTGTTTTCGATTAAAATGTAAATTATTAAATTTTATACTTAGGGAGAAATTGTTTAAGAAATTAAAGAAGAATTAGAAGAATCTGAAGAAGAATAAATCAGTCTTAATAAACAGAATTTATCAGAAGAATAATAAAAACAAATTTTTTAATAATAATAAATGAATGATCCTACTTTTCTTTCAAGACAACTTTTACTTCATCCTTTCATGTAATTGTATTAAAAATAAATTGGATAATTTACTGTCTTACAATAATAACAATAAATCTAATAATAATAAATGCAATAAAAAGAAAAAAATGAAAACATTAATTCTTCTTAAAATAAAGCATAGTTAAAATAATTAGTTGAGTCTAATCTATCCAATATTGAAGCAAAGTAAAATACTTTATAATCTCAACTATCTTCTTAGACAATCACTAAGCCTAAATTCATCAAATTCAAAAAATATGATGCTTGGTTGGATGAGTTGTCTCAATAAGAACTTGTTTAAAAGCAATTAGAAAAATAAATAAATGAGTAATAATTAAATGAAGAATAATAAAATTTGGAATTACAATAATCATAATAATAATAAGATTAATTATAATAAAAATAGTCATCTTAGTAATAATAATCATAGTAACAGTAATAATAACAGTAACAGTAATTATAATTGTAATTGTAATAGTAATAACAATAATAGTAATTGTAATTGTAATAGTAATAATAGCAACAATAATTATAATAACAATAATAACAGTAACAATAAAATACTAATTAAGAAGGTGAGAAACCAATTTAAAAGTCTAATAGATTAAAAGAAAGAATGGTTAGGGTAATCAAAAAGTAATTTTCAGAATTTATTAGGAAAAATTTTGCCAATAATATGAATATTACTACTGAGAATAACAATAAGAATCCTTAATAACCATAATAACCATAATAGCCATAATAACCATAATAAATATAATAAACATAATAAACATAATAATAATAATAATAAAGTGCAAACAAGAAATACGTTTATAAACTCTCTGAAGAAAAGCCTAAAATCAATACTAGTGCTCAATTTACAAAAATGTTGGCTGATTAGATCATAATGCAAAATCCTGGTTAAATTGAAAAGCATCATGAAGATATAAAAGCTATTGGAGAAGAATAGTTAAAAAGTTTATAAGTTTTTCTTCCTTAAGGATTTCCTGCTCCATAAAATGTATTTCAATAATCACTAATCAATTAAAAATAATAAGATTCTAGCACTATAATATAAAAAGCTTTAAGTAATTAAAATCCTCCAATAGGACAATAATAATAATTATAGCAACAATAACAATCGTAATAATAAGTAATTCCTTAACCAAAAATGAAAGAAAAACCTTTACAAAAGATAAAATCAACTCAGCCGAGCAGTAGTCAAGAGGACAAAAATGGAAAAGATTTAGAAAATCCAATTTGTATAGATTGATCACAAATACATTTTTTTTTGTTACAAAAATTAAATTAAATACATTTTCAATTATAGTTTCGATATACATTAATTTCTTTAGACTTTTTCAATCCAAAAATAGATTACCATTATTGATCGTAAATTTGTGTTTGTTTATCAGGATAAGTAGAATAGATGTGAATATAAAATATCAAAACTATAATCTAAATTTAATTATGATAAAATACCTTGACTATTAATAACAGCCAACTAATGATCACTTAATATTTTTATAAACCATATTCTAAGTGATCGAATCGTGGATTGAATTCTCCAAAATAAGGCTAATATAGATTTAAATAAATACGGTACTGTAAATAGCTAGCCACACTATATCTAAGATTAAAGCAACAACTAAAATTGCCATAATTATTTTAATATGCAATAGGGATTGTAATCTATAATTTTTTTAATAAAATAGAAAGCAATAAAAAATGACGATATACTATATAATATGATTAAAGATTACATCGAAGTAGAGAGTTCGATATATACTATTTAGTAATCCAAAAATTAAATAGACAATCGTTAATAATAAAGAGATTTAAACTAATCTATCCATTTATCTTTCCTAAATAAATTATGCTCCATTTTGAGATTGATATAACTATTATTATTAATTAGGTTGTATATAGGAAATGGGTATGTTTGGGTCCTACACTTTTTATCGAAAAATTTAAGTGATGATTTCAAGATCTATGACATGATCATTCAATTCTTATTCTAATAGTGTGATTTAAACATTATTTTCATAAATTAAATCTGTTAAGTATTTATTCTAAATTAAATGAATTAATTAGTACTTTAGAATAAATCCATTAAACTTTTAGATGTAATTTAGCCCTAATAACAGTATTACTTTCATCAGTAATATTAATTTGAATATCATGAAGCATTTAATCTTTAAATGTATTGATATCAAGATTAGCAATTCCTCCTATTCCTCTTTTCTGTTGTAGTTCTGTATCTAATAAGGTGAACTTTAATATTGCAGATTCATTTGCATCACTACATTTATTTTATTTAATACAATTCAAAGGTCTCATTCCATTAAGGATTTTATCTTTTGGTCAATTCTAAAATAATTTAAACACTTATAATTACATGTATAAGCTATAGTAGACAAACATTCTAAACTAATTTACAATTGACCATTTCCTTAATAGAAAATATCAGCATCTAGAATTTCAATATTTATTTTATTTGTTGTATTAATACTGTTGCCATGTTGAGATTATTTTAATTTATCTTGATATGCTCTAAGTTCGCTTTTGAAAATTCAAATCTAAAAATTACATGTTTCTTTGATCGATAATTTACTAGCACTTTATGATCTTATCATTTAAAACTTCATATGCTTTCTTCATCACATAAATTAGTTAATTGATTGAACATTCCTAATTTTACTAGGCACCTGGTATTTAATCAATTAATTAGTCAAATACATCACGATCAAAATATCCATTCTAGCTTTTGGAATCCAAAAATTCTAATAACTCTCTCAATTTGAATTATTGATTATGTTATTATGAAAATTCATTGAACACATTTGTAAATGAATTCATTTAATTATAAAACAATTAATTAATATTTCATAATTTCTAAATCTACATAAATAATTGTCGCAAATCATCAAGTTCTTTTATTCTAATCATTTTCTTACCTTTCAATTAATCTATGCATTACTAAACTAAATTATAATTTGAACAATCATCATGATATTATATAATTTTTGAATGTTTGCACCAAGTTTTAATTTGTTTCATTAATTTTTCAATGTCAACAATATTATTTTGTGATTTAACAATTTATCCTAATTCTGAATTAGATTCAAGGTATGTTAAAGGTTTTGTTTATTATTTTTCATATTCTATAATATTCCTATTTTCATTTATTGAGTTATAAATAAAATCAATTCCAATTAGTTTGATTTATTATAATGATTAATTTAATATTTGATATTCTTCTGCTATAAAATTTTTCACATTAGATGCACGATACTCTATTTTTTATAAATTTTATAGTGTTTATGCATGTTGAATTAATTCTTATTATTGAGATTTATCAATTAATTGTTACTTATCTCTCAAAAGTAGCAAATACTTTTATTTAAGCATTTATTTAATATTCATTAATCTATCTTATATTTGATTCTAAATAATAGGGCCATCTATTTAAAGCTTTTAATTAATTTGATTGATTTTTTTGATATTTCCATAATCATAAATCAAGATATCGTTATTGTATATAGATTCTTTCATGTGTTTAATCTTTTCATTCTAAACTTTCTATTTGATAAACAGTAAAATCTAAATTAATTCGATTCTCATTTTTTCATCATAAATTTTTTGTAATTCCAAACAATCAGTATTAACATGATTTGTTTATTAATTTTACTTTGGTTTTTAAAGTTTTTTTAAGATTTCAAATTCTTTAATCATATAAGTGCCTAAATTTTATAAACCTATTAAGCCCTAAACTAAACAATTTTCTTCTAAGCCATTTCTAAATAGTTATTCAATATCATAGAATAATTTCATTAGATTTGAAAAATGATTTGCCAATTTCTTTTATTATTATATAATTGTTTAGTACTAATATTGCTCATCATTAATTTAAATTGAATTCAAATTTTCACTTTTAGTTTGTATATGGTTCAGTTACTAATAATTGATTTATTTGAATTCAATTTGAGCAACCTTATCAAAATTTGATTATTATTTTGATTTAATTGCATGTAATAGTTCTTTAGCTCTATCGATTGAATTCATAAATTAGATGTTAATTAATTAATTTATAAATTATCATAACTGAAATTAGTAAACATAAAGTTCACATTATAGAAAAAATAAAAACTCAAGAAAATAAACTTAGATTATAACTATTTATGTGTAAATAATGGATCAGATAGAGAATATGATTTTATAATTAAAGATTTAAAATTAGCTAATAAGAATTTAATTATTTAGAATAGTGATATAAATAATTATTACTATTAGATAATGATTATAAATCTATAATATTAGTAATTAGAAATAGCAAAGTCTTATAAATTTTTGAGCATATAATAATAGAAATAATATAAAGATTAATTAATCAATCATTAGCAAACAAACTTAAAAAATCTTAATCGAGAGTAGTCTAAAATGGAACCTTTGTTTAAGTGCTTCTAGAAGTATTATTAGAGTTACATATGATATGATAATTTTAATATATTTGATGTTCTCTATTGTTAATGAATAATTTTATACTAATTATCTTCTTCATTTTCACATTCAAGTATATCACACTTTAAGTTTGAATTTAGATTTCCAATTTAAGTATGTTTTTCTATAATTCTATTTCTTCTACCACCTTCAGAAGTTTAAGGTCTCATCATTTTTTATGAGTCATCTTCATTTATTATTCTTTAATTATGTTGTGTAATAGCTCTAGTGTGTTTGATAGAATTATTTCTAGATTGATATTCAGAAGAAAGGTCACAAGGATGTTCTTAACTTTTACGTGTCTTGAAAATCGTTTGATTTATCTACTATAATTTTATTGCATTGAGTCCCTTCGGTTAATAAGACATTAAATTATTAATATATTTCAAGATTCTAAGACAATAATTATTTTTGATTTTTTCCATTTTCTTCTTACAATATTTACATCAAAAAAATTATGAAAGCTATCAATTTCTCTACTCTTTTGAAAGAGTTCTTAAATTAATTTAAAGTTCATATGTGGCATATACAATTCATAATCTCTTTGATTTTCAAAACAGTCAAAAATATCTTTATATCTTCCCATAGATTCTTAATGATATTCTCCTTTATAAATATAAATTTAATTACTTTTAGATTCAATTAATAATGTTATCTCATCTTCTTAATCATTATCCACTTCTTAAATTACTTCATTATGTTATAAAGCATTTGGACTAAAACTTCCTTTAGTTATAAACTATTTATTAATAGCTTAAAATATTTTAGAACTTTCATCAAAACTAATTTCTTAATCCAATAACGTCATTTTCCTGTCATATTTAATATTTCCTTTACTAAATTAAAATCCAATATTTTCTTCTTTATTACTTTCTAATGTACGCGAAATTTATTCTTAACTTAAAAATATCGGTACTCCTCTTTTAGGATTAGTTATTTTTTTTTATGACTTTCTTAAAGATCCATTTTAAGAAGATTACATATTCCTTTTAATTTAATTATTAAATTATTCTGACATCTTTGGATCTTTTAATAAATAATATAAAACACTATCCGCTATTTTACATTCCAAACTTAAAGTTGAAATCCTCTTTTCTAAATTAGTTCTCTAAATAATCTTTCTTTCCTAAGAATATTTCTTCTTATATTTTAATAAAGTTTTAGTTCTACTTGGAAATCCTGTTAACATTGGACAATTGTAAAGTAAATGAGTTGATTTATTACATCCTATACATTAAATATGAAACTCATCAAATCTTCCTGAAAATTTGACTAAATCTTTTAACTAACAATATTTTTCCTAATTTCAATATTTAATTATACATAACCATATTTTTTAGCTATTTATTAAAATTAATCTCTATGTATTTTTAATATTCTTGATGGTTTAGTTGTTCTACAATTAATTGAATAATTTTAATCTAATAAAAAATCTTATTATCCAAATATTTCATCTTATCCCTCCATTTTCTATATTGATATACAATTCCCAGAACCTTCGGGAAGTAATACATAATATTCTACTTCTCCTTCACAAAGTATATATAAATATAAACTTTATTCTCCTTTCGTAAATATACTTTACCAAGGTGTTAATTTCTCCTCTTCAAAATCACCAGCCAAAGCTTATAAAAAATCAGAATTAAAATTATCATGAAAAAATGGAATCTTTGATATACTCTTCATATTTAAATCTAATATCATTTCCTAAAATCCTTTTTTATATTATTACATTATACAAATTACTAGGTAATTACTATTATAATTTAGACATATCCAATTATTCTTATCCCATACAATCATTCCATAAATATTCAAAATATCTTCTAATTTTTATTTGTAATTCTGAATTAAAACCTCTAACTCTAAGATACTTTTTTAAATCATTCAAATCCAATCTTATCTATTATTCCTTTTTTTATATTGAATATATTATTTATCCTATTGATGATACAAAAAAACCAAAAGTACAACATGATACTATTGCTACAAATATTATCAAAACCCTTTCACTTAAATTCTATGGTGTAAAATCTCCATATCCTATTGTTGTCATTGTTATTACACTCCAATAAAATGTTGTCAACTTAAAATTAATATTATCTTATTACATAACTTGTTATTAAATCTGCTTCCATCAAATCTTCTTTTATAATCCATGAAACATTCTTATTCTATTTACCAACAAAATACAAAAAACAACAAAATGTATGAGCTTCTATTATTATTAAATATAACAATCTTATTAAATCATATATTGCCCAATAATTTGTTGTTAATTCTAATTTATTTAATATCAATCCTACTCTTTATGGAACATCCAATATTTTTATTATCATAAACAAAGATAAAATATAGTTACTATCTGCATCAAAAAAATAACCTAATGATATAATTATTATTAATGAATCAATTATGCATTCATTTGAACGATAAAAATGTTTAATAATCTTTTTTCTATCTGACACCAAATAACCTGACTCATAATAACAACTATTTAATTTCACTAAAATATCAATTAAATAACTTATAAATGGAATTATTAACAATAATATTTCCCCCTCCTTATAATATTCTGGTTACCTTTCTTCAAAATGAAATGCAAATTTTATCGAACAATATAAAAAGTTAAAATTTATCATTATAAGCAAGTATACATTCCAAATAAGAATCTTAGTTTATTCAGGCTTAAAAAGAAATTTACTATGCGATAAGTACTCAATCAATTCTTGTACAGTTTAGTATCTCAGTATAGTCATTGATAATAGGTGTTATATCTTGGATTCTGGAGCAGCTTTCTATGATTAAATAATATTTACTATATATTTAAAGTAATCATTTTTCACATAATAGCTAAAATCAGCAGCTTTATCACCAATTATTTTAAACATATTCGAATCCAAATACTTAAAATCCTATGGAAATACTGATTGTGTTATTAATGTAATGAATCTAATTATTTTTATGAAAACATTTAAAGGGTTTGCTTTAGAAAATTATTAACAATGTTCTGATTACTAAATATTTTAATATTTTTGAAATTGTAATGTTTTAAAATAAGCTGGACATGATTTTAATTATCTTTAACTTCTCATGGAATCTGATTTTTTTTTTATTTCTTCTAAAAGTACTCTATCAGTATATAATTCAGAGTTCATCAACTTTTGATATTTAATAAAATAATTTTGTAATTAAATTTACTATTATTAATAATCGAGAGATAGTTTCAAAAAAATCATCATCCTCAATTTCATTTTCGACCTAATTATTTTTATTTTCAAGTAGAAAATTAATTTTATAAAAAGAAAATTGTTATTATCATATTTAATTTTATTCAATAACTACACTTTACATTTTTTTAAATTACCAATTATTGATAGAAATGATTTACTAGAATATTACGAAGATTAAGAAGATATAGCTTTTCTAGTTCATTAGTTCAAGCTCGATTAGAATACATAAATTCCATGATTTTTCTAAATGTTGATCAATTAATAAATCAATTATTTTTAAAACTTTCTAAATTTTTCTTAATCCATCTTGTTATTTATGTCATATAGTTTCGCATAATTAATTCTTGAAAAGAAAAATACAAAACTATAGTTAAAACAAATCAATAGTAATCCAGAAAAACAGAAAAGTATCTAATAATAGAGTAATCTAAAATTATAATTGCAAATAAATGAAATAATTTTATTTAATATATAGCAAAATATAAAATCATCTATAAATAATATGATATAATTCAACATCAAACGAAAATAGTCTAGTTAGTTAAATTAAGAAGAATTTTATACAAATAATTGCTTAAGCTGAATTTACTTATTAATTCAGAAAAAATAAACAAAATCTCATTTCATATTATAATATAAAATAATTTTAAATTTAAATAGGTAGGAAATATCATCAAAAAATTGTATAAATTTCGTAGTCTATTAAAAATTTTTTATAAACAAGTGTTTAAATCACAAATATTTATGAATCTGATTTACAAACCAATATAATTTTTGATCCACGATAAAAAAATAGTATAAATTAATTACAAATTAACTTTTCATTATGATGATAAAAAATGCAGATATACTTAAATTAGAACCAAAAAAACTAATCCTCCTAGAGATGAATCAAATTAATTTGATTTTGAAGGTTCTAAACATTAATAATAAAAATAATCCATCAAAACAAACTTAAAAAAATTCTTAAATTAATACTATTTAGTAAGAAAAGAAAATATTTTACAAATCAATATAAAAATTACTCTTATTGTTCTCTGTAAATTATCTTCTCCTTCATAATGATAAATCAATAAAAATAATAAAACAAAGATAATAAATAGATAAAAATGAAAAGTAATGTTAAATAAATGAAAATGATAAAATAATAAATAAATAATTATATTAAATAATAATGATAAATAAATATATTTTGATATATAATTTTATATAATATTTTCAACAAAATGATTTACTTTCTTGAACACTGAATAGTTTTTACTATAAGAATTTGGTTGTTAATGAATGAATTAGATTATTGATTGAAAATATGTTGTCATCATTTCTTAATTCTCCAAATAAAACCATTTCAGCAGCCATAATATAAGTTAAATCAACAGGATATATATGATCTAAAGATTTAATTTTATAATGTTCAATTTAGTTATTAAATTCTAAAAAGTCTTTAAGCATTTTAGGATCAAATATTTCTTATTTAATTCTATTTTTATCTTTACTTAAGATTAAAGTTCTGGATTTAAGTTATTTATGCATTTATTATTAAGTGAATGGGAATAACCATGGATCATAAGCAATTACTGAATTGACTTCAATTTCTTAAGCAATTCTAAGGACTGATGCACCTCCAAATGAATGACCAATTAAATTTATTGATAATGGTTTAAAATCAAAGAAAATATCTTTAATTTTATTAGTTTTGAGTGTTTAAATGAATTGTGAAATTTGTTCAGTTCTCCATTCTAAATGAGATGCTCTAATTTTTTAATATTTTTCAATGATTTCTGGATAATTGCCAGTATTATAAATTTTAGTAGCTTTAATATCCCATGGATAGACTAATTCATAATGTTATAATGAAAAAACAATATAACCTTCACTTGCTAATTATTAACATAATGCTGTATATGCATTTCTATGTTATGAAAATCCATGACTGAATATTATTACATCTAATTCATTATTTAATAATGGTTATTCTTCACTTGCTCTAAAAGTTATAAAACTATTGATAAATATAATAATTTCAATTACTCTAGAAAACTTAATGCAACATCGAATATCCATTCTGATGGAACCCATTTAGTTTAAAGAATTGATATTTCATATAATTATTTAGCAAATTTATGATTAGGCAACCATTTATATGAAACATCTTCTTATTTTCTATCTGCACATGGATAATAAACAGATGCATCAGTTGAATAACTATCATTCAATTTTATTTATTTATAACAAGTTCTATATTTTCCTGTTGGTTTAGGAAATTAATAAACTGGATAACTAATTAATGTCCAAACATATAAAATTGTTAATATTCCAGCTACTTAACATAGTATTTTATNAATGATAAATCAATAAAAATAATAAAACAAAGATAATAAATAGATAAAAATGAAAAGTAATGTTAAATAAATGAAAATGATAAAATAATAAATAAATAATTATATTAAATAATAATGATAAATAAATATATTTTGATATATAATTTTATATAATATTTTCAACAAAATGATTTACTTTCTTGAACACTGAATAGTTTTTACTATAAGAATTTGGTTGTTAATGAATGAATTAGATTATTGATTGAAAATATGTTGTCATCATTTCTTAATTCTCCAAATAAAACCATTTCAGCAGCCATAATATAAGTTAAATCAACAGGATATACATGATCTAAAGATTTAATTTTATAATGTTCAATTTAGTTATTAAATTCTAAAAAGTCTTTAAGCATTTTAGGATCAAATATTTCTTATTTAATTCTATTTTTATCTTTACTTAAGATTAAAGTTCTGGATTTAAGTTATTTATGCATTTATTATTAAGTGAATGGGAATAACCATGGATCATAAGCAATTACTGAATTGACTTCAATTTCTTAAGCAATTCTAAGGACTGATGCACCTCCAAATGAATGACCAATTAAATTTATTGATAATGGTTTAAAATCAAAGAAAATATCTTTAATTTTATTAGTTTTGAGTGTTTAAATGAATTGTGAAATTTGTTCAGTTCTCCATTCTAAATGAGATGCTCTAATTTTTTAATATTTTTCAATGATTTCTGGATAATTGCCAGTATTATAAATTTTAGTAGCTTTAATATCCCATGGATAGACTAATTCATAATGTTATAATGAAAAAACAATATAACCTTCACTTGCTAATTATTAACATAATGCTGTATATGCATTTCTATGTTATGAAAATCCATGACTGAATATTATTACATCTAATTCATTATTTAATAATGGTTATTCTTCACTTGCTCTAAAAGTTATAAAACTATTGATAAATATAATAATTTCAATTACTCTAGAAAACTTAATGCAACATCGAATATCCATTCTGATGGAACCCATTTAGTTTAAAGAATTGATATTTCATATAATTATTTAGCAAATTTATGATTAGGCAACCATTTATATGAAACATCTTCTTATTTTCTATCTGCACATGGATAATAAACAGATGCATCAGTTGAATAACTATCATTCAATTTTATTTATTTATAACAAGTTCTATATTTTCCTGTTGGTTTAGGAAATTAATAAACTGGATAACTAATTAATGTCCAAACATATAAAATTGTTAATATTCCAGCTACTTAACATAGTATTTTATCTCCAAATTATAATGCCTATTCATATTTAACAATTCAATAAATACTCTATCAAAAAAAAAGAATGTATATGCTCCCATTATTAAAATTGAATTTAATCGAAATCCTTCAAAAAAATATTTTAATACTAACCATATACATAATCCAAAGAATCCAAATAAATCAAAATAAGAATTATGATTTGCATGACTATTTCTATTAATTTAATTTGATTATTATTATACTTTTTCACAGGTCCAACATTATCTAAATCTATTAATTTTTATTAAATTGGAAATATCACTGATTGCATTTCTATCAGAATACAAAATATAACATGAGCCGCCAATATAAATTCAAATATAAAAACCTTTCTCATTTCTTTTTTAATTTATTTATTTTAATAAAATTTAATAAATAATTTTATTGTTTTATAAAATGAACAAAGAAATTTATCAGATCATAATTTTTAGTATTGAAAGAATATAATATATGAATTAACTGTTAATTTTTGTCATGTCTAATTAGAAATATAAGTTTTTTAATTTAAAAAATAAGCATGAGAATCATTGATTCGATATACTGTTCATTTTTGAATGCAATATTTTTTATCTTATGCAATTAATTCTAGCTGTTATATTGTCGAGATTTTTTTCATCAATCATTTAAGGAACATATTTGTATTTTTATTAAGTAATGATTCTCTCTGTCTTAAAAGCTTTCTCTAATATTTCTTAAGGAACTGGAGAGTGTTTATTTGGTGATAATTTTAATCTAAGTCCAGGTTAAGCAGTAGATGCCTCTGTTCTACTAAATTTATGTTAGGATAATCTATTGCTATTTGAAATTTATTGATCCATGAATACAAGCATCGGTTATCTTTTTAAAATTTCTTAAGGTTGATAATATCCTAAGGGGGGAATATAATTTTCAGTTTTTTATTTTTTTCCAAGTCTTGGTGAATTGCAAATGTTTGTAGTAAACTTTCTAACAATTCCATCATTGAATTATAACTTTTAGTTTAAANATTTATATGAAACATCTTCTTATTTTCTATCTGCACATGGATAATAAACAGATGCATCAGTTGAATAACTATCATTCAATTTTATTTATTTATAACAAGTTCTATATTTTCCTGTTGGTTTAGGAAATTAATAAACTGGATAACTAATTAATGTCCAAACATATAAAATTGTTAATATTCCAGCTACTTAACATAGTATTTTATCTCCAAATTATAATGCCTATTCATATTTAACAATTCAATAAATACTCTATCAAAAAAAAAGAATGTATATGCTCCCATTATTAAAATTGAATTTAATCGAAATCCTTCAAAAAAATATTTTAATACTAACCATATACATAATCCAAAGAATCCAAATAAATCAAAATAAGAATTATGATTTGCATGACTATTTCTATTAATTTAATTTGATTATTATTATACTTTTTCACAGGTCCAACATTATCTAAATCTATTAATTTTTATTAAATTGGAAATATCACTGATTGCATTTCTATCAGAATACAAAATATAACATGAGCCGCCAATATAAATTCAAATATAAAAACCTTTCTCATTTCTTTTTTAATTTATTTATTTTAATAAAATTTAATAAATAATTTTATTGTTTTATAAAATGAACAAAGAAATTTATCAGATCATAATTTTTAGTATTGAAAGAATATAATATATGAATTAACTGTTAATTTTTGTCATGTCTAATTAGAAATATAAGTTTTTTAATTTAAAAAATAAGCATGAGAATCATTGATTCGATATACTGTTCATTTTTGAATGCAATATTTTTTATCTTATGCAATTAATTCTAGCTGTTATATTGTCGAGATTTTTTTCATCAATCATTTAAGGAACATATTTGTATTTTTATTAAGTAATGATTCTCTCTGTCTTAAAAGCTTTCTCTAATATTTCTTAAGGAACTGGAGAGTGTTTATTTGGTGATAATTTTAATCTAAGTCCAGGTTAAGCAGTAGATGCCTCTGTTCTACTAAATTTATGTTAGGATAATCTATTGCTATTTGAAATTTATTGATCCATGAATACAAGCATCGGTTATCTTTTTAAAATTTCTTAAGGTTGATAATATCCTAAGGGGGGAATATAATTTTCAGTTTTTTATTTTTTTCCAAGTCTTGGTGAATTGCAAATGTTTGTAGTAAACTTTCTAACAATTCCATCATTGAATTATAACTTTTAGTTTAAACCTGTTAGTGGTTTTTGAACTTAAAACTCTGTTTCGATATTCAATTAAAACTTTTTATCTAGCTTACGTAAATTTGTTAAACTACACCAATCAGAATTTCCATGTGTTGAGTAAATTTCTTTTAGAAATCTTACTTTTTTATTTCTATTTATTTAATTTTTTATATATCAACCTTTAAGATGTTTTTGAAGTATTGGATGTTGTTCTATCAATAATGTGTTCGCTTTTTTTATTATTTCCCCTTGAAAGACTTCTTTTCGTTAATCCCTTTAGATTTCCTAATTCATCTCTTTCATCTTTAAATGGAATAAATCCAGTGCCTTCTTGCTCTGCTTTTTCTTATAAAAAATTCAATGCCTTCATTTTAATTTATTTATAATTTCATAAAAATATAATTTAAAAAAATATTTTATCGTTGATGAATTACAAAAGATATAATCTAATTAATCAAACATAAGATTAAACAATTATTATATACAAATTAAATTGTTTAAGGATATTCAACACTTTGATTTATAAAAATAAAAAGATAAATATAATGATATGATAGTTGAATAATTTTATACTAAATTTTGAAAACCTCAAGAAGTTTTTTGAGAATAATAAAGATTTAATATCAACATTATTTATTTTAATTATTAGTTAGCAAACAAAATTAGTAATCTAAATTTGTTATATACATTATTATCAGATTTCAACTGCTTTTCTATTAATATAATCAGTAAAAATAAAAAATATTATTTATTTTTAAATTTGAAACTTGATACTGTATATCTCTATTTGTCATAGACTAATATCCTTATAATAATATATTGAATTGTATTTGAATTGGTTTGATATTCTTTATAAAGCTAATTAAAATCACTTGATTAATTATATATAATAAATATTTTAATGCAATTGGAGTTTGGTTAACCAAAAAAATTAATAGTGTGGGTTATAAAAGTACAGGAAAGTCTTATTTAATAAATAGATTTGCTGTATAAAAAACTTGGTTCAGTCTGGAGAAAAAAAGAATTTTTCTTCGGGGAAAAAGATTTGAATTAGGTTATCTTAAAATTCTTAATTTAATTAAAGGTTTTGAATTAGATAAGCTATTTAGTTAAACCTATTGCACAGGAAAGGTAATTAAGAGAATTTGATCAATCACCTTATTTTGACTTAATATCTGAATTTAAAGTTTAATTAGATAGCTTATCTAAAATACATTATTAGATAATTAAACATCAATATATAAAAAGCAACTCCTTTCAATAGAAAAAGATTAATTCAATTATTTATTCAATGTGTCAATTTAGTCCTTTAGGATATTTATACGGTTTAAAATATCAAACTAAATGATTGCATATATTTTTTATTTCAAATCAGATTTGAATAACATTATTATCAAACAAAATAAATTTAACCATATGATATAGAGTTTAACAATAGGTAAATTGCTTTTTAAATTTGATATTCACTCTTTATGCACCCAAAACTATTACATAAAACAAGCCCTTTGTTTTTTTAATAAAAATTGATATTTTTCTGAATTCATTAAAATACAAATTAATTTTTACATTTCTAAACTTAAAGATGAAAGTGGATTTTATTCTGCGAAAAAGAATTATTAAAAATTAACTTAACTTCTTTAATCTTCTTTTCTTCTTTGATATTTTTCTCTAAATTCTTAATTTAAATATATTCCCCCATGATGTTTAAATAATTATGCTCAAAAACTGTTCTTCAGATATGAAAACAGGGTTTTATAAAGTTATATGTAGTATTTAATGGTTGCTATTCATTTCAATAATTATTATTTAGAAATATTTTTATTAATTTCTAAAATCTAGTAGATAATTTATCATACCAAAATAAACATTTAGTCAATAAAAATATTTTCTGTTATCATAGTCTCAATAATCATTTTCTTAAATAAGCTTGCGATTAATTTTATATTCTTGGATTAATTAAGATATTAAAGTTAATAATTCTATTTGCTCATAAACTTATCTGCTCAATATCTTAATCTACAATTTTTTTTCACCAAACTTATTAAAAATTGTTGTTATTAATTATATATTATAAATAAATTTCGAAAAAATATTAAACTTATAAATATTATAAGTTTAATTTAGGTTTAAATTATAATAAATCATAAAATAAAGTAGTTAGTTAGCTGAATAGCAAGGTTTAAATAAAGGAGGTCTTTTTTGAGTTATTAATTTGGCATTTGAAATTAGTCTAGCTACCTATAGAGTGTCTTAACAGTTTGAATAATCGAATTCAAATAATTTAAGGATTACTTAATTCTGGAATATTAAATTTTTTTTATTACTTTGATATAATAAATAATCGGATACATCTCATATTTTATTATAAATGGGGCTTAGATTTATTATTATTATTTAAAAAAAAAAAGCTGAATGCCTTATTCTTCTCAAATAAGTGATTTATTAATTAGAGAAAAAGTATCTATATTTTAAATTTTCTATAGGCGAAACCAATAAATAAGTTAAATGAATTTTATTAGATAGATTAGTAAGGCATTTGTAAAAGAGATATTCTGGTTTAATGGATTGTGGCAGTATCTTTTTTCATTTATAACAAGTAAACTTCGCAATTCAGACATTCTATAAAAACTATAGAGCTGGCTGTTTTATATATTGACACTTATCTTAATTATTTTAACATAACTTAAGAATATTTGTAGTTATTAGGAATTTCAGCCTATTCTTTAGCATCAAAAGTAAATATGGAAATAAAATTTAGTTTAATGAAACAGAAATGGTGACTTAGATAAAACTATACGATTCAGATGGTAAGAATCTATACAAGAATGGAGAGTATGATGAAATGGAAGAATAAATAATGAAAGTTATGGGATTTCAGCTAAATTACATAACTTCATCTGATTATTTATTGGCCATGAATATTGAAATACATGAAAATATTTAGAGTCTATTGTTGTTTATTCTTCTTGGTATTTGTTTAAATTTATATAGATTTCGATATTTACAAACATTCTCATATTGAACTTGCTTTAGCTATAGTGGTATACACTCAGGAAAAATAGATCTAATTTACAGAAAAAATTGTGGCGCTTTCACAATTTATTCATAATAAAATACTCAAAGCTTAAGAAATAGAAATAGAAAAACAATTATAAGAAGATGCTAAATATTAAAATAAAAAATAACGAATAAACAAAAAGATTACCAAAAATAAAATTTTGAGTCATAAGAGAGTTCCAAATTAGTAGATTTGAAGTTTTAAAAAATAAGTTATATTTTAATTGATCAAAAGATCTAAATAAAGAACAAAAATTATTTTTTGTTATTATTTAAACATCCCAATACCCTTTTCTTAAATCAATATAAATTTTACTGAACTATTGGTTTTTAAATTCTTAAAAGGGTTTTCAAACGAAATCCTTCATTATATTATTGAGCTTTATTTAATATAAATTCATAATTTGTTCCAAAGAAAATTCGCTCGATAAGTTTAAACAAAAGCAAAATTTTTTAATAATTAGGTATAGACAAATTGGAATTTAACTTTTAAGAATCAGATTATTTTTGAAATACTTCTTTTTGACATTTTTAAATAAAAACTAGCTCATTTGAAGTATTATTATGATGTTTCACGGCTAATATTTTTTTTTTATTATAAAAAAATATGAATGATATATTTTAGTAAAATTAAGGAATAATGTAATGAATATTAATATTTTTATATGGCTGACACTAAATCAAAGAATTTAAATAACAATAATTAATTATCAGTTCTTTTCACTCGAATTGTTTGAGTGAAATGAAGTATTGTTGATTTTTTCATAAAGACTAGCTTCTAATCTACTGAATTCCTTTTTTGTATCACCTAGCATATTCTCTAATGTATGTAACTAACTAATTAAGAACATCATCTTTTAATCAATTTTTGCATCTTGAACCATTTGATTTTCAGTTTCATTTTTACCTTCATTTACATTTGCTCTAAAATTAAGTATAATATAATACCCTAATTGAGTGATTCCAATTTACCCCAGATGATTAAATTTCTAAAGAAATGTATTCATGACCATTTAATTTTGTTCATCTTCTTCTTCCTTGACTTTAACACTTTTAGCAATTTGTCTTTTTGTTTTTTTTTTATTTTCTTATAATTATTATTGTTATTATTATTATTATTATTATTAAATTTTATTTTCATCAGGAGCAAGAATCATTTACCATTTGGCTTATTTAGGATCCCCCATTTCAACATAAAATTTTTTCATGACTTCATTTAATTGTTAATTAAAAAATGCTAATAATTTTTCTTAAAATTCATTCATTTTATCAGAATCCCCATTTTGAGATTGAGCATCAATTTTTTATTGCGAAAAGTTAGCTAATTATTATTCAAGATTTTATTAAAAATCTAATTCTTTTTCCTCTGATGAATTTTTGTAATCATCTTTTTTAAGAATCATCTTTCTTAGATTTTCCACTTTATCTGACAATTTTTTATCTTTCTTTTTTTAATTATACCTTTTTTTATATTTTTTATAGATTGTAGAATAATCTTTCATACATGAAGTTCTTTTAATAGGTCCTCCCTATTATTTAAGTAATCTATAAAGTAAATTTTATTCTTGATATGTTTCTGCTTGTATTTTCTTTCTTGATTTGCTATCATCATCATCATCTTCAGATTTAATTTCAGATTCTTCTAATTTTTCTTCTTGTATTGATTTATCTGAGTCTGGTTCCTCCTATTCGATTTACATTTACATTTGTTATTCATATTTTTAAAGATGCTCTTTAACAAATGTTTATAATGCAGATGTACCATTTTCACCCTAAGCTTCAAGCATCTAAAATAATAAATGAAATCGGATTTACCTTTAATGATATTCCATTTTTCTCTTAATCAGCCAACAATTTTCTAACAGTAGAATAAAACCTATTCTTAACAGAATTTTCAGTTCTTCCTGATAAGTTCTTAGCAATTTTTGACCAAGATGATGAGTACTATAGATAGCCCTTAAATATTTCATGATCCTCCTCTACGAATAGTGATTAGATATAAACCAGATGTCCATCCTCCTTTTTTAACATTAGGATTGAGATTGTTAAACCATCTTTCTCTACATTATTTTCCTGATCTTCCTGCTATATTTTCAGCACATAAAGACCATTTACAAGGTCCATTATTCTTTACCCATTCTAATAGCTTCTCATCTTCATCATCTTACCATGGTCCTAAACTATAAACACATTAAAAATACCTTTCTTTAGTCCAGGTTTAAGTATTTTAGTCCATCGATGTAAACATTATATAGCACTACGACCTTCCATCATGTCACTTATGATACGCCAACTCTTTTCTCCATATTCTACTCATTAATTTCTATTCAAAACCTTCAATCAATTTTTAAAGCTTCTCATCCTCCTCAGGTGTCCACCTCCCAACCTTTTTTTTATCATTTTCATAATCTGCTATCGGAGATTGTTGATTCTATTTACGTTTATCGTTCTTTCTTTTCGATTTACTCTCATACATATCTACCTCATATTTTATTATTTAACCTCTAGACATCTATTGTTTTTTTTGTTTAGTTTTCGTTTTTATTTAATTTATCCGTTTTTCACATTATTCTAAAACGATTAGAGGACTTCCAATTATACGTCATATCATTCTTCTTATTATATATATATATAAGTAGATAATCATTTCATAAAACTAGTTATTTTTCATAAACTTTTTTCTTCATTTCATATATACTTACATTTATTATTAATTATTCTACATTTAAGTATAAAATCATTTCTATTTTTCATCTCCTATTTTTCTTTTTTTCAAAGAACTTTTATTCCTTAATCAAAAATTCAAATAATTTAATGAATTTACAACTCTATTTTCCTTTCTAACAAATATTTAAAAAGTATTCAAATTAGATAATATTTTTGATAAATCAAACTAGAATATAGAAAAAATATTTACTATAGTTTTAAAAATTTTTCTCTCTTTCCTTCTAACAAAGAATTTTATCATTTTGCATTTAATTTTCGAATAAAAGCATTTATTAAAATTATTTTAAAATAAATAAATGAAAACGAATAATAATAAAACTAAGGGGATTTTTGAAAATTAAAATTCTTTTGAGAAAGAATGAAAGTGATATCATTTGTTATTTGAATGTAGTAATTTAATAAATTAAGAAAATTTTTTTAAGAAATAATTAAGATAAGGTTTGAAACTTGGCTAAAAATTCATTATTTAATTAATTCATAAAGGATTAAACCTTATTGATAAATGAAAAATAGTATAAAGTTCGAAGGGTAATGTGAAACTAATATATTATTTTAAAACAAATTAAAAAAGTGTATTTGATTGAAAGATAGAGACAGAAATGAGCTGGTCTAACAATAATTTAAGACGTTGAGTTTGAGTTATAACTTAAAATTAATTAAATAATGGGCAATTGTAACATTACTGACAAGAAAGAGTTTTCAGATACATCAAGTATTTAGCTAGATAAATTATAGTCCTATCTGTTCATAGTTTTGAGTTTATTGAGGTGTTAGGTAAAGGAGGATTTGGTAAAGTTTGGAAAGTGAAAAGAAGAAAAAACAAAAGTTATTTTGCATTAAAAATGATGTCTAAAGCAAAGTATATAAAATAATTGAAGATTAGAATAATTGCAAAAAAAAGTGTAGCATCAGTTATGAATGAAAAAATATTGTTATGTTAATTAAGACATCCATCATTAATAAATATAGTTGCTGCATTTTAAGATAGAGAGAATTTATATTTAGTTATGGATTTATTAAGTGGAGGGGATCTTCGATATCACATAGGTAAGAATAGAAAATTTTCAGAAGAAGAAACGAGTAATATCAGTTATTAATTTAGAATTTTTTTGTGCTTGTATAATTATAGCATTAGAATACTTGCATTAATAAGGGATAATACATAGAGATTTAAAGCCTGAGAATTTAGTATTTGATTTAGATGGTTATTTGCGATTAACTGATTTGGGAATAGCAAGAATTTGGAGACCAGATAATTAATCTGATACAAGTGGAACTCCAGGATATATGGCACCAGAAGTATTATGCAGACAAAATCATGGAATAGCTGTAGATTATTTTGCATTAGGAGTTATTGTTTATGAATGTATGTTGGGTAAAAGACCATATGTTGGAAGATCTAGATAAGAAATTAGAGATAATGTATTAGCAAAATAAGTTTAAATTAAATAAAGTGAAGTACCTGTCTCATGGTCTTTAGAAGCAGCTGATTTTGCTAATTAAGTGCATTTTTAAATATTAATTTAGTTAATTTAAAGGAAACCTGCTTAAAGATTAGGTTCAGATAATCCAGAAGCTGTAAAGAATCATCCATGGTTTAATGGATTTGAATGGAATAAATTATTGAATAAATAATTAAAAGCTCCATATTAACCAAGTAATAGCAGTAATTCTTGTGGGTCAACTTAGGATACTGAACAAGATACTAAAGAAAAGGATATTATGCTAAGACGTAATTCTATTTAAGGTATATATTGTTTAACAAAATTAAGCATAATTCAATGGATATTGTCATGATCCAAATGAACCTATAACTATGATTGCTGAACCATCTAAATTCTGATTTCATTTTATTGTTAACTTATATTTATATATTATCTATTTCAAGTTTTTTTTTATTAGTATTCAAATATTAATCAATATATTAACTTTATCAAATCTAATTAATTATTTATTTATAATTATATATAAAATAATTAAGTATAAAATAAATAAGATTACTCATACTTAATTTTGATCATATCCTCTAAAACATTTCTAGATAAACTTTTAAGCCTATTCTAAATTGTACTTTTATCTAATTACATATTTGTATAAATCCAATACTAGAATTTATTAAGCAGGATGACTCTTTGGTAACTTCACTTTCATTTCAAGACATTTAGAATAGAAGTTCCTCTTAAACTCTAATTACTATTTTAATTCATTTTCAAATGATAAGCTTTTTTAATTATAAATTGTGTCTTCATTGTCAACTTACTCAGTTTATATTCTGGCCGTAACATTTTATCGAGCAGAATCATAAATAATTAATTTACGTTTATTTTATAATTCTAACTTTTCCTTCAAAAGAGATTCTAATCTGGTAAAAAGCATTAAAATAGTCACAGAGAGCTAAGGATAAGAGACAAGAACTTCCACTTCACTCTTTAAATCTTTTAACTTCTTTATACTTAATATATTGTAGCATTTTATGCTTTCTATCTAGTTGCAAAGCTCTTTAATTCTTATTAAAAATTTTAACTTTTCAGAGCCTTATTCACATTTTGCTATCCCATTCTCTGCAATTTTATTTATCTGCTTCAATTAAAACGAAATGTTATCTGAACAGCATTATATATTTCTTTTATTTTCCATGCAATTTAGACAATGAGAATCAATTTAAGTAATTGCAATGAAGCTATTGCATTGTATGCAAAATCCCATCTGTTCAGAGGACTACTACCTTCTATTAAATTTTAAAGTTTTATTCATTTTAAGATTTTATTAATCCTATCATATTGTATTAATTATGCAGATTTCTGCACTATTTTTATTAACATAACAGTCTTATAAAAAAAATATTTAAATTTTTAGTTCATCTTTTATGAGCATTCAATTAATTTATATTTTTTTCTTTTATAGATCTACAATAAACTAAGTTTAAATCTGGCATCTATATTTATTTAAAATAATTATTTAAGCAAACTTTATGTGAAATATTTGCTAATGAAAATGAATTATAATAATCGACTCAATATATACGAAATCGTTAATATATAATAAATTAATTTTATATAATTACATAACCATTACTGGAATTAAAAGTTTCTATAGATATATAATTAAAATTTTAATAGATGAACAAGTAGAGTAAAGCATTTCACCATTTAAACAATAATCCTATTTCTATTTCTGTTTTTAATTCAAAATTTAAAATTTGAGACTTAAAATAATCAATATAAATTAAATCAATATTTAAAATGAATTATTTATTCATAGAGTAAAACTTTTGATCTAGTTATCCTAACCTTCAAATCCAATTATATAATTTGGTTGTTTTACACTAATCTAAAAGCATTCTTCAGTCTCTGTGATGTTCATAACTTCTGATATGAAAAGCAAACCAGTATCACTAAATATACAAATTTTAATAATACATAATAAATTCTCTTAATGTCTATGGAATTGATGTTAATTGTACTCTATATAATTTCTATTTGATTTATTAATCTAAACTAGTATTTGATAAGGAATCATCTGATATATTAGAAACTTGAATGTTTTTTAGCAATAATGGAACATAAATATCATTTTAAGCTGGAATGAAAATGCTCTACTTCCCAATTTAAACTGAAGATAAGTCAAATTAAAATTAAGGATCCAATAATTTCAATTTTTACTATACTTCAATAATGTTATCAGATTTCTATTTTTAGTTTAAATACTCAATCTAACCCTTTAAAGATTGAATTTATATTGTCAATTCCAAATTCTCTTAAGTTAAACAATTTATTTTATCCTCATATTATAATTATACTTCCCTAAAATCATCTTATGCTTTTAATAATTGCAATTAATCATGATTTTTTAATAATATTAATTCATTATTTTTTTATTGAAGAGCTAAGTCTAAATTATCAATTTTATTTTATTAAGCCTTTTGGTTTTCCTCTAGCTTTTTGTCTTTTTAAGCATTTTCAATTTATTCTTAATTTAAATTTTCCAATTAAGAATTCTTTTCTATATAATCTTCTAACAATTCATTATAGACTTAAATCTATTTTTCCAATTCAATTTATTTATTATCCCTTTCTAATTCAATTAACTTCAATCTCTATTTCAATTTTTCATTTTCATTTTAAACACTTTCTAACTAAGAAAAATAATCCTCTACTTATTGTAAATATTGCTTATTTAATAAATCTAATTCATTTATTTGGTCATTTTAAGTTTCATACTATTATTAATATGACTATTTTTATTTTAGCAAATCTTATTATATCTATTTAGATTAATTTAATTAATCATTAAGTTATTTTTACATAGATTGTAATTTTGAAATCTCACTATTCTTTTAAATTAAATTAATTTCCAAATTTTCACATTTACTAACAAATTTATTTAAATCATCTTTTAATTTCACTGTGTTATTTTATAAGGCATCTACTTTTGATTAAAGCTCTGAAATTAAATTATTTTTAGTGTCAATTTCTACTAATTTAGATTCAAAATCTTGTTCTTACTTTTATAATTTAATTTTTAATTTGTCATATTCTTGTTTTTGAATATTCAATTATTCACTAAATTCATTTTTTAAGTTCATTAACTTTGAATCATTTTCTCTTTAAGATTTTTCTGAGTTTTATTCTATTGATGATAATGGTTTATTTTCTGCTCTCTAAATAAACATTTTCATTGAGTTTTTGGCAGTCAATTATAATAATTCAACATAAGTTGAAGATTTTTTGGTGGTTTTTTCTTAATAAAAAAGATGTGTTTGTTTGCATTATTAATTTAAATCTTCTATTTATTATTTTAATTAATCAAGATCATTATCTTATCGTTTTTTAAATGTATCAGTATGTAATCCTGTTATATTTGGTAATTCAGCATCTGCAAAAGCATTAATAATCTGAATTGATGGAGTTAAGTTTTTTAATTATCCAATAAAATCTTGAGGTAGTATTCTACCATACTACTATAAAAATTTCTTTCGTTTATCTTTTTCTTAATCAATTAATGACATTAAAGATTTAATTTTCTTATCAAATATATCTCTAAATTCTTTCCTTCTACTCGTTTCAATTAAAGCTTATTAATAAGCTTAAGGTAATAAAACAGGATTTAAAAGATATGAAAAGTCTTTCTCCATTTTCTCCACTTCCTCATCATATTACTTTATCTTTTCATTATGTTACTCAAATTCTTTATCAAGAGCTCTTAAATTTTAAAATACTTTTAAAATTTTAGACATATTTTATTATTTAAGTTATGTGAATTACATAAATACTTATTTAGCTAAGATTAAAGATACAAAATACTTTTTTCCAAATGATCTCCTAAATGAATAACAGCATCTTCAAATTATTTCAGTTATTCTTAAGATAATTCAAACTATGATAAATAATACATGGCTGGTTCATCATTTATATCTTATGAAAAATCTATCATATATTGTCTTAGAGTATTGTATTCTATTTATAATTATTACTTTTACCATCTATTGTTGATTAGACTACTGATTGCAAGAGTGATTTATTTTCTTAAATAAATTGTTAGTATTATTATTAATTTGCTTTATAACTTGATAAGCATTATGTCATATTTTCTGTTTTCTCATTTTTTATCTTTTGTTTAGATTTAGATATTGCTTAATTTAATTTATCAATCTTTTATTTTAAATTTTATTAAGTATTTAAACAACTGTTTTTCCATTTAAGCATTGATTCTGGTTTATAATAAATATCACTTAAATATTTTTATGAATTTGTTTATAAGGCTGCATGTAACTCTATTTTTTTTAATTGTTCTAAACTATCATCAAATTTCTTAACTGTCTATAAATTTCTTTCTAAAGATTCCTTTTATTTTTTTGTCAACTCCTCTTTCTTGGCCTTTGTATTTTTATATGTAATTCTACTCATCTTTAATACTATATCAAATGATTAAATTTGATTTTCCAAATCTTATCCAATCTTTTCTAATTATTTTACCTTTTATTAATAAGGTATGTATTTATTTTTTAAGTTTTGTAAATGCTAAAAAAATATTTTCTCATGATTAAGGATGTTTGTGTTCAAATTCACAAGAGTTTCTTTTGCTTATTCTTGCAATAACAATTGCTTCAGATCCATTTTAGGCTCATATTTAGGAAAAGGGTAAATAATTTGCTCTGGATTTTCACTTAGATCAAATAAATATATAGTCTATGTCAATAATATTGTTTATTTACATAAAATTTTTATTCATCTGGAAATTATTATACTGTTTATTGCAATTATTAATCAATATCAAATTGATTTAAATCTTCTAATTTAACTCCTTTCTTTGTTAGAAGTAATTAATTTTTCACTTCTACTTTTGTTTCGTTTTAAATCTATTCTTATAAGTATTGTAATCTAAAATCTTATACAATAAATACCGTTTATTCTCAGCTGGAAGAGTCAAAAGAAATTGATGACCATCCACACCAATTTTAATAATGAAGTCCATTTTTTTTTTTTGAATTTGAATTAATTAATTAAAACAGTAGTTAAATTAATAATCATAAGAGCTGATATCCTTATTTAAACATTCTTTTAAAAACAATAAAAAGAGTTTGTCATGCATTTTAGAAATGAACATATTGAATTCAAAAGTTCTATTTTTAATCAAAACTCATTTTTGTAATAAAATTATATTTGGTGATAAGTTATTAAATTTTATTAAAATAAATAAATTAAAAAAGAAATGAGAAAGGTTTTTATATTTGAATTTATATTGGCGGC